CCCCCCCCCCCCCCCCCCCCTCTCCTCTTTCTCTTCTTAACTTTCACCGCGTATTAGATGAGGGCAAGAGCGATCTGACGCACATGGTCCTTGATGCTTCTGATCGTCGGTACGTGTACATGTCCACCCTTGGCTCCAGCCGCGAAAGAAGCAAGGGACATGGCTCACTTGAAGAATTGATTTGGTATCCAGACTGGTGACCGCGCAAGCCAACGGCAGCTTGCGCATTTGGAACTACAACAATGGCCAGTTGCTACGGACGCTCGACAAGGTGCGTTGACAGACTTGACCGCCATTTGCAAGGGGTTTCGCTTGAGAGGTTCCGAGCGTATCTCGTCACTCCACTCACCTAGAGGCGGGTTGCACGCTCTAGGGCACCTCGCTGGAAGTGATGCGGGTCGCTTACGTTACTCATGGCATGCTGCGGTAATTACCTCCCCTTCCTGCACAATCCTTTCAGACCCTTTGCGTCGCTCATCCTGACTTGTGTTTCGTAGGACAATCGTTTGTGGCGGCTGGGATCGACGTTTGTTCGTGTTCAAAGATAGCCCTGAAGATGATTTGTCCATGGCTCCTAATCTGCCCATCTCTGCTCGCTGGCCCGAGGTTGGTATTGCTTTGCTACCTCTAGCAGACAGGCATCCCACCTGTGCATCATTCATGTCTGATAATCATGTCGGTGTGCATAGGCCGAGCGACATGATGATGACATTGTTACTCTGGCCGTCCTTCCCCCGAATCTTGCTGCTGCTGCTTCTTATAACGGCGAGATTATCATTTGGAATCTGGTGTCTGCTGCTGTTGTCGTCCGTTTGGCCACACCAATCAATGTTCAACGACGCGTGTCGCGGCGCGAAACAGCCGGCAACGTGCTTTTGGATTCCATGGTGCGTTGCGCGCGCCTCAGCCCGGCTCGCGCGCAACGGCACGTTGTCTCACGCTTTGATTTGACCTTGTTGGCTTTCTTCTGTTCAGTTGGAAAACTCGACCGTAACTTGCATCTCCTTCATCCACAATCGGCCCTTAAAACCGGGTGTCGCCCGCCTCGTGGCTGGTGGTACCCAGGGGACTGTCGTATTTTGGAGCTGGTTGCAAGGCGGTCGGCGCATATCTAGTTTCACCACGGTACACCACCAGATCTACGCCGTGCCCTATTTTGCTCGTAAGATTTCTCTCATGTTCATTGCCACTTCGGTGCACTTGTGCTTCTTGTTATCCACGGTCACTAGACGCGCCAGAAACCCACCACCGTGACCAGCTTGGATGTGTCTTTGGACGGTGAAACGCTTGCTGTTGGAGATGCTGATGGTTCGTCCACCTCACCCGCCGTCTGCGCACCCGGACTATCGAGATCCAGGCTTGAGACTTGTAAATCCACTCATTGCTGACTGGCGAGGATAGGATGGATTCGGTTGTACAATCTCACGGGCTATGCCTATGCGGAGCACGGTAATGCATCCAGCTTGGAGTCTTGTGCTTTGTATACAAACATATGGCCACGGACAGGACACCTGTTCTTGTGCGCTGTGGCGTTGATGGTGGCCTCGGTCGCAGACTTGTGGCTCATGCGTACCACCTGTTCTCTGCAACCTCATTTAGGTGGGCCCGATGAGCGGCCGGTTTCTTCTCGGCCAGTCACCTTCTCCACGGGATTACAGGACGAGGGTCCGGACGTGCTTGCTCACTGGAAAGGCCACCTCCAAGGCATTACCAATCTCAGCTTTCGAGTCATCGAGACCACTGAGTGAGTCTTGATGGAGTTGGGGTGGGATTGCGTTGCAAATCTTGTTCTCATTTGCTCGTCTTAATACCCTTGCCCGTCGTTAGAGTTGTGATTTCGTGCAGCAAAGACGGCTGTGTACGCTTGTGGGACCACGAGGGGTCTTTCATTGCCACACTGGGTGATCCAGAGATCTATGACGTACACAAGCCACAACCTGGCGTCATCCGCGTCGCCCCTCTGACATCACACAGGCCGAGGAAGCGGATCAGGCTGCGCGGGAGGAGGAGTCACGCTTTGCTCGTGAGATGGCCGAGCTTGGTATCTACGACGACGATGATACAAGCGCCGCCAATGACATTGAGAGTGTTTGGGGTAGTCGACCAGCGTCTCGCTTTGCCAGTGCGTCTGTACGGACGGCACGGCATCGTTCACAGCGCAATGAGGCGCAAAGTGATGTTCGACGCCGACCCAATAGTCTCTTTTCCCTCCGCCAGCCTTCTGCAACTGGCCAGGCTTCAGCTCGAGTATGTCCTTCAAGCACATGCGTATGCATATGTGTGTGTATGTGTGCGCGCAAGGAACTCTTACGTCACGCGTGTGTGTGTTTGTGTGTATGTGCTCGTTTCGCAGCCCTTGGATAAATCATCTTATGCCTTCCGCCAGATCCGCAGCGAGTAAGTCTTGTTCTGATAAGCGGGGGAAATAGGATTTGAATGAGGAAGATGGACTCTAACTTGTGCCACTCGTTTGCTTGTGTTGGTCTCAGGACGCTGTATGCACCAACATCATCGCGCATCAAATCGGCTCCTACGTTTCAGCGTCTATCGGCACACGGGAATGGAAGCTGGGAGCGACATCTGAATAACGTTCCGTATCGTCCAGAGAGTGGCAAAGTGAGTGCTTTCATATCTTTTGCCTCTCTCTCTCTCTCTCTCTCTCTCTCTCTCTCTCTCCCTCTCTCTCTCCCTCTCTCGCACTCAATCTCACTCTGGCTTTGGCTTCTGTCCTAACAGGTCTACATGTCGTTGCCCTATCATCATTTGGATCGCGTCGAAGGCGTGGGTATTCGGCCGACGAAGAAACCTGGTGGTGCCTCAAAGTCTGCTCAACGCTTCCGTCCAAAGTTGGGCTCGCGTTCGACGAGCGAGCAGTAGGCTCAACTCGTCATCATTAGAAAAAGTGAATTATTATCTCAGGCCCTGCTCCTCTCTCGCCTCGTGTGTGAATGGTACGCGTTTTGAATGATGCTTTTTGAACGACTCCCTTACAATGTTTCTGAACGTCTTGCTAGCTAGCTTTTGGCGGCCTTAGCCTTCCTACCTTTCGATTTTTTTTTTCTTTTGCGTTCTTAATCTTCAGCAGGATTCACTTGTAACAAATCGAAACTTGCGTTTTTTTTTGTTTTTTTTTTGTGATTTTTTTCATTCATTTTCGAACAAGCTCAACTCGCGCCTCCTGCGTTTTTTTTTTTTTTTCCGTACACGACCAACTGCAGCGAGGAGCACCTGGTGCTGAGCCTGGCGGGCGTGGCACATGAGTTTGCAGCTTGAATGTACTTGAAAGCAGTCTGGTGTCAAAGGGGCACGCAGTCTTGCGCACCTTCTTCCCAAAGCTCTTTGGGACTTGACAACGCTCCGGACAAGTTTTCGGCGAGGCAACGAGGCACAAAATCATGCCGACAACCGCGGCGATTGAAGACGCACTTTGGCTCACTTGGTTGGCGTTGTAGTAGCTCAGGTACTTTTTGCCGCGTGTCAATGCGCTATGCCGCCGGTCACGCCGGCCTCTGGTGCCACCACCAAAGCAGGCACTCGGAAAAAAAAGTCTGGGTCGAGCACGCCGCGAGGGCAGAGCGGCCCCAGTTGCAGCAATGGAAGTGCTGGTTCGAATGGCAGTGGCACGAATGTGACCAAATTGCTCTCGGATATCGAAAGTGCAACTGCAGCCCTCAACAATGAGGACTTGCGCCACGGTGTGGTCCGTCTCCACCGCCTGTCAAAGCGCGACGGTGAGTCAACTGGCCGAGCACTCCGCGTCGCGCTCATGTCGATGTACTCACGAAAGCCTAAATTCTGTGTGTTGATGTTGTCATTGCCAAACGTGCTTTCATGCTCTCCCTCTAGATAAGGTTATTGCCGAGGCGTTTGCCAAGCGTAGTCGCGTTGGCGTTTTGGTCACCGCTTATCGTCGCGGCACAGATGAATCAGTCAATATATTACTCCTCGAGCTGTTTGTGCTAGCAGGCAATCGCTCAACAGCTGCCATTCTTCGTCTGATCAAGGCTGGCGCTAGCGACATTCTCGCCCGTGACATTGGCCGTCAAGCCTTGCGACAACTCGATTCCCTGCATCTAGCATGTCGTGTCTTGATTCTCCTGGCTCCCCACGACCAGCGCATTGCCACCTGTTTGCGACTGGGCAATGCCACCGCCGCACTCCTATCACTTTTCAAGCAATATCGCGCTGATCACAAAGCCCTTGCTCCTTTTCTCGAGCTTTTGGCCATCTGTAGCCAGCACAAGACCACTGCTGCCATTATTCATCGTGGCGGAGCTATAGCACTTTGCCTTGGGTTGCTGCGGCGTTTTACCACCCCACCCTACAGTACGCTCGTGGCCCAAGCAGCCACCCTCCTTGCCAACACTGTTGAGCAATGCCCGCCTGCTCTTCAGGTCGTTGCGTCCCGCGATGGCATCACCATCATCCTTGAAGCCTACGAGTCTTGGACAAGCGCTGATATCCGGTAGGTTGAGGACAGAACGCCTGGTAGTGCTTTGTCTTCTCGATTATGGAAAAACCTGGGCATGCCTCGAAAGAAAAAGAAAGACGGGCGTGTCCTTTGACTGTCCGCTTCGCGTCTGCTTTGCAGGCACAAGCACACGAGCACGCGCTTGGCGCTTTTGCAAATCTTCAAGGCTGTGAGCGCCTCAGCTGATGGAGTTGCCACCCTGCGTGACCGATCCATCTTGCCTCTTCTCTATCAGGAGTACCTCAAGTTGCCCGAAGGTAAGCCACCGTTGCATCCGTCATCAGAACATTACCTCTTAACACTCAAAAGGCACAAGGGACAGTTCCATGCCCCGTGTCTGCACGACCGGGTCTGCTGCGTCTCAGCATCTTATGCGCCTGATTTCTTCCGTTGTAACTCGAATGCAGGGCTTGAAGCTCTGGGGAGTGTCTTGCAAAGTGTTGTACAGCGATGTTTGGTGCGTGCTGCTTGTGCCCCAACTTGCCAGTGGGACGACACATCAGTTCTGCTCTGTTGATCCAGTTTATTGAAGGTTTTTTTTTTTTTTCATCAGTTTTTTTTTTTTTTTCATCAGTTTTTTTTTTTTTTTTGACCTTAGCCTCGCGTTAAGCTGCCAAAGTTCGACACAGAAATGGAGCTTGTTCAGGTGCGTACGCCAACGGTGACTTGGCTTGGTTGATTTGTCTGAGGTTGCTCTGTGCCCCTGTATTTTCGTCTCCCTAAATGATTACGTGTCTTAGGTGCACACGCAGCGTTTGCTGAGCAGTGCCACACCTACCAAGAATCCACCAGGCCAAGAAACACCCCATCCAGAATTGCTCTCTACAGGTGCATTGGCCTGCGATGCAATGCAAATTTGCTCCCCCCGTCCTTTTATTTTCTTGTGTCTCATTCTCTATCGGGTTGTAGCACATCTCGAGTTTGAACGGTCACACAGGCAGCCCACGATTGGTGCAGTCCCTGTTCGAGGCTTCGGTACTCTTCCACCGCCCCCCGCTTGCATGGTGGCAGCGTGTGCGGAGCAGGAACCATTAGTGGAAGCAAGCTCAAATTTGCGGCGGTGCGTCTGTCTTCCACGTTTGGCCACGGCCCTGGCCCAAGCACACCAAGGCGCCCTTTTCACCCGCTTGGAGTCCAGCACCAGCTTACAGTTGAACACCTGCGCCTGCCCCGCTTGATTTTACACACCACAGCATGTTGTTGCAGGAGGATGTGGAAGCGTGGGATGCGGGGTACGACCTGCGACTCGTTTATGACAGCGAGTCGCCCGTCACAAATTTAGCCAGCACAGACCTGCACTTTGACGCGCACTTTGAAAGTGGAAACCTTCGCCAAGCGTATCGTGTATGATAGAACACGCGCACCGATTGTTCCGGCCCTGCCATGGCCGCTGTTCAACCGTGCTATGAGTTGGAGTCTTTGATCTCACTCTTCTCATGTTTTAGATCCACTCAAACGTTTACGAGCTGATTTTGGCTGCGGATAGCGGCGCAAAAGGTATTTGAATTTGAGTCCAAGCCTTGGCATGTCTCTTGACCAGCGTTCTGCGCTTCTTGGTAGCCAATGAGACCTTAGTCAGCTGGGCAAAGGGCGGCTTTGCCGCTTGTTTGCGTTAGATCGCCCGTGCAACATCTTGCATCTGTGTTTTTGGGCTCATCACATGGGCGTGCCCCTCGCATAGGTTATCACCAATGGTTCTTCTTCCGTTTGGATAATGTGAAAGCCGGAACCGCCTACCGATTGACTATTATCAACAACGAGAAGCCAGGCTCCCAGTTCGGCACCGGCATGCAACCCGTCGTTTGGGTGCCTTCAGTTGGGCAATGGCGGCGCATGGGTAGCCGTGTAGGCTATTTCAAAAATCTTCATCGCCGGTCCGGCGGGTCTGAAAGCCATTTCTACTCGCTGACCTTTACGCTCGAGCTGCCCACCGCCGAACCATGCTTTGTTGCCTACCATTACCCATACACCCAAAGCTTTCTTCGCTCTCGTCTGCACGCGCTACTCAAGGAGCGCCCTCCTTGGTGTCACCGAGGGCTCCTGTGCTCTTCGGCGTTGGGGAACTTGTGCGAGCTCCTCACCATTACGGATACTTCGCCAGATGCTGTGGCCAAACGTCCGATCCGACACCGCCCGGTCTTGGTTTTTAGCGCTCGTGTGCATCCAGGAGAGACTAACAGCAGCTGGATCATGGACGGTTCGTTTGACCCGCTTGTTGCCCTACTCAGCTGCTTGGCCATGCTTTCTCACGGTCTGGCGTTGTCTCTCTTCGTGTTGGCTCCTTACTGACTTATTGGCAGGCCTATTACAAGAGCTTGTGTCCGCTGAGAGTGATTTGGCTGCCGAGCTTCGTCGAAGATTTGTCTTCAAAATCGTTCCCATGCTCAATCCGGACGGTGTTGTACTGGGTAACCTTCGCTGCGCCCTCGCGGGTTGCGACCTCAACCGACAATGGGCCGAGCCGAGTTCAACTCTTCACCCAACCGTCTTTGCTCTGAAGGCGCTCATTCAGCGCCTGCAAGCCGAGGGACGGCGGGTCCACCTTTTTATGGACTTGCATGGTCATTCCCGCCGCCGGCATGCCTTTCTCTATGGTTGCCGAATCGGCTCTATTGAGGGCACTGAGCAGGTCTTGTGTAATGTTCTCGATAACGAAGCCCACCTCTTTGCGGCCCGTCAGTCACGATTTGCCGTGGAAAAGTCCAAGGAAACCACCAGCCGAATCGTGGTTTGGCGCTTGGGCGTTGCCTGCAGTTATACACTTGAGGTTTGTTACGCGGGATCCACCCTAATGTGCTGGCGCAGCTGGCATGTTTGGGGCCGGCTCAATGCGAAATCCCCCCCTTTGTTTTGTTCTTGTTGTCTCTCGTTATTCAAGTCACGCTTTGGTTGCGTCTTTTTTCCACTCATGGGTTTGTGACAACAGGCGACTTACTGTGGCGCGGACAAAGGGAAGTACGCTGGGCTGCAAGTTTCCACGAGTATGCTGCAGGAGTTGGGTATGCAACTAGTTCGGGGGCTGATGGCATGGGATGATGGTGTTCAGGGGCTGTCCTTGGTTTCAGATACCACCGGCAAGCAAAGCACGTCAACGAGCCAATCTGCCAACCCGTCCATGACTGCGAGTCCTGCCGGTAGCGGAGAGACGGGCGTGGGCGTCTCGCTCACCTCACAGGCAAAGTCATCGAAGAAAACCACCTCCACAGCAAGCAAAGGCACCCGCAAAACGCGCACGCCTCGCCCAGTTTCGCGGAAAGCACCCCCCACGCGTAGTGGGGGCACGCCTCGCAGCCAGTCGCGCAACTCCTCCGACGGTGTCAAGTCTACAACGGCCAAGAAAGGACGGGTTGTCAGCAAGGATGCCACGAAAGCCACGGTCATTAAACGTGTGCGCCGCAAAGTTGCTGAGCCCAAGCCGACCGTGGTTCCAACCCCGCCGCCGCGTGTCAGAACTTGGTCGGAGGTTCTGAGCGGGCAGGAAGCCGATGATCACATGCCTGATGGCGGAGGCAGCCACCGACCACTCGAAGCTACGTGGGTCACTAATGGTTTGTCCGCAAACTCAAGCTCCCAAGCCGCATGCAAGCCCACCTCTGATCCGCCAAAAGATGCTGAATCAAGGAGCGGAGCGTTGGAAAAGGTTGATTCTTTTTGGAGGCAAGTGATTACACAGCCAGGCCCGGGTGGCGGCGCTTATCACGATTGCGATGTCAACGATGCCGACGACGACGATGATGACAACGTTGATGGCCTCGCGGTGGCGGGACTTGGTGCTAGCCGCCAAGCTACCATGAACTACTGTCATGTTGTCAAAGGCATGGGTGGCATCGTCGATGACAATGATGATGGCGACGATGATGGCGAGGGGCAGTTTGATGATAGTGATGACGTCGGTGTGGAGGGCGACGTTGGAGAGAGCGGCGACGATGGTGACGATGACGTCGACGACGACGATGATGTCGACGACGACGACGACGACGACGCCGACGACGACGACGACAACGATCATTTTGCCGCCGGTACAGCTGATGCCAATGGCGATGGCGATGATGATTACGATGACGATGACGACGACGTTGTTGATGACGACGAAGATGACCGAGACACCGGCAATGTCATTGTCGAGCGGTGCAACTCAACCACTGACTATGGTGCTTCCGGCGATGTGGTGTTGGAGGATTTTGCAGATGGGGCGCAGAGCGAGGACGCCCTTGAGGTGGATGAAGTGGAGGACGTTGCGTGGGTTCGCACGGCAACAGGCACACACAGCTTGCGCCGCGAGCGTCAAATCGACTTTATGGATGAATCAGCTGGCCAAACTTGGATGGGTGGTTTGATGTCCCGCCATGTTGTGGCTGGGCTGGCGGGATTGGACCTCGACTCGCGCCCATCACGACAGCAATCTACCGTAGCTAAAAGTAGTTCAGCAGCGCTGACAACACCGCGTCGCCAAAACAGTCCTTTTTTAGGCACTGCCTCTCGCCGCACCCTGCCGTCGCATGTGTTGCCGGCAGAGCGTTATGAGTCGGTCGAAGCAGATGTTTGAGATTTTGGAATACGCACTGGATGCGATCATACAAATCAATTTTTTATTTTTTTTTCGCGTGTTGGTGATTTTAGACTGTGCCTGAACTTTTCAAACTTTGCTTAGGTTTGTGACTTGCTTTTGGCGGCCGCAGCCTCTGCAGCCTTTTTGTCTGCAACAGCCTTGCGCTCGAGCCATTTCTTGTGCCATTCATCGCTCTGATCTTGCTCAAGGGCCTCGTTTAAGAGCTCCCGAGCCTTAGGGTCGACCTATCCAAAGATACAAACCATCAGGTGCATTGCCCAGCGTGACAGACACAGCGAGCAGCGTTGCTTGAGCTCAGAAAAGAAAAAAAAAACTAAAAACTGCAAGACTCAAGTGTTACATGCCTGGGATAGCTCGCGGAAGGCTTCGTCCCCGACAAAGCAGATTTCATAGCCATCAGGGTCGGCTAGAATAACAACCTGTACCGTAGCCTTGCCAGGTGTGTCCAAGGACACGAGAGGGGTCAAGACCTTGTGATCAGCGGCCTTGACTCGACTTTCGATGATGGCAAGCTACACAAGAACACGTGGCAGCCATGTGAGTAGACAGCGCTGGGACTGGTACGTTTGAAAGTTTCAAGTCGAGAGTATGCTGTCCGTACGTTGTCGGCAGGGCAGGAAAACGCAATCCGGCCGTATGCAGTGCCATGGGACAACGGAACATCTCCCGGGATTTTGTTGAGCACGAGCTCGGTCTAGGTGTGGTGCGATGTTACGCCGCATCTTTGTGTGAGTGCCGCCACGAGGGAGGGGCGGAGGGGGTAGAGGCGAGGCGTCGAAAGAGTTGATGTTAGAGAAGAAGGAAATACCTGATTAGCAGTGTAGCGCAGCCGAACTTGGGTGTCGCTGCGCGCAACAATCTCCATGCCCAGGATGCCCTGCCAGTAGGCTGCGGCCATGTTGTTGTCTCAGTGAGCAAAAGGTCAAGCAAATCGGCTGAGAGTTGGCACGTTGAAGCATCCAGGCACCAAGAAGACACACCGACGCTTTGCTCAATGTTGGTAATATTGAGGGCCACAGATTGGACGGGGTCGCCCTCCGCCAGGGCGTTGACAATCTGAAAATCGTAGCCACCCGTGACCTTGATGCGAAGCTTGTCCTCGGACGTTTGGGTGACGGGAAACTCGGACTGGGCCAGGGCTGCCGCGTAGGCCTCTGTGGAGTGAATGGTAATGCAATTGAAGTCGTTGCCGAGGTTGTAATCCTTGATGGTGTAGTTGTAAGTCAGCTCCACGACAAAGTGATCGTCTTCGCTGCCATAGCCCACCATGGTCTTGGACCATTTCCCATCATAGGGCCTATTCAAAACAAAGACGCGGCGAGAGCGACGGGCAAGAGTGGTGAAAAAGCGGGGTATTGCGGATGAGATTTTGTTCGCGTTGAGGTCAATGCAGCCGGGACCAGTGTTTCACAGCTGGCATTTGGGCGATTGGCGCTTGCGCTGTGCTGTGCACTTGAATTACATGTCCAGAGATGTGCGTACCCGTTGCAAGCAGCGGCGCAACCTTCTTGAAACTCCTCATGACGTAGGATTTGCATGCCAAGCACCTCTGTGTAAAACTTGATGGTGCTGCTGCGCTGGGGGACCTGGGCGCCGAATGGACACACACAAAACCAGGTCAGAGCAATGAAAGGACCGACTCGCGTGGTGGCAGCATCAAGATTTCGGGCCTACCTTAAAGACCCAGTGCAAAGCTCGCGGTGCCATATCCCTGGTTGAAAGGCGGTCCCTTACAAAGCTTGCACAGACAGCTTACTGGCGGAGTGCAATCTGAGTGTGAGTCGGGGCATGAGCACAAAAAACAGTGAAAGGGTGACCAAGATTAAGTAAGGTAGGCGTGGGACCGATCATTTGGAGGAGTATGTGCATAGATGACGCCAGTCTGAGCGAGTGCGGATGGCCGCAGGCGTATATGCAGAAGAAAGCCACGGCAGATCTATCTTCGACATGTACCATTCCAAAAGTCCACGATCTGCACCACAACGAATCTCTCCCTTCCCATTCGCTCACGGGTTCAAGCCCTGCTTCTCCCCAACCGCTGCCATTCTGACGGCGCGCACTCACTGATAATCGCAAAACGCAAACCACAAGCACAATAAAATGATGACAATAAATGATGACATGGCCTCATGTCAGCCAAATGAGTCAAAGTGTTACTATCATCACACCGCGACGACACGAGGCTGTTTCTCTGTGTGTGTATGTGGTAGTTGTGCTTTTCCTTTGTGTCTTTGCTCTTTACTTCTCTCTTTCTCAAACCGACCAAACCAATTCATTGTGTCTCTCTCTCTCTCTCTCTCTCTGTCTGTCTTGTCTCTCTGTCTCTCTCTCTCTCTCTGTCTCTCTGCGGATTGCTGGGCTCTTGCGACCATTTTTAGTTTGATCAGCGCAGAGCTCAGGACCTTTGCAAACCTGTTTTAGAAGTAGTACCAGGTTTGTCTGGCTGGTCCGACTTGGTTTGGCTGTTTGCCTGTGTTAGTGCACCACTTGCCGTTTGGTGTCATGCGGTTTTCCATCTCACTTTGCGGCTCCTTGCCTGCTCAGTCACCGACATTATGCAGCCGCAACAAGGTCCCTCCCAAGAAGAGGTCATGCTCATGCGTGCCCAGACCATGCAGACTTTTGCCGTCTTTGCTGCGTATTGCGCCGTGCTGCGTGCAAGTAAGCCTTGGCTGCGTCGCCCGCTCATGCCGAGCACTACTTAATGACCAAACTTGGGTTGGGCCGAGCGCTTGAGCATTTCAGCAGCTCAACTCACTATGATGATTTGGTTTTCCCTTGTAGCTCCCTTTGTCCTGAACGTTGTCCTCGGCGAGTAGGCGCGAGCCAGCACTCGTGCTACTCGCAATATCGGTCCCCCAATTCAGTTCCTGTCGCCTCGTTCTTCTAAGCTTTGCAAACGCAGATTTCTTCCTTTTCTTTCCAGGACTCGAGTTTTCACCCTGCCGACTTGAGGCGCCTGCTTGCGGCTTGTCCGAGGGACAGAGCATCAGCATTCTTGGAGACATACATGGCGATTTTTGGCACTGCATCATGGCTACGCCCTCGCCACATCAGCCTCTTTCTGCACTCAAGGATGCATAAAACAGCTTAGCACAACAAACCAACATGACATGACTAGGTTTCTCGCCGATCACCTGCCAGGCACTTGAGTCGGAACACAGAGGTCTCACCAAGGCCAACCTCATTCAGGGCAGGCACCCCTCGGTCAGCGAGCCGTGCTCCAGTTGAACAATCATGAACACAGGCCCTGACGCTGTCTCTGTGAAAATCAACATCTTCCAGTCCGGACTGGCCGTACAGTTGCAATTGCGATGACGAAAAAAAAAATAAAAAATAAAACAACAGACACAAAAACAGACACAGACACAGTCAGATCCAGACAGTCAGGCAGGCAAAGTCGAAGAGAAATGGAGAGTGATGGATAGAGCCGCCCACAGGGACAGAGGCAGACAGAGACAGGCAGAGTGGAGACAGAGACAGACAAGAGGCAGGTACACTGAGACAGACACACACGACAGGCACCGAAAAACGAACAACACAACACACAATCAAATTGTCATTTTTTCGGTTTTTTTTTTTTTTCAAATTATTTTTTTCTGGAAAAGAGGAGATTGTGCAGCTCAACGGCATCGTGGGTTGCTGCTGCTGCACATTTGCGGACCCGAGAAGATAGGCGCATCAAGATTGAGCAGCAAGCTGCCAATACGGGTATTTGGTGACGCAACGACAGCTTGCAAAACGTGTCGATACTTTGCTGAAGGAACACACAAACATACTCACTCAACCATCATGACCATGGACCTGCCGCGGCTGGAGCCAGCAGCGTTGGCTTTTGTCGAATACGAAACCGGGGATCTGGTGCGTCGTCTCACGCCGCTTCACACTAGGTGCTGCGCATCGCCGCTCTCTCACTTGCGTACGGGGATTAGGTGGGCATGATACTGGCGTACATCAGCTTGCTGCCCCTCTTTCTGTTATTCTCCTTGGGCGTCTTGATCATTGTGCGCCGTGATCTCCAGACGGTCAGTCGACTCGGCGCCGGGCTCAATGATTCTCCAATGACCAACAACCTGCCCTGGACCTCCCAGGCGCTCAGGCAATGTGATAACAGTCAACTGTGCGCTGGCTTGGCAGATGATGTTTTTGCTTGGCCTGCTCCTGAATGAGGTTCTAAACTACTGGCTGAAGCACCACATTCGCGAGCCACGCCCCGCACGAGGTTGGTCTCTCATGCTGAGTGCTTGAGAAAAGAGATCCCAAGATGCGCGCTGCCTTCCAGACTGCTGATTCCCGCTGCCGACGTTCTCTACTCCATATATGATTACACTGTTTATCACTACATGCACTGTTATTTTTTTTTTTTTTTTTTTTGGTTGTTGTTGTTGTTGTTGTTGTTGCTGCTGTCGGTTTAATGTTGCCTTGCGTGCCGCTTCTGCAGCCAGTTCGGTCCTGGTCAAGCATGGCATGCCATCATCACATGCTCAACTCATGGGATTCTTCACCATCTACATGATTTTTGTTGTATGGAAGCGGTACGTGATATTGTCTGTCCCACCCGCTCGAATCTGCCGCACTTACCTGACCGCCCCTGTAGCCTGAAACCCGCAGCACGACAAGACTCTCCCCCATGGCTGGCGCGCTCCGGACAAGTGATCGCCACCATTGGTCTCCTTATCCAGTTGGCTCTGGTGGCGATTAGTCGTGTCTATCTCTTCTACCATACTGCCGAGCAGGTGGGTTGACGTACCGCGAGCAGCCATGACATGGCGGTCCCATGGCCTTGCTTCTTGAAACACGTTCATTGTGGTACGTCACGCGCTTGTAGGTGGTTGCCGGTGTGGCTGTTGGGTCTGCCATGGGCGCACTCTACTTTGTATTGGTCCATCGCGGTCTGCGCTCGGTCTTGGCTAGCTTGGCGAGCTGGCCCATCTGTCGTATGCTCTTGATTAAGGTACGCCAACCCAAGCTGGCTGGCGCAAATTAAATTTGATGGTGCTTCAAATGGCCTTCTGATGCCGACGACGGGTGTACCCCTGGCTGGGGGCGCAGGACTATTCACATGTCGAGGATGTAGTTGCCACAGAATATGAGGCTATTATGGGTGGAATGTTGAAGCGCCGGGACTAGGCTGCATGTTCCGGCCCACGGCACCTTTATTTGGCCGCACCACGAGACTGCACGGGCCATGTTTTGCCCTGCAAATTTTGAATAACGTGCGCTTTGCCTTGGGCAAAGCAACACGTGACTCTGCTTTTTACCTTTTTCGGTCACGGATATTGGCCCAGGATGGCGCAAGAATTGAGGTCTGTTTCAACAGCAGACACATGTTTCAGGCAGCCTGGTTTCGGAATAGATCTGAGCGGACGTCATCGATCGTTTTGCTCATTCAATTGGAATAACAAAGTGCCCTCGCTCCAAGGCTTCGTTCCAGGGCAAGGGCATGCCAATGGCAAGCTCTAAAAGATCGTTGTGCGCCCGAAACAGGAGCGCCAACTCGTGGATCATGGGGCCCGAAAAGCGATTGTACCGGGACCCTTCTTGAAACTCGTGCGTAATCTCCTCTCGCACCGACTCATAGTCAAACTCCTCGAGCCCAATATTGCGTTGCAGCTACACGAACAAGTCCAGGTAGAAGAAGAAGCAAGCATGAATATGGTTTCAGCCCTTTGTGTGCAATGCTCACGTGCACCAAACTCCATACCTGTGCCAGCTCGGTGATGGGGTCTCGCCGAAAGTGCTCATGCAACACAAAATGCAAGCGGTCCGGCACCGCAGCCAACCAAGGCCGCAAATGCCATAGGTACAAGCTCTGCCAATGTCCAAGTCATCACAACAATCAGCCGCCATGGGAAGAAGCCAGAGCATGGGCTGGGGAGACGGCCACGGGCGGCCACAGGGTCACGGGAAAGCTCATCATTTGCACCTTGAACAAATAGCCAGGCAGCGCACGCCGCTTGGCGAGGCGATAGCGCTCACTTTCGGCTTGCACGCAGTCATATAGCGCCTCATAGGGTCGGGCCTGATAAGAATTCGGGCGTTAGACAATGAAGACACAGACCGGTTACGCGCGTGCATGTGCCTTGCAGCAGCTAACCTCGTCCAAACGATTCTGCTGGGCGAGCCAGGTGTCCTGTTGGTGGCAGCTTTTGAGTATGGCCAGCTCGGGGGCGATGGCATCTCCAAACGTGGCCTTTTGCTTTCCATGTCGCTTTTCATGGTTATAGTGGCTCAGGGCCCGCGACAAAGGCTCTCGTAAAACGACCAGCATCCGAATCTATTTTCGGCCGAGCGCAAGGGCATTATGGTCATGCCTCGCCGGTCAGTGAAAGCCGAAGAAGCCAAGTCAGAGTGCACGTGCAGGAGATGCAATCAAAAACAGGAGCTGAAAATTGTTTCCCGAGCACATCGAGGCTTACACGATCGGCGTTCATGAGGCGGGAAGTGATTAGAGTCAGAGCAGCGGCCGAGTGCAGATACGTGGTACTCGCTTCAAGCGTGACTTGGCCCGCACTCAGCGCCGTGAGATTGAAGACTGTTTGTACATAACGCAAATGGAAAAGACGACGGCGCTCCTGCTGCACGAGCCCATGATATTCGCGTGCTTGAGCTGCCACCTCAGCAGAGGATAAATAAAATGGCTCCTGCCAGATATCGATTTGAGACATCCCCGTGAGCGCGTCCAATGCCTAGAGACTGGCCCTCGTTTGTCACGAAGGTCTTGGAACAAAGCTTGGTCACACCTTCACGTAAGCGACGCAATTAATGCGTGGGTGTTCGCAAAGCGCATAATATAGAGCAGACGTCCCGGCTTTCATCACACCGATGATCAGGAGCTGCCCAGGGGAGGGATGAGCACACATCCAAACTCAGTCAGTCCAGTGTGACAGAACCGCAGGTGTGCCAAGGCGCATTGGACAATGAAACCAGAGTATGGGCCATTTAGCTAGGATGCCCTCGCAAGAGAGCATTGGTGTCGAACACAAACCTGAGGTATCTCCCATACAAAGGCAGGCACGCCTTGCAGCTACAGGTTGGCGGAGCGCGAGCAGACCAAGTCAGGCACACGAAGAGGAGAATGTCAGCTGGGGGCGGGGCTTCCTTTGAGCTAACGCGTTTCGGCCCCAGTGCTTGACCTGACCTGAGCGGAAGAGTTAAGCTCGTGCTCGAGCGGGGGCAGACCGTAATCAACATGGCCACGGCGGCCCTCCAACCTCTCATTCTCTCCAGTTGGCTGAAGTAGCCAGAGTGATGCCAGCGTTAGGAGCAGCAAAAAAGCCAGCAAGGCACGGGGCGCATGCCGCCGCAGCCCCGACAGAGCTGCCACGCCCCAAGCACTCGCCATTCACAAGCTGCATTGACCCGTGCCCAAGAGCAGGCATGGCAATTAATCCAGAGCTACAACCCGAAGGGACAACGTGCAAACATGCATACATGCACGCATCATCAAGGGGGTTACAAGCTTTTGATCAACAAGCTGATTGATTGTGAATCAGATGAAGAAGAAGCAGAGATCAATCAATTTGCAGTATTGTGCCCCAGGCACGCGTGTAGAAAAAAGCAAAGTGGGGGTGTTTCAACCGCCCTTCAACAGTCCACGAGGCTCGATCGCGCTACAGCAAGTGATGAATAAGAGTACATGTATTTCTGATGGCATGTACAGAGGAGTAAGATAATGGACGCAATGGTGACAAAAAGGTCATGATGGCGACCCCGACAACCAGGTGTGTGGCCTCCGTTTAATGAAGCACGGCGGCCATTTTGCGCGCCAGCAAGAGCTGCTGTTCTTGATGTTGGCGGCGAGCCTCATCGAGTTGTTGCCGGTAGCGCTCCTCGGCCATTTGCTTCTGAGCAGCGGCTTCGGCACGGACCGCATCGCGAGGTCGCAGAGGGTCGCTGAGCGGCAAGGGCGCCATGTCCTCATAAACAGCGGGGCCAGCCGCCACATCCATCATGGGCCCAGCGTCCATGTCCACGGACATGTTTGAGAGATCCATGGTCTCCCCGTTTCCAAGCGAGGGAACTGCATAACCGTTGTCAGCTTGAGGCAGCACGGCTGCGCGGGCAACCTGCTTGTGCCCTCCTGCGCCTGCAGGACGGGCACGCGTTGGTGCGGGCGCTGGCGCTGGAGCCATGGCCGCACCTTCCTTCGCAGCATGACCGTGCAGACGCTGTTGCTCAAGGGCGCGGCGAGCCGCCATGGCATCGTCGCGGGCTTGTGCTAGCGCCGCCTCTTTAGCTGCCAGTTCGGCTTGGCGTCGCTGCTCGCGCGCTTGCCGAACTGCTGCCGCGTGGTCCACGTTATCAGCTGGAGGAGATGCATGCGTGGGTGCGTCGTCAGTAGCTGGCACGGAAGGAGTGTTGAGCTCCTCGTAAAAGCGTCGCGCATTCCGTGCTGCCTGCCGTTGTCGCTCTAGATACGCTTCTCGTGCAGCGCGATAGGGATCATAGGCGGGTTGCCCAACGGCGGCTGCGGCGGCTGCGTTGACACTGGCCGCGGCAGCTGTCGTGACCGGCGCTCCGCGGTTTCCCGTGTCTATGGAGGGACGTATCTGATCTTGAGAGCACCTGGCCTCGCCGATACGCTGGCTCTTCTGCGCTGATGCCTCGCGCTGATATTGCCGTTGAAGCTCAATCTATTGGAATATCAGCGACCGTAACAAAAGTAGCAGCAAAAGGTCAGATTGAAAGCACTGACTGATGCTTGGCAAAACCGAACAAACGGCCAATGGAGCCCAAGCAAATGTTTTTGGTAAAAACCACAAAGACCCAAGGAACAAGAAAAAAAAAAATAGTGTCAGGCAAGCGTCAGGGCTTTCATTGCCTCTGTTCCAATGCCGTGCACGCACCTGTCGCATCTCTTGCAGACGACGCGCACGCTCGCGATCCGAATGCCGCAGCCCACTGGCGTTGCCTCCAGGGTTGATTGGCCGTCCTTTGGCAGGCGAGCGCGCTGCCGCATAAGCTCGACCCACATGAGGCGGCACACGGGAAAGAGGTCCATTAGGCGAGTTGAGTGCAAGTTGGGCCAGCATGGCACGGCCCTCGTTCAGCTCTTGCTCGCGCTGATCAAAATAGGCTTGGCGCGCTGCGCTTGGAGTTTTCGGGCGGGCCGCTCCGCCCAGGTTCATGCTCATGCTCATGCTCATACTCATGTGATGACGATCCGGGGTGGGGTTGGAATGATTTTGGTCCTGTCTCAGCCGGACGGGTGTCATTGTGTCCATGTCCAGGCCTGGAGGCCGGCGCGGTGAGTCTGCAGCCATGGGCGAGTTCATGGCTTGCGCGCCACCCCGGTGGGACCAGAGGCTTGGATCGCGCAGGCCTGGTGCATTGTTGGGGCCAGTCACAGTCGGTGGGCGAGCAGCAAACGCAGGGGCCGCCGCGCCAAACTGCTGGGCTTGCTGAGCTTGGAGCTGCCGATGAGCTCGAAGCTGCTTTTCAGCCGTGGCTACGGCAGCGGACGAACGCCGGCGAGCCGGAGGCCCTGCAGCATCCCCGCCATGATTCGGAGCCCGTGCACGGGTAGGTGTTGATGGAAGGCGCTTGCGGGCTTTGCCGCTGGAAACTGTGCCCGTGAGAGCGCTCGTGTTCCCGCCGTTTGATGTTGTTGAGGGTCGGCCATCTGTAGCAGCCTCAGCGGCACGTTGGGCTTCGACCAAGTGGGCAGCCTGTAGCATGAGCGGAGAGGCCAACACCTCTTGCACTAAGGGCCGGCGCCCAGGTTCCTTGGCAAGCAGCGAATTAACGAGCTCGCGCAGACCGTCGACAGATTGGTATTGTACCGGGATGGCCGGTGTGGGATGTGACGTGATTTTGGTGATGAGCGTTTTGAGATTGTTGGCATCAAAGGGCACGTGAAGGGCCAGACACTCGAACAAGATGATGCCCAGGGCCCACGAGTCGGCACGATACGAGTAGGGGCGGTCCTTGCAGATCTCCGGAGAGAGATAATACGGTGTGCCAATCTGAGTCTTGGCATAGGCTTGCGTGCAATCCAGTACCTTGGCGATGCCAAAGTCTCCCAACTTCACCTGCGGGATGCTGTCGCTGGTGGTGGGCTTATCTAGAAAGACGTTCTTCGACTTGAGGTCGCGGTGCAGAATTTTAAGCTCGTGAATGTACTTGATTGCCGAGCAGATCTGCACAAACAAGCCTAGCACCAGCTCAATGGACATGTAATCCTTGCTGCGTTTGTGTTTCTGAACCAAGTCGTCCAGATCACCGCCGGTGGCATAGTCCATTACAATCCATAGCTTTGTCGAAGACATGCCGCTGTCCACGTAACTACGTCGTTTGAATCAGGGGACACGGGGAACGCAAAATCAGGGAGGGAAGCCATGACAGAGAAATTGTTCGAGCAAAAGAGGGGTGCAGGAAGGTGAGGCGCGGTGCATGAGCTTCCACGGGGGGCCTTGGTCTGAATGAGGCAGCTTGTTGAGTAAAGTAGGGGCGGGTTTGGGCCGCACCGGATGATATTGGGGTGGTCAAGTTTTTGCAAGACCGCGGCTTCGTGGGCCGCTTCATCCTTCTCTTTCTGAGCCAATCCGGTCAGTGTAACTTCCTGCACGGTTGCCACGTGAGGCATGATCAGGCAAACGCGCGGGAAAAGGAAAGGGTGACATGAGCTGGGGGACTTGGGAGAAGGGCGCCTGGCAGGAGTCAAGCGATCAGGGCGCGAGGTGCTGTGTACCTTCATGACAAAGAGCTGGGTGTTGCGGCGCACAAGAACGGCGGCGCCGAAGGACCCCTTGCCAATCACCTTGACACGCTGAAAGCTATCCATGGCGAGGCGTCACCAGCTTCCGGCGCAGAAGCTGAGCCTTGCGGTGTTTTTGTTTGTCAGACGCGATGTTGCTCTTATCACTTCTTTGCCAGCTTTGTCGGCGAACGGAGAAGCCCGTCGGCACACATACAAGTGCGAACCCTAGCTCCAGGTGCTGCACTTGATCGGAATTGGCAGCAGGCACCGACGGAGGACGGAGGGGAAAGAAGGTGATGCAGCGAGCGACACAACCCCGCTCGTCCCCCAGCGCGCGGAGAATTTCAGTTTTTCAAAAAAGGAGAAAAATCCTGGGTGTCAAGGACACAACATCCAACACGACCATGGACCGTGTTGAAAAAATATTTTTCTGACATCAAAGAAATTTTGCCAGTTGTCGTGTTTGATTTCTTTACTCTTGACTGAAAACCCCTGATGCGAGCATGAAGCAGGGCGTGGGATGTGTGCTGCCTAGGCGCGCGGGGCCAGTTGGTGGGCCTCTGAGGCCAGTTGTTTCTTGCGATCTCGCGCATATAGCCAGCTTCGGACAGCAGGGACAAGAATACCACCGAGCAGGATTTGCGTCGGGTGGTACACGAGGAGGGGCAGGGAAACAAGAGATAGTTGGGGCGAGCCTGCAAAAACGATGTTCAGGATTGGAATACCTGCCGCAGCCCGTCCAAAGAACGGCAAAGAAGCATTGCGTGAGAGGGGGCCTCAAAGCTGGGCATCACGACGGGCATGAGAGGAGAGGCGAGCCATACCCAGGGTCAACGACTTGTGTGTGGCGCAAAAGAGAATGCAGACAACGTCACGTGGGAAGAAGCCCATCGCATTGGTGGCCACAAAAAGTACAATCATCTCTGCCATGAGCATAATGATGACCAAACCCACCACGGCCAATAGCGACCGCACCTCCACTTCGACATGACCTGTGGCACGCAAGGTTGAAGCAAGGGCGTACCCGTGTCGGGATCAGAGCATGAAATGCATGTGCGCACGCGCGTGTGCATGGCTCTGTCAATGTCTGTGTCTGTGCCTGCCGATGCAAGACAAAGAGGTCGTACTGGAGAACGTGTTGCAAAACGTGGAAAAGATGATGAGGAGCAGAGTGGCACTGCTGATATTGCCAAAGGGTATGTTCCATGGACGAATCCGGTGCCAAGCCTCAAAGCGAACCACCTAATTATCAAGAACAAGGGGCATGGTCATTCAATCAGCCAAGCACACCACGTTGAAACGGGAGATGCCGCCATGTTTCACAAAAAGAAAAAAAGAAAAATGACAGCAACGTTTGCTCAATCGCCGCACAACAGCGCTGGCAGAAACTGGTGATCAAAGCACGTTGGGCCCACCAACCTGTCCCAAGATCAAAGGCAAAACGACAGTCAAGGAGAGCGACCAGAAGATCTTGCCCACGTCCATGTCAGCCGAGGCACCAATCTAGGACATGTTGTAATGCAGAAAGAAAGTAGCAGGCCATGACAACTGGTCGCTTTCTGGTTGCTTTTGCAGCGGCTGGGTAGAGGGAATGCGCAGCAGCACCGACCGTTAGCATGAGCAATGCAGGGGTGGCAAAGATGCCCAGGAAACTGCCGAGGGCGGAGTTGAAAATAGCAGCAGCCTCATTCCCGTTGGCCGCCTTGGTCAGAATCACGGCCGAGGACACGGGTGGCGGCATGCAGGACAAGACGGTAAAGCTATTGGGAGAGGGCCCAATTTCAATCAGCCCACACGTCACGCACAAGAGGCGTTGAGCACCAAGGAATGCCGAGACATGAGGCAAGGCTGGCTGAAGCATGGCTTGGGCGGGCAGGGATGTACTGTGCGAGGACAGACCCGTTGGTCAAGGCGTCACTGAGAATCGCTGGGGCTGCGTGCACAAAGATGGCCACGCAAAGTGGCACGAGAATCAGCGTAAAGCCTTGGATCATGGCATGCACCCGATATTGTAGTGCTGCGGCGGCCAGGTCTTCAGTGCGCAGGGTGAGGCCCGAATTGAAGAAGATCATAAAGACGGCTCCATATTTGATGCTATACTCTGGCATGAGTGGACCTAGCGTGGACCCGATGACCCATGACAAGCGTTGAGACGCGGAGAACGACAAATGGCGCGCTCACAGCCCGTGGCTGTACTTGGCATTGCCGCCTGCAGCGCACGCCCTACCTCCAGTCGCGCCGAGCCACGGTACGGCGTGGGCCAAGAAGATGACAGCGACAAGCCCAATCAAAAACCAGTGTTGTTGGAGGAAGGCAAGCATGGCTGGTGTACGGGGATGGCTAGCGCCTTCAGATCTTAAGGAAGATAAAGTTGAGACCAAGGTAGTGGGCGACGCCCTGCGGGCAATCATCAGGCGCGGCGAGGCCTGTCTCTGCAGGCGCCGAGTGATTGCGGATATGAGAATATTATATTTGGCAGCTTTTGCGCACGTGCGAATGAAAGGAATGGTTGTTGCCAGTCGAACAACGCAGGTCAAGGCCGCGTATCCAGTAGCGGGGCTGTCTCACCCCACTTGGCTCTAGTGTGCCTTCGCACACCCTTGCCGCCCGTCAGCCGGTCCAATCACCTCGTGCTCGAGATGGCTGTGCGCTGCGCCGTTCCAGAACATTGGCCAACAGGATTGCAGAAGATGCAGAAACACGACGACTTTATGCTGGTATCTTGGGTCTTTGAGCAGAATTCCTAACCCAACACAGCATGGAAGATGCAGCAGTTTGCTCACAAATTGCCCTTGTCTTTGGAAGGGCCAACGCTCTCTCTGCTGACGTGGGAACAACAACGCAGTTCGTGATGTCAGACTTTTCAACTGGGTCATTCTTTGTCAGCACGCGAGTCTCCTGGTCTCCACAGCGTCCAGAGGACTGGGAACCGGCGCTTTTTTTTTTTTTTTTCTTTGATCGTTTTGGCGGCGGCAGTTGTTGCTGTTGCTGTTGCTGTTGCTGCTGCTGCTACTGTTACTGTGGCGGTGGTGGTAGCTGCGTGTTGTTCAAAGCCGATGGCAGATACGTGGTGGATCTTGGATTGATCAACGGCTGGCCGATTGGGCCAAGCGAGTGCATGCATTCATCCCAAGACAGAAGAATATAAGATACCAGAGCGGACAATTTTATCCTGTTGCCGGGACGCCCCAAGCCCTGGATCGTACAGTCGGCGATTACGCCGCGGCCATGAGCAGGTAAGTCCCTAGCGACCAGGGAAAAGCTATGCTTTCTCCGCTTTGACATGAGTTGGTCGGCTCTGACCTTGGCGCCCACGACACACCCATTTTCCTTCCACCTCTTGTTCACGCGAGCTTCTTGCTCATTCGTATCAGCCGTGTCGTGCCCGCGTCTCTCTGGTGGCCAAGAGCGTCACCTTGGACGACATCTTGCCCTTTTGTGGGAGGTCAAGCAGGCAGACACACAGACAGAAAGACGTCCAAAAAGACAGGCACACACCCACATACACACACATACATACACGCGAGACCCTGAACCGCCGTGCGTGCTGGTGCGTGCAATTCTCGTCTCTCAATCCTTCCCCATGCCTCCCCATCACGGCCATTGCCCGCCAACCAGGCCAGCCCGTACCTCCCGGGACAGCATTCAGGATGTGCTGGCCTTGGAATCGCAAGTCGCCGCTGTGCGTAATTTTGATGAGCAGGGCAGCGGTCTTTCGATCATTGCCGAAGCCCAGCTCATGACCACCATCCTGGCCCAACGGTATCTGACGTAAGTCTATGTCATGTGGTTTCATCCTCGTTGGTTTGTGCCTGTGGGCCAGTCTTGAACGTTGAGCTTGTATTCTTCACTTCCTGAAGCCGTGCTCTCATGACGTGATGCTGGCACCTGGGACGCGCGGGCACAGAACTTACACCAAGGCTGAAGTTGAGGCTTCGTTTGAGGACCAGGTCCACTTGCAGGGCGTGGACCGCGATGAGGCCCTCATGGAGCCATACCGCATGGTTCGCCGTCGCCTATCAAGCCCCAGCAACCTGGGCGATGGCCAACCCCTAGACTCCCTAGCCAAGCGTCTGGCTCGCTTGAGTGTGGCCTTGGAGCCCGAGGCCACTTGTGACCGTGCCAGTTCTGCCGATCAAACAGTTCAGCGCGGCCAAGAAGTCCGTGTCCGTCGCCAGGACGGCTTGGCTGCCAACCTTGACTACATACCCCGTCTCAACCTCGACGAGTACCGTCGTGAGTCTGACCGCCAGTCCACGCCCTCGCCCCCGCTTACGACCCCATCACAGTTTGCAACCCCGGCGACGTGGACCTCAACGCATGGAGCCGCTGATCAGGCAGATCCATTTCCTGACGATGGGGCCTCGCCATATGCGCGTCGAAGATCTCTGTTACGGGCCAATAATAGTGCTTCGACCACAAGCTCAACCGCCACCACCCTATTACAACCACGCCACGTGCAAAGTGCCCGGCCCGGTTATTCGCCGCGCCTCGCCGCCAAGCAACGGACACACACAAACACTTCTCGGCAAGAGGCGGCTCAGTCGTGGGTCTAGTACCCCTTGACTCTTGTCTGCTCTCTCTTTCTGCGCAACAGGGTCATATTTCTGACGTGTCTTGTGCAAGTTCCTTGCCATTTCTTATGGGTGCCAAACACGGCACAGAGCTTGCCTATATCACGCCTGGCTTGATGTGTTTGCTTTCTATGATGACTTTGCTCAACGGGACAGTGTGATGAGGCAACACGGTCCTGTCATATGCCGCTTCTCTTTCTGAGCTCGTTCAAGTTCTTCCCCTTCTTGAGCAATTTCCTCTTTCTTCTGTATATTTCGTAGTTCTTTCTTGCCCACTATCATGAATTTTTGAGAGCCAAGAACATGCCAGAGTGAATTGCAATCGGACGCTCGGCGCCTTTGAATCATCACCTTGACGTCACCTCATTTTTGAATAATTGTTCATGAGGCTCATGCCAACGACTTTCTCTGCGATTGTCAGTGCAGCTTGTCATCCAACGAACGTGGCGTTCGTGGCAAACTTGATGGAGCGGCGGGCACGCTGGCTGTGACTCGAGCCCCAGCATAGTCGGTGGCCAGATACAAGCCGATTCCCACAGACAAGCTCACAAGGGCCAGCAGTCGGAAGGAGCTGAGCGTCTGCTCATGCCCATCGATGGTAGAACCCGACGCATACATGTGAGCAAAAGCAATACTGCCCAGGGCTTCTCCCGCTCCAGCTAGAAGCGCCAGGACACCGAAGCTGGTTCCTTGCGTGTTGTCGGTGGAGAGATCAGAGGCACAGGTCTTGATCAACGGTTCAACGGCCATCAGCGAGGCTGAAGCAGCCGTCGTAGCCAGGATCGTCACAATGCGTGCAAGAGGACCAGGGTTGGGTGTTGCAAGCAACAGGACCCCCGCACTTGCGCCACAGAGCATCACGCCCATGCGCCGTGGCTGCCAAATCCTGTGCCCAACCACATTCTCGTTACAAATAACCCAAGCCCTGCATCTGTCAAACACTGCTAGCAATGCAAAGGCTACAGCACCACGAACCTTAAAAGCAATGGTACCGCCGCCACAGCTGCAGTGGCCACAAGACTAGTCACAAGCAGGACTCCAGAAAATTGAGCCGAGCCCCATTGATAGACATCCGCGAGAAAAAGAGGCCAGATGGTGTTCAATCCCGAGATGAAGGCTGCCTGGCCCAGGGCTGACGTGCACAGTCCAATAATTTTGCGCGCTCGGTGCACCGAGCGTGCGGCGACGGCCTCTGCTGATAAGCTGGCATCTTGTTCCGCTGGCTGGGCCGGCGCAGCGTGGTCTGCGTCGTGTGCATCACCAAGACACCCGCGTTACTTTTGCTGTGTGGCGCGTCACGGTTTGACACGATGGGAGGGAAGCACGATGAACGCGGGCGAGCCCCAACCTGGCAATAGATGGCATCCCTGTTCAGTGCAGTCTGTTGTCGACACGGTGGGTATGCTGAAGCGTCGGTCTGCTGCGCTCTGTAACCGTATTTCCTCGGCCCGGCGGATTGGCTGTTTCAAGTTTTGATCGGATGATGGTGTGTCCGCGCGCGCGCCTTGTACAGTGCAACCATGTATGTGCATGTACGTACCTGACCGAACACCAAGAGGGCGACGGTGCCATACGCACAAAAGACAGTGCAGACGCCCATGCTGAGTCGATCTAGAAGCAGGCCTTCGGGAATGTTCAGCACCAAGGTGGCCAGCGCATGCCATATGGGGTAGCAGCTCTTTCCGGCAATTCGCAGCACGGAAATCTGCCAGTTTCAACACGTGAGCGATCTCGGGATTTGAGTTTTGCGACGCACGAGCAAAAGTCAAACCTGAACAAGGTAATTGGCTACAACCATGGCCTTGGCCGCTGGGTTGGTATGATTCAAGAGATAAACCAAAGACGCTGTCCACAGATAGCCGGCGCCGATTCCCAGGGTGACGGCTATCAACACAGGTCATGTGAGGCGTCAGGCGACCTTTTGCACTTATGCAGGCGCAGCAGTTCAGGATAGGCTTGCACGAGCGAGGAAGCGATGGCAAATTAGCAATGCGCACCGCCAACAAAGAGTTCAATCATGCCCTGGGCACAGCCGCGCAGTAGGCATCCCAGCTGAAGGTAAAGCAAATAGGTGGGCCATGAAGCGGGCATGCGCCCAAGAAGACAGGTACATGTCGATCCCGGTTAGCAAGTTCGTACCGCACAGAGAAAGCAGGCGCCGAGGATGACAGGGTAGGCGCCGCGTCGATCCAGCAGCCAGCCCCACAAGGGCGCACACAGCAAGGCTGCAATGCTAATCATGAAGCCTGTCGTGACGCATCGGCCAGCCAAAGCCATGATCGGCATGATGAGGCTAACCCAGCAGGCCATCTAGCACCGCGAATGAATTGAGACGTGAGCAACAAGCTTTATGATGGGATCAACCCTACCAATCCAGCCAATGTCAATATCCGATGCACCAACGCGCCGATAGAAGAAGGTCGTCACAGGCGCATGCAGCGCGCCACCAAAGGACGCCGTCCTGCCGACCAAGCACAAAGCCAAGATCTGAGCACTGTCCATTGGAGTATTCAGACCCAAATTCTGGCCCTGCCAAGCTGACGAACCAAACCACAATCAAGACCTGCCGGAGCCGAGGATCACGAAAGAGCTGCCGGGTAAACAGGGCATGCTCCCGCCCTGCCCGCCACAGCGCCGCCAACCATCCAGCCATATTCGTGATCGCCACCGCGACGCACAGCACACAAGCCTGGAAATTGATGACATTTTTACCCGATTTGATCTTACATGCTGACAATGGCACGAAATTGCAGATGCAAGCATTGCGTTTGAAAATTGCGGACAGCTGCGGGCTGGTGGTGGCTGCAGCTGTCTGGTGCAGCTGCCTCCGCCTCATAGGCAGCCATGGCAGCCAGCGGGTGAGATGGCAGCCAGCGGGTGAGATGGACGAATCAATACTCTGCACTGGCGCCCGGTTTTTCAGTTGGAATAGGATTAAGTGAGCAGGATCTATGCAAATACATTGGGCATGGCACCGGTCGTGCGATGTAGGGTCACTGGCTGCAAGCTGCACTGTCAAAGGGTGTAACTCAAGATGTTGGTGTTTTTTTTTTTTATGATATTTTTTATGCTTACGCTGTGCTCTCGGTTGACCTGCATTTTCCCCAACTGACAGACCCCTAAAGCATAGGCGACAAGATTTGATACTCTCAAGACCAGCGTTACATAAAGAGAATGATTTGAGCCCTTCTGCGGCTGCCCAAACCAGCTTCATGTTGCGCTCCACCACTGCCTTTCGCATGGGAGGGCTCCGACTGACAACCCAGCGCCACTTGGCCACAAAAACGGCCCGACCCCATGTCGTGGTCCTGGGGACCGGTTGGGGTGCTTACCGCTTCGTACGTCAATGAGCCCAGTCTAGGGGCAATGGATCAGTGTGATGTTCGACCTGCTCGCCGTCCGTGGCTGTCCATATGGTCCTGCCGTTGCAATTCTGTTTCAGCCTGCTTAGTGCATCGTGTTGCCTGACCACCTGCCTCGTTGACGAAGGTGCGCGACGTAGACCACAGCAAATATAAAGTCACGGTTGTCTCCCCACGTGACCACATGCTCTTTACACCACTCCTAGCCTCCACGACGGTACGAGGTGCCTCGCCAGCCTTTGCCCGGGTTTCTTTTTTGGTTTCGTTTTTATTCTTTTTATCCCCATGCCTTGACAATCTTGACTGGTGTACCACGCTAGGTTGGAACACTAGAGCATCGCTCCATCATCGAGCCTGTACGGCCCCAGGCAGCCAAGGTAGGCCGGGCTTCTGCGTGCAGGTTCCAAAGGCAAGCATGCTCAGCAAACCGTGCACCGCATACGCGTCCACAGAACGGATGGCGATATCTTCAAGCGGAAGCCACAAACTTGGACCTCCAGCAGCAACGCATCACGTGTCGCATGAGCAGCTTGCACGTTTCTGGCGTACAGAAAGATACGGTAATTGATTACAATCACTTGGTCGTCGCCATCGGAGCCCAACCTCACACGTACGCTTCCACTTCTGCACATGTGCAGACGACACTGGCATTGATTTTGTCTCCTCTTTCGCCGCGATGTGCTTGCTTGAGAATGACCTCATGCCGTGCATCTACACGTGTGGTATCTCTAGGCTGAATGTTCCTGGTGTTGATGAATCGCGTGTCTTTTTTTTGAAAGAAACTGAGCACGCTCGGTACGCCATGCCCTATCGGCATGACATTCATTTGATCTCGCCTCGACAAGTCCTCGCAACTTACCCCATCGGTTTGCCTGCTTTTCAAAATGTGCCTGCCTAGGAACATCCGCAGTCACATCCATGACTGCTTGGAGGCTGCCTCAAACACGACACTCAGCCCAGAAGTGCGGCGGCGACTCACAACATTTTGTGTGGTGTGTACTTTGATTTTTTGTTTTTGTGGCTGCAGATGCCCGCCACGCCTTGGGCTTGAGGCACGGGTTTTGGACGTTGGTGTTTGACTTGCGTGACAAGTCTCTCCTCATTCACAGTCAAATATACCATGCTTTTTTAGGTGGGTGGGGGGCCTACTGGGGTTGAGTTTGCTGCCGAACTTTCCGATTTTCTGGAGCAAGACGCAGCTCGATTGTACCCCGAGTTGACCATGCTGCCCCAAGTGATCATTTTCGAAGCAGGCACAAGCAGTGCGTCACCTCCTTCTGGCCTCCTTGCTTGGCACCCGGTCTCTGGGCCAACTCTCCATCTCCCGTTTGATTAGCCATGCCTCTGAGCCAAGTGTGCTTGACATTTTTTGTATAGTCCTGGGCAGCTTTGACCAAGCCCTCTCCGAGTATGGCCTCATGCGCATGAAGCGACAGCATGTGGACATTCGTTTGCAAACTCAAGTCAAGGAGGTGGGTCAAGTTGACGTGCACCAAACGAGGGACAGGTTCAATTATGTGTTTTCTTTCTTGCCTTTTCTGACGAAAGTTCAACTCGACGTAAGCAAATTCACACTATCTCACCATGCTTCTTGCTCTCTTGTAATGTAGGTCAAGGATCAATCCTTGGTTTTGAGCACTGGAGAGGAGGTCAACACGAGCACAATTGTGTGGTCGACCGGGGTCGCACCTCGCAGCCTCGTTCAACAGCTCGACGCTAAGCATAAGTCAAATGGCTCAATCGGCGTTGACGAGTGTCTTCAGATTCAAGAAGCACAAAATGCCTATGCGTTGGGTGACTGCGCGAGCTTGGAGCGTGAGTTTACCTGCAGACCCTACCCCCCGTGTCTCGTCACCAGACACATTTGCTCATTGTTGTCTTATCATAGGCCGTTTGCCCACCGTTGCACAAGTGGCTGAACAACAAGGCGCCTATCTGGCACGGCACTTCAACCAAAACTTCTCATCGGCCAAACCCTTCGCTTTTGCTAGCAAAGGCATGCTGGCCTATTTAGGATCTTATGGAGGTACGCAGGCGGGGTTTTCCTCGAGCGTGAACGTCAACCCCCTTCACATCAACTGTTTGTTTTTTTTCTTTTATAGGCGTTGCCGATTTGGAGCTCACCGCTCCAAATGACCGGGGGGAAGGCGTCAAGCTGAGTGGGTTCAAGGCTTGGCTTGTGTGGCGTGGGGGTTATCTTACCAAGCTCGGAACCTGGCGCTCGCGCCTGCAAGTCCCATTTGATTGGGCCAAAACCATGTTTTTTGGACGAGATCCTGCCCGATTTTAGGCGCTTTGCTACAATTATGTACGATCTTACTTCATTGGCCTCATTTGTGGTCTCAGAATTGGTCGCCCACATGCATGAATAGTTGTGTCTTGGACTGATCCGCGTGATAAGAAAAAAATGTTCAAGTCAATTGGATGCTTGGCTCAAGTCGAGCTCTCTCTATACACATCGGGAGGAGTCATTTTGGGTCGCACGGGAAAAATGTCGATGGACACGGTGATATACATTTCAACGAGAATAAGCATGTGTGTAACGGCAAACCATTGGCACGCGCCTTTGACAGCCGAGTTGTATATCACAATTTACACAGAACAAAACACCAAGAAGAGCAAATAAGGGCACCAAGCTTATTGCGAAATGGCAGTTTCGGAGTAGGCATTTGCATTGTGATTGCTCGAATTGATGTCGGTCACACTCAGCTCATACCCCTGCGGTTCAGTGAACCGACGCGTTGACGTCGTTCGCGGAGATGCGGCTACCGAGTGAGCTCGCTTTTTGTGATGAATCACAACAACCACCGCCACCGCTACCAGGATGATGCCGGCGGCCACGCCGCCGGCGATGGCGCCGACTGGTGCAGAGCTAGCGCTGCCAGCGTTGTCAGTAGGCTCGGTGCCTCCGGGTGCCTCTCCGGCATCATCGGTGGGAGAAACTGAAGCGGGTGGATTTCCGCTGCTAGCTGCCACGGACACATCGCCAAAGTCACTGCCAGGCATCATTGAACCCAGCTCATTGCTAAGTGCGCCGGACTCTCCTGCTTCCGTCAAGCCATCCAAGGTCTCATTCTGCGACTCCTCGCTGCTAGTCTCCAGCTCAAAGTCAACCTGAACCTCAGTGCCTCGACGACGGAAGCCTGGGCCGAATGTGAAGTCCACGCCACTCGTATTGCGATGATCCAGATTTGCCACTTGCATAGACAACAGCAATGCGTCGAGAAAGTCATCTGGTGGCAAAATCACATCCTCGGGTAGCGTTAGCACAACCGTGCCAGATACCTGGAATGTTGAGTTGGAATCTTCCTCGGCATCCTCCCCCCCAGAAAATGACGCCTGACAGCGGCTCTTGCAGCTAGCGTGCTCCTCCGCGCAGATGGTCACGTCGGTGGCACCCAACTGGCATTTGACAAAGTCCTTATCGCAGCAGTACTCGCAGAGATCTTGAGAAGCACTGCACACGGTTTCCGAGACACCACAGCCGCAGCGTCGACCATCCCACTCACAGTAGTTGTACTCGCTGAAAGGAGCATTGATGCAAGTTGTCTCGGTGCTCTTGCAGAGGTTGATGCGCGCCTCTGTCGAGGCCCGGTACTCATTGACCTCGCTGCAGGTGCGCGGGCGCGCCATACACTCTCCGTGATAAGCAATGCTCACGCCAGCACACTTGGCCAAGCATGGGTTGTCGTAGGTCTCGCCATCGACACCACACACGGGATCCTCTTTCGTCTCACAAGTGGCCGCGCAGCCGAGGCAAGCGCCAGCATACGCCAAGGTCTGGCCGGCACATCGCATTTCACAGGGGTTGGCATATTGGACATTGTTGGATCCACAAACCGGCTTGTATACCTTTGTGCACACGCAAGGCACAACGTCATTGCCTCCTGAAGCATCGCTCCCATAGGTTGAGACAGCATCAACATCATAGCTGTCAGAGCACAGACCATAGCCGTAGTCCGATACCACAGTGGTGTTGCGCGTTGACTCGTTCACGATGACCGTGGCGTTGTATTGATGATCACGCGTCTTGGTACTGTATGTCGAGTTGTCGTTCAACCAGTTGGTGTCCAGCCACCATGATGGCATTTTGGCCAGCACGCGGCATCGGGTTGAGTCTGAAGGGTGAAAGTCTCCTGCAGTTACATTACGATAGATTTGCTGCTGCAGGTGGTACGTTTCGTACATGTAAGGAACGCCATAAGCCGCATCGAGCGGGCCCATGAGGTAGCAGTCGCCGTCTTTGACAAAGTCGCTTGTGTACGTGGGCAGGCGCTCATCATAGCTAGGAGGCTGTTTGAAGTACACCTGGCCATCATCGGACGATGGGGATGGGGTGGTCCCCGAATACTCAGAGCCTGAAATCATGTACGTCTCATCGTAGACTCCCTTGGCTGGGACGCTAAAGGTCTCGTCACATGGTGGTGGGCTTGCGCCTGGTTGCTGATACTTGACACAGAGCTGGAGCTCCGAGTCCAGCACATCAGCCGGGGTCTCCGCAAAGGGGCTCATGGGCACGTTGAGTTGGGCCGACGGGTATGACATCATGTTGCCCAAAACGGTTTGCCAGTCCCACCAGAGCTTGTCGATAAAGGCGTGATGCAAGAAGAAGATTGGATCATAGGGGCTACTGTAGCTCGTCATCTGACCGCCGACAAACATGTGCACGTAGCCATGCAGACTTTCGATCTGAGCTGAGACGGTCACAAAATCGGTGCCGCTCAACACCGAAGCAACATCGGCAAAGCTTGGAATTGTCCACGCCGGGTTCCAGCTTCGCTCAATGCAAGGCACAAAGCCTGCAAAGGGACCATCAATAACGCAGTTGGTGCCGGGGGCGCCATTGGTACCTAGGGCCAACCATACGGGTGATGCTGCTGGATTACGGGCATCGATTGTCCAGTCCCAGTAAGGGATCGTCACATTGCAGTTTCCGCTCACTTCCCGCAGGAGCGTCTCAAGCTCAAGCAAAAAGCGGCGGTGCCAGGGCCAAAAGTTGCTGTTGCCGTGAGCCACGGGCACAGCAGACAAGTGCATTTGCGCAAACTGTGTCCACTGACTGCTAGAATGAAGAAGATTGACAGCATCGACAAAGTCCTGCACCTGCGCAGTTGTCATGTCTCGGATTTCACGCCGCGTGGTAGGGGTCGTGCAACTGCAAGTCACCTTGCCATCGGTGCCACACACACAGGCCTTGCAACCAAAGGTAAATTCCTCGCCCAAGGCGTAGGTTTGCCCTCCGTAGCTGCACTGGCGCGGGTTGGGTCGAGATCGGCACGTCAACTCTTCGCACTGCTCGCCTTGGGCGTAGGCCAAGACCTGCACGCCAGATCCCTCTTGGAAGAGCTGGCATTGACTGCGCGTGAGCTGTCTGCACTCGTACTCGCCGCCCTCGTAGTAACCGTTGTAACCATATTGATCATTGTCCAGGCCGTACTGGTCCAACCCGCGGCGGTCGTAGCCTCCCTGGTTGTAGACCCCCTCGGCGCCATACTCAAACTGTCGGCCGTCACGGCTGCCGTACACATCCTTGCCCTTAATGTCAAAGCCCTGGACATCCCGTCCATCCTGATCGTAGCCAAAGGCATCGCGGCCCTCGCCGTCATAGCCAGTTTGGCCATAGGACATGTGATAGTGATCGTGATATGAAAAGGCGTCGCGAGTGGTGACGCCGTCGCGTGCCACCCCGTATTGGTCAAAGCCATAACGATCATAGCCTGTGCGGTCGTAGCCATACTCATACCCTGTTGGCACACGGCGAATGCAGCATGCGCCAACGTCGCACGCTTGCTCGCAGTCAGACTTGCTGGCAAAGTTATTGCGATTGCCGTCACAACCGCCATATGTGAAGCGCACGCACTCTTGTGCACGGATATCAAAGTACCAGCGCTCAATCTCCGCCTTGCAAGGGCCAACCTCCATGGGCTGCATGCATACGGGCGCATAGTCACGCCCTGTTGCAGCCGCTTGGCAAGACTGGAAGCAGCTTGTGAAAGCATCATAGCGGCGCGCGCTGGCCTCGGAGCCCGGGCGCACGGCCGCAAAGCAGTTGGCATCACAGCTGCTCAGGTTGGCCGCAATACTCTCCAGGGCCGACCGGCACCGGCGATCTTGCCAACAAATCTCAAACGAAGACTGACAGCGCGAGATGCACTTGTTTTTGGGAATGCATGAGGCCTCACGACCGGGGCCGTACTGGTACTTTGAATAAGCAGCACCTGCATCCTCGGTTGTGGGCACATAGACGCTATTCTCCTCCCCTGCATTGTAGCTGTACTCACTCGTCTCGGTGGGGCTTGAAGAGAACCAAATGGTTTTGCAGCCGCCACACTCGTTGACCATGCAAACGGCGTCGGGATCGGCCGGACAAGTTTCTTTGGCACAAAGATCGCCACACTGGAACCGGCGCACACCCGGTGGGCAGAAGCAGCGGAAAGAATAGGAAGTCCATTGATACGTGTACGTCAACGACGGAAAATTGCGATCAATAAGGCTATGGCAGAGTGGGTTGGAGCTGTCCAGCTCCGGTGCGTGCGTTTGAATGGTCACGCGGAAAGGCGCAGTAAGCTCTGCAGACTTGGCTTCAATGTCCTCCGGGAGCTGACAGTACACCGTTGAAAGATCAGCCGAGAAAGTACCGCTCGCAGCACAACCATGCCAATCACAACTCCAAGTGCCGTTTGGCAAACGCGCCCAGAAGGAGCACGTTGCCCAGCCCGCAGAGCGAAGCGCCGGATCAATGTTTTGGACATTGATGGCCAAGCGACCATCATCGTCATAGCCCGCACACAGGTCCGAGTCAACAACCTGAGGTTGGTACTCAGGACGACACGTCACCAAACGGTCGCAATTTACCTTGAAGGTGTGTGCCTTGACATTTCGCAGCACTGGCAGCGTGTCAGGGCAGGGATCCACCTCCAACGTGGCGGGTACCACGCGTGGGCGCACGCGAATAGGCGCATCATGCAAAGATTCGTCAGAAAGGAGGGTCGAAGGCAGAGCGCAAGCTACTGTGGCTACCCCGCGGTCAAAGCTGGTAACGAGTCCGGTCTCTGCACAGCCCAAGCGTGTACAGTCCCAGACGCCGTTCGACTGCTCATAAAAGGCACAGGTTGTGCTCAAAGAGACAAAGCGCAGATCAGGAGCAAGTCCACTCACAGTCACAGCCACGGTTTCATCTTCAACGCCACAGTTGGGGGATACGGCCTCAATAGCGGGCCACAGAGATGCATCACAACCGTCCGTAACTGGGACTGCACATGTCGTGCGGTAGGACACGTATGTGCCCAAGGCTGAATCGGCGCTCAACTTGGAGTCAGAGCTCTGACACAGTTTGGAAGGCGCGATATTGTCCTGGTGCCAGACCGCGACCGTTACGCGATACTCGCCCTGATAATTATTGAATCCGGGGGGGACTGGGCAATCAATGCTGGAACCATCATCTGCAACCACAGCCTCACTGGTGCATCCATGCCAGGCGCAGCTCCAATCGCCACTTCGAGAATTTTGCCTCCAGAACATGCAGTTGCCAACCGCGTTCGCGCCGTAGCGAGGGTCGACGTTGCTGAGCGTGAGAGTAATGTTGTTATCGGTCAGGTTTTGGCAGCTGCGACCGTCGTAGGCGATGCTAGGGCGATAGCGCGAAGAGCACGTTGGCGCAGGACACACGGGGCGGAACTGTACAAAGCTACCCGGTGGCATGTCATGGTTTGGCATGCTTGTGCCCGAGCTCGAACACAGACCATTGCTAAAGTCTGAGGCTCCTGGCGGCCCAACCACCACCGCGACCCGCACTGACTCATACTCATTCAAGCTGTCTGGCACATCACAGGCGACGGAAGAGAGATCGCTTGAAAAGGTGGCGTTCATCTTGCCCTCGGTCGAGCTCATGGCATAGAGCCCACCATCGATCGAGTGCCAATAATAGCACGCGCCCACGGCAATGCCCTCGAGGGCCGGATTCACATTGGTGATATTAAGCACGAGCTTGTCGTCCGTCACAACACCACACTTGCTATTCAAAGCCAAAATGCGAGGCTGGTATTTGCTGGGGCAGGGGACGTCGAGTGCACACGAGGCGTGGTGTTCGCCATACATGCCTTCCCGGACGGGCTGACGCCCCATGGTGGAGAAGCAGGCCGCGCTGCGAGGGTTGATGCTGTTTTCCTCGTGCCACACACGCACGCCAATGCGAATGACAGCGTCGTGCTCAAGGCCCTCGGGGGCAGGGCAAGTTACTGTACCCAGGTCATCAGAAATTGATGCGTCGTCGTAGCAACCATGCCAGGTACAGTCCCATTCTCCATCAGCTGTTTCACGCCAATACGAGCATTGTGCGCGAGCTTGACTTCCGTATGCCGGATTGACGTTGCTGACGCTCACCAAAAAGTGATCGGTTTCGCCGCAAAGAGGACCAATTCTGGAGATGATGGGCACGTGGTTCCACTCACAAAGCGGCACGGGGCAGCTATCTGCGTAAACAGCAAAGCTTCCTGCCGGCAAAGAGTCAACGGGGCGCTGGCCACCCTTGCTGAAACACTCGCTACGCATGCGACCCTCCACATTATCCTCATGATAGACTTGAATGGTGATGCGCAAAGATTGCGAGCCAAGGTCGCTGATTGCAGCAGGCACCTCGCAGCTGAGGCTGTGCAAGTCGTCTGCAACAACTGCGGGAGCATAGCAACCATGCCAGGTGCAATCCCATAGGCCGTCATCCGTCAGGAGCCAGAATGCACATGTTGCTTCGGCGTGTCCGTGATAGGCGGGATCAAGATTGTACGTGGTCAAATTCAAATGCCCATCAACAGCCAGGTCACAATTCGGCTGCAGAGGCTTAATGCGTGGTTGAAACTCTCGCGAGCAGGATGGTGCCGGACAAGAAGCAGCAAACGTGGCAAAGCTGCCCAGGGGCAGCCTGTCCACGGGTGCTCCGCCTCCCTTGCTGAAGCACTCACTGCGGGTGCGGCCAGCAATATTTTCCTCGTGATAAACCTGAACGGTAATGCGCATCGTCGTCGTGTCTTCTGGCGAGAGGCCAGATGGCAAATCGCATGTCACGCTGGTCAGATCCTCGGAAATGACTGCGGGCTCATAGCAGCCATGCCAGTTGCAATCCCAGGTACCGTCTTCCGTTAGTCGCCAGAAGGAGCAAGTTCCTGCGGCATGACCAGCATACATTGGGTCAACATTGTAAAGTCCAATGGAAATGGTCTCTTCATCATCAAGCCCACAATCTTTCTTCAAACTGCGCAATCGAGGCTGGTACTGCCATGAGCAGGTTGGCACCGGGCATGCAGCTGAATACGTAGCAAAGCTACCAGCAGGCAGTGAGTCGAGAGGCTTGCCACCACCTTTGCTAAAGCAAGAGACGTGCTGCTTGCCGGCAATGTTGTCCTCGTGATACACTTGCACAGTAATGCGCAACTTGCTGGTGTCATTGGAGCTAAGGCCGGCCGGGAGGGCACAGGTGATAGCTGAGAGATCAGGGGAGATGGTTGCGGGTTCATAGCATCCATGCCATGTGCAGTCCCAATCTCCGTCGGATGTTTGACGCCAGAAGGCACAAGTGCCAACGGCATGACCAGCGTAGGAAGGATCAACGTTGTAAAGTACCAGGCTCAATGTCGAATTTTCATCCATATCGCACTGAGGGGAACCCAATTTCACGCGGGGTTGATAGTCCCACAAGCAGGGAGGGGCGGGAGATGTACTATTCGAGCCACCATCATCATCGCCTCGACAGTCGAAGATGCACTGCAGCAAACTAGCGAAAATTTCGTGAGCAATCGGAGTAGTTGCGTAGCGAGCTGCACATTTATCAGCACAGGAGCCATCGTCACACTGGCCAGATGAGGAAAGGTCAACGAGGCAGGCCCAGGTCTTGTTGCAGTTTTCATTAAATTGACACTTGCGCAGCTCAGCCGCACATGTTTCCAGCTCGCAGGGACCGGGGAAGGGGTCTGAGCCGTCATCGTGGGGGCTGCTGCAGCCCTCGCGCCACTCGCAGTCGCCGCCACACTGGTCCTTGCTGGTAATGTCAAAGCAGGGCGAGTTCTTCCAGTCGCCCTCCTCCACAATCGGGTGGCACAGGCGGTAGTACTCGCAGTCGGGCGCATCCTGGCACATGCTCTCATCCTCGTTGTACTGGTGGCAGGGATCACCAGTTGTGCAGGTAGCATGCCTGAGGGTGTTGTTCTCATCCATGAACTCCCAGTCATTGCAACAACCTTCCGCATGTTCAGGGTCCCAGCCGTCTGGTCCTCCAATGTGGCATGCTTGATCCTGTTTCAATTTGCAGAGAGGCAGTCAGGGCTGTGAGCATAGTCGCGGCTCTGTGCCCTGGACCGCCGACTTGGCTGTCTTTCCAAACTTACCTTGTTGCACCATCCGCAGCCACCTTGCCCAAGGCAGTTTTCCTTTTCAAGCCCATTGCATTTGGACTGAGGACACCACAACTGAGCATCTTGGCCCATTAGGTAAAACTCTTCGCAGCATTGCATGTTTGTATCGCCCTCGATGGGGCGGCAACCGCTGGCCGACTCCTGCCAAACAATCAAAGTTTCTCGAATGAGATACCAGTATCAACTTGAAACTCAGAGCATGAGGGGACATCACATCTCACGTACCGGCCGCGCACACCAGCCACATTGGTCATCGGCCATGCACTCTGATTCGCTTTGGTATTGGCCACAATCAGCAGCCGCGACATTTGCAAATGTCGCGGCTGCCAAGGCCAGGGCCGCCAGCAGTGCACGCATGGTGCCAGTCTACAGCTGACACGCTGTCTCCAGCGCCGTGAACTTGTTGTCCTCAAGCAAGCCCTTGATGGTCAGAGCAATCTGGTGCTGAACGCTCTTCATGCGTCAAAGGAATTCGTGGTTGTGTATCTCAGCTCAAGGCAATTGAAAAATGCAACGCATGATGGGCGTTCAAGTGTGGTTGGCAGTGCGCCGTTGTAGATGCGGTCTCGCCCTCAACGTGTGCTTTATGTGAATCAACCACTGACGACGATAAACCACGCCCATGGGCTTGCATGCAGTAGTGCCCCGCCCCTTTCAGAACCCTAAATGGAATGTCCTGCATTAATGGGTATGGGGAGTTTCACCATCAAAAGCTGGCCTGCGGAATCACCCAACCTGGTTGGCCGCCCCTGACGACGACTTGATCATCTGAGAAATCATCTTCACCTTGCACACGACATCAAAACGCGGACGCTACACATTCGCAAGCCGGGCTCGAGGGGCGTGGGGCGTGGATGGGAATACATGTCACATCAAGGTGAAGCAAAATGGTGTTTCATACCCAACCCTCTGGAAAGGAGCAGAGGCCAAAAGGCCGCCCTTCGATTTGTTGGCTGGAACAGCATGGCAAGGGGCTAGGCTCGAAGTGAATTCTGTTGAAAAAAAAACACTCTCAAACACTTCCTACCCTTTGGGAACGTATCGTCATCTTTGTCGTCGTCACCTTGGGTTTTGTGGGTGCGCTGTTCGCTTGGTCACAGTAGAGAGAGTGACGACGACGGATAAGCAGAGGACTCGGGGAGAGTATGTGGGAAATGGTGAGGGAGTAGGACGTGGGAACTTTGAAAGTGACGACGAATTCGCGTAGCGCGGTTCGCTCGTCTAAAGATAGAATGGGCTTGCTGACATAAACGGCTGACATTTATGGCTGACAAAGAATGCTGACATGACACTTGGTTGTAAAGCAGTGGCCGCTTGTTCGCGAATTTCTTCATTCCGCGATCGGCGACGACACGACAACGCCAGCGACTGACCTGACGCCTTGCTAGCTGACCTGTTTTCGATTGATCCTCCGCCAGTTTTGCATTGAATGAGCTCATTGGTCAGTGAGTATCCGATCTGATGTCCTCGCTGGACTTGTCCAGAAAAAGAAGGGGCTGGCCTTGTCCCGACAAATCACCAATTCCTGATGGCCCTCACCCTCACCGCCCCGCTTCCATGCGTTGACAGGCCATTCGACATGGCCGAGGATATCCTGCAGCAATGGCAGCAGGTGGGCCGCATTTCATCTGTTGACACGCGTAGATTATACCTACGGCCTCGTGACTTCTTGTCTTTAGCTTGGCTATGCACGCTCTCCAAGTGAGCTGAACATTTCATCTTCTGCCTCTCCTTGCTCGCTTGCGTGGCCCATCAGTTTGATTTGCCAGCTTTGCAGAAAGCGCTGGATGAAGATGCGCTCAAGGTGGAGGGGCGCCAGACCGAATCCGAGCAGCGCCGTCGCAAGCTAGTAGCTGAAGTCAAAACATTCCGAAGCCGCCTCTCGGAGGTAGTCAACCGCCCACACCCCCTCGCCACCCCTAACGCTCATTGCCCTTCTTCGTTTTCCCTTGCCTGGTACAAACACCATCCTTCAACCCTCTGAATGTGCCTTTACAACATCTCACCCGCTTGCTTCCCAGGATGTTCGCAAACAGCTAGCGCCTATTATGAAGTTGTTTCAGACTGAGGTTGACGCCCTCACCACTCGGGCCAAGGCAACCGAGAATACCTATCTCAAGGTTTACCAGCAAATCATTGAACTTTCAGACCCTGCCCCTTGGCTTCAAAATCTTGCTTCGGCTTCCAAGCAAAAGTCCATAACAGAGGTTCGCCACTCTCAAACCATGCCCTGGGCATGTCAACGTCTTTTCCGCCCTTGATTCGATTTCATGGCCCTCTTTGCCCGGCATGTAATAGGAACTCAGGGTGGAGAATGACAAGCTCAAAGCAACAATTGCCGAGTACCGAGCTGAATTTACCGAACTGCGCAATCAGGGTAAAACATGGACAGCCTTTGCGAGCACCCGAGCGGCCAGCCAGAGGTGATTTCATACAACTCATCAAATACACACCTTTTGATGGCAGAGGTGACCATTAAGCAACTGCAGGAAAAAGTGCAGGAACAGCAATCTATGACCGACGCCCTCATTGAGGTATACACTCGATGACCTCACATTTCTCGAAATCTACTTGAGTGATTGACCACATCCGCTTCAAAACTTACGCAGCGAATCGTCTTGCTCCCTCCTGTATAGAAACGAGTGGAAGAGCGCGAGCAGCAACTGCGCCGGGACCTATCGGCTGACTCTCGCACCTTGGAGGTGAGGCACGGCGACTCCTTTTTGCAGCCGAGTCGCCTCATACCAAGCCCCAACTTATGGCACTTTGATATTAGGATGAACGGCTGCAACTTGCAGCAAAACTTGGCACCAAAGAGCAAGAAATCATCACTCTCAACGCCACAATTGTTCGTCTCTTTTAATGTCCACCCCGTCACCTCTTAAGACTGAGCTCTTTCATGCATTTTTATCTCAGCTTTTGAAGCTTTTTTTTCTTGTTTGTTTTTCTCGTGAGTTTTTTTTTGTTTTTTGTTTTTTGTTTTTTGTTTTTTGTTTTTTTTTTCGTTTTTGGCTTGCCTCCTTCGCGGCCTTTAACTGTAAGGTTGACGAAACCCTGCACCCCTGCACCTTGCTGCTGACTACAGGATGCCTTGCAAGGTGAAATGCTGGATGTTCGGTCCAAGCTCGAGGCAGACATCGCTGCTCGTGCTCAGGTGGGTTTCAATCCTTTCTGAATGGCACATTTTTCTTGTCATGAGCCGTTCGTGAAGCCTTGTGTTAGGCATGGGCTAGTCATCACCTTGGCTTTCTAATCAACCGCCCCCGTCCTGAGACAACGCCACGTTTCGCCCTTTGACCCGCAGTGTCTCGATCTCATTCTGTGCGTGGGCCCATGGGAATGCAGGAGGTGGACCTACTTGCCGAAGATCTCCAACGTGCTCACCAACGCGTTGAATTGCTTGAAAGCGAGGTATGCCGTCTTCTCGCAAAATCAAGCCCACCCACTCGCTCGAGGCGGGTCACTCGCTGACGTTCCCGCCTGCTCCATATCAAGGTGCACATGCAGCGCCGCCAATACGAAGAGGCTGCCGAGGTTGAGGAACTCAACACATCCACCATGGCCAGGTATTTTCTACCCATGGACCCAAATGGCATCGTTATCCGCCCAGGCCCCAAACTCACTTCAAAGCTTATCTTAGCGCCGAGGAGCAAACACGCCTGTCGCTGGAGAAGGAACTCACGCTCAAAGACCGTGAAATTGATCAACTGCTCACTGACCTCCGCCGCTCACGCCAGCAAGAATCCGAAGCCAATCAGGTATTCCTTAAACTCCGATCTGCACCTAGCCCCCGCGCCATCACCTTGCCCTGACCCACCACCTTGACACGGTTTCGTGCTCCAGCGTGCTGCACAGCGCTCTGAGGAGATGGAAGCGCTCCTGGATGCCAGTCAGAAAAAGATTGAGGTGCGTGCTGCCCCGTCGTACCTGACTTGAAGCCCAGACCTTCCCACCATACCCACATTGTGCGCCTTTTCGCGCATGCTAAATCCCTGTCTTCCCTACCATGCATCAGGTGCTGCAAGATCAGTTGAGCAAGCAAGCCGATTACGAATCGATCAAGCAGCAACTGGCCGTGTTTCGTGCTGCTGAGGTAAGCTGAAAACCATGCCTCGCACATCTTTTTGTTCTCATCAGATCACGATGGAACTGTGTGTTTGATTGTCTTTCCACGTAGGTTAATTCAACATCGACGACCCAAAGCGATGCGCCCTTAGAGGTGGTGCTTCTCAAAAAAAACCGCGATCTTGAGGACCGCTGCTCGAACAATGCCAAGGAGTTGCTTACCACACAGCGCAGCTTCGAGGCGTTGAAGGCAAGAGCAATTCCGATCTATTTATTGCTTGTTGGGCGTTTGAAATGCCCTAAATTGGATTTCCTTCATGAAATGGTGGGGACTGACCTGATTCCGGTGCGTTCATAGGTGGAACATGCAGCGCTTAAGCATGTCGCAAATGACCAGGCCGAGGTGATCAAGCAACTCGAAGGCGAGTTATCAGCCATCCAGGTTCGTGCTTGGTGGCTATTCATGATACCTGTGCCTATAAACCGTCCGCGTCGAACGGCTCTCGTCTGGGATATTGACATGTAAGCTACGCGCGCTTTGGCTTTGCGGACAGGTGTCCGGTACTGAGGGCTCTTCCAAAGCGGACAATAATCGCAATGCTAACGAGGCCTTGTTGAGCGGAGGTAAGCTCTATTTCAGAAACCTGGCCAGCCCATTGGGTTTGTCTCAGCTGCTTAAAGATCAGCAAGCGTGGTGGACATGCTCCGACAGCCTGATCTTTCCTGATGGTGATATGTGGGCCTGTAGGCTTTTTGCCAGATGCGCAAGATTCTTCAAGCGTCATGTCCATTGTTGCTGCCCAGCGCGATCGCTTTCGGAGCAAAAATTTGCAGCTCGAAGGGGAGATACGCCATTTGGAAACGCTCAACAAGCAACTGCGGGATGAAGTGGATGGCCTGCGCTCCGATAACATCAAGCTCTACGAACGGATCAAGTTTATCGAAACATACAACGATTCAAGCCGGCGAGGTGGCGATGAGGTGCTGGCACGCTATGCCGACGGCTATGAGGAAGGCCTTAGCCCCTTTCAGCAGTTTAGCACCAACGAGCGACAGCGCAAGCTGACCACTATGCACCCAGCAGACAAAGTCTTGTACTCAGTGGTAAGTGTCTACGTGCCACACGGCGCGGGCTGGATGTTCAAAGCGTCAAGAAGAAGACGACGACGACCCGGCTGTACTTGTGTAGAATAAACTGCTGCTGAATCAGATATCTTGAGTTGTCTCACTACGCTATGCGTGTAGGGTCGATTGGTATTGGGGAACAAGATTGCTCGTCTGGGCTTTCTGGGCTACATCGTCATCTTGCACTTTTTGACGTTTTTCGTAAGTGTTTTGCGCAAAATGGAAGCTTGTTTAGACTTGGATCATGACTTTTTATGGCTGGCGTATGTTTGTCTTGACGGCAACCTTTTGGGCATGTGTGCAATAGGTCCTCTACAAGTATTCCCATTCTCAAATGGCTGACATGGACTTGGCACATCGCTGCCAGCAAATGGTCCCCCTGCCCCGAGCGGCGCAGGACCACATCAATTTTGACAGCGCTGGTCTGGAAAATGCATAAGGAAGCACCATCGTGTCATTATTGACTGTCTGCCCCTGTTCATGGTGTGTGAATTTTGTTTGTTGATTTGTTGGGCTGTGAATGAGCTTTTATTCACCCAATGGTGCGAGCCTCATAAGCCGCAGCGCGGCACAGCCGTTTAACTGCCCTCAAATTGATCCCTAGTTTCAAACGGCACTCAAATTCAAACAATGATTACTATCGTGCAGGAAAGCGAAAGACTTATTTTTTTTTTTTGTTGTGATTGTATGAAGTGGAAAACGATTTTGAAACAGGTTTTCAAGTTTCTGACGGTCCAATCCCCACAGTATGGTCACTAAATTTTCGAGTTACAATCGATAAGCCGTGACGCTGTTCTTCCTCAGACAAAGCAAGCGACTTTGATAAGAGAGTACCGTGCCTACTCTGCAGCGTCTCCAAAAAACTCGCTTGCCATATGGTCGTGGTCGTCGTGCCGATAGCGCTCGAGAATATGTCGCTTAAGGTACTGTCGACGGGTCAGGTCCTTTTTCTTATCAATGAAGCATGCGTCGAGGGATTTAATGTCCAGCTGCCGGATGGGTGCCGATGGCACAAGGTTGGAATGGTCTATACCTTGCTTCATCAGCGTGTAGAGCTTGGGCTGCCCCGTCGGCCTGTGACGCACCAACACGCAGCCTGGAATGTCTTTCCGGAACTCAAAGTGCGCGAAAGTGGTGATAGAGGGCACGAGGCCATCGAAAAACCCCTCAAGGTATCCTTTCCAGTCTCGCCAATCAACCATATTGCCGGGTACACACGCTGACGACGACTTGGTGCTGGTCGCCACGGCGTGCTCGACATCCAACGGGGTCCAGATGTCTTTGCTCTTCACAGCTCGCTTGATGAGACTAAAATGAGCATCACAATGATTCTTGGTGTGCCCAGCCACCATAAAGTGAAGACGAATGGAGTCATTGCGCTGTGTCGCGACTCTCCATGCGAGGTACCAAAGAATCCATCTATTTTTATTCTGGCCATCGCAGTTGTCGGCGTGAAGCTCCAAGTTGCGAATACCGGGCAGACTCTTCACGCGCTCGGATGATAGCGTATGGTGAAGCATGGCACATACTACGTTGGCGTCGTTTGCCATTGGCCAATGCCCCTCGACGAGGGGGAAGGTGAATTGCGTTTTGATGTTGCTGATTAGTACGCCGAAAAGGTCCACATGGAGTCCATTTAACAAATACATCTGGCCTGGCTGTTTCTGAAGACGCGGCAGAAGAAGTTTCTCGGCAAAGTCAAACGTCACGTGGACATACGGCACGCTGGCTTCTTTGGTATTGCTCCGCAGAAAGTGGTAAAAGTCACGCTCTTCAAGGTAATGAAGGCGGTGAGCAGTGAGGCCATCCGCTGCGGTCTCGTTCGTGGGTGCTTCCTGCTTCAGTCGGAAGCAGAGGTCGCAAAAGTCGCTTCCAGTCCTCTGAATCCGAATATTAGGCCGGCTTTTGCTCCACAAATCGAGAAATGACTTTCGTGCCAAAGGGGTGGCTCGAGGGCTTGCTGCGGTTGGGTTCTGGTTTGCCTTCTCAAGCTCGGCCATCCCCGCATATGCCTCCTTGTATGCGTCATAGACATCCTTCTTCTTGGTGTGTGATGGTAGAAGAAGCAACGGCGCGCCCCGTCTACTGCCTCGTCCAGTGGGACAACAGTCGGCCTCTCGCGCTGCAAAGGCATCGAGAAAAGCGAGCGCAATGCGCGTATGCGCTCTCTGACTGTCTTTGGTTCCTGGTTTGTTCGAGACGTAGGGGGTGAACAGCATGCTACCGGCGACCTGAGCGTGGTGAACAGCCAGTGTCCTCTTGCTGAGCTACAACCACAGAATTTTGGTTCGCATCATGAGAATATCAACAAGCATCATGGAGGAGGGGAAGGGAGATAGGGGGAGGAGATGAGAGGCCAACCTGCGTGAAGGCGCTGAATCCACCCGGGCAAAGCCTTTGGCCGCGCATGGTATAAGTCATGATGGAGTACCTTTTCTGCGTCTGCCCGCCTGTCGGAAGTACACCGCCGACACCTTCGGTCGCGGGCTCGTTCTTGCGACGTTTGGGCGGAGGGCGTCGCGGATTGGCCACCAAATTAGATTCTGCACCTGGGGCTGCCGCATTGGCGAACATGATGGCCCTGACATAGCCAATGCGCTCTGCCTCTTTGAGCTGCCGGAAGCTCACAGCAGTATCCACGTGCTCCGTGTTAGCACGATCAAAGCATGGCTGGCATGAAGGGGCGCATGTGCATTTGCAGTCCGGGCTCATGGTCCAGCTGAGAACCTTTGAGCGAAGTTGCTCTATATCGCCAGCGGGCGCCACTTCCACTGCTGAAGGTGGGCTTTCTGGCTCATCGTCGCTCTCATCAAAATCACTCTCCTCTTGTCCATGATCGCTGCCCCCTGCAACATTGCTGCAGGGATCGTCGTCATCTCTCTCGGGGGCTGCCGGGATGCTGTCATACGCGTCGGCCACCAGAGCGGCATCACCAGGATCGCCGTCCATGAATAATCACACACACACACACACACACACACACACACACACACACACACACACACACACACACACACACACACACACACACACACACACACAAAAAGTGACAATTGACGTCATCCAAGCACAAAAAGGTGAATCTGTGTATGGTGTGTCATCGACACATCACTTTGCCACTTGTACGGATTGATCGCCATGGCGCGACGACCTCCGACGTGTGGGCCTTCAAGCCTGTGGAGACTCTTTGCAGTGTTGTGGCTGCTAGCGTCGTTTGCGTTTGCTGCCGAAGTTGTCGTTCACAATGGCAACTTAGCCCTCGTGGTGGAGAGCTCCAAGAAAGTTGTGATTGCCGAGCCCAGCGAGAGGGAGGCGGACCTTTTTACCGATGAAGATGCGCGGCTTCTGACACAGGTGAGCGATTGTTCACCCTTGGCCCCGCTGCTTGAGCACGCTGCTTGGAAGCTGCTGTCAAAACAACTTATGCTTGCCTCCGTCCCGTGCTCGCCACCCTGGCGCCATGACATAGGGTGAGGTTCGGAGCTTGTTGGCCACCATGGAGGCCGCCTTTGCCGAGCGGCTAGCACAAATGCAGGCCCAGCTCAATGCCAAGCTCAACGTCACCGAACTTGCGGCCACCGTGGATGCCATGCTCGTAGACACAGCCAATGCCTCGGCCCTGCGCACCCGCCTGCAGGGCGCCGAGACCCTCGCCGCTGATAACAGCCAGCGTGCTTTTGCAGCTGAGGAGCGCCTCACCGCCCTCGAGCAAGCCAATAACACCCTGGCTACGGTCGTGGAGTCGTTGGCTTCAACCAAGGCCGATGCCACGGACGTCCGCACTGACGATCAGATCCGGGCGATCATGACAGCCATGGTCAACAACGAACCCGCCAACAACGCCGTGCGTAACGCCTTGGATGCCAAGGTGGATGCAGTTACCCAATACGCTGACGAGGACGCGCGTGACCTCCTCAACGACATTGTCAACAACCCGGAGGGGGACAACAACGCCCTGCGTCTGGTGCTGGATGATTTGGCGACGCGCCTGGGCGCGGCAGAAGCGAGCCTGGGCACGGACTGCGGTGCTGCCTGCGCGGCCGGTACATACGAGGCGACGGCATGCAATGTCGGGGCTGGGACCGCACGCGTGTGCTCAGCATGCGGTACCGGATCCTTTTCCTACGGTGGATCCGTTCCCAGCTGCACCAACTGCGAGTCGTGCGCTGCAGACGATTATGAGGTGCACGGCTGCACGGCTTCCTCGGATCGTGTCTGTGCGCGCTGCACCACGTGCGTGCCTGGGCGCACCTACGAGACGACGGCATGTACGACGTCGACGAACCGTGTCTGCTCAAGCTGCGCAACGTGTGCCAGCAACGAGTACATTGCCAGCGAATGCACGGTGAGCAGCGAGCGTGTGTGCAACGCGTGCACAACCGCATGCGCAGCCAACGAGTGGATGGCTGAGCCGTGCAAGAGTGATAGCAACGCCGTGTGCCAGACCTGCACGGTCTGTGAGGCTGGATTCTACGAGGCTCGGGCCTGCTCAGCAACCGCGGACACACTGTGCCTACGATGCACCGACTGCGGAGAGGATGAGGTGCTGACGGCTTGTAGTGCTTCAACGGACACGGTCTGCCTCGCTCCCAACTGGGGCCTCAACGTCGACCTCAACGCCTCATTGGTCGTGGAAAACCAAATCGAGGTGCGCTTCCCCATCAGTGGCTTTGATCTGGAAACATCGAAACTGCACAGCACCTTTGTGCGTGCTGGCACCATATTCGATGGCACGACCATGACAGTGACAGATGCAGGCTTCTATTTTTTGGCCTACAACATTCGAATCGACCACATGTCGGAGGAGTGGGTACATTGCAACTACATCTTCGACGGGGTGAATAATCCCACGGTCAATGGTATGAGCTTGGTGCGTGGCACAATGAATTATGAGCAGTGGACCTTCTCCAATGCCGGAATCGTCAAGCGGGCTGCTGGCTCCAACATGACCATGATTGCGCGTGCGGTTTCTGACACCAACTTTACCGTCCATGAAGATTCTGGTATCTCAGCGTATCGCGTTGAACCCACAGAGGGTCTTTATGCCTTGTTGTTAGAAGATGTGGCGGTGACATCCGCAAATACTTGGTACAAAGTCAACGGCTGGACTGCTGAAAAGCCAGAGAGTTTGACCAACTACCTCTTTGGCGGTACGCTCGAGGACTCTGCATACGTGGTCAAGGAAAGTGGCATTTTCCTCCTCGGCGCCACTGTTCGCTTGGACCAACCAGGTAATGCGGCAGCCAACTCTCTCGACTATCATCGCCTTGTCATTGCCATCAATGACCAGCCGGAAATTGCTTCGCCACTGCATATTGTGCAAGGCATGCCCTTTCCCGATGACTATGTCGTCAATTACGTTGGTGGTTTGGCCTGGCTCAACGCCGGGGATCGCGTCCAGCCCTATGGCTTTAACAACGTGGCGTTTGATTTCCGCTACCGACCACAGTCACATTTCACGGTGGCCAGACTCGAAACCAGCTACGCTTTTAGTGCCACCATGACGAACCATCAGCACGTGACGACGACTGACTTTTTTGAAGTGACGGCCTGGACTGTCACGCCCGCCACTGCTGCCTTTTGCTTCAATAAGGGCGGTGCATTTGATGTGTCTACCGGACGCTTTACTGCGCGTGTGGCTGGGTATTACTATGTTGCAGCCAACATTCGCTTGGATGATGTCGACGCAGCCACCCAGTTGATGGTCGTCATCAAATCCAGCGCTGACGAGACATTCACAGATGCGGGCCTGACTGCCGTGCGTTCTCCTTATGGGGGAGCCAATCCGCAATACCAGAGCTTATCGCCGGTGGGTGTTTTGCACCTGCGTAAAGGCGATTACGTCTCGATTCACGTCAGAGTGACTGGCTTTACCGACTCATATATTGTCCAAAGCGAAAGTGGTTTCAGTGTCGCCCTCCTCGACGGCCCCAAGTGACTGCGTCTCCCGTTCCTCCCGTAAACGTGCCGTGCCGTCCATTTTCTGACTAAAGAATTGATTAACAACGCGAGATGGTCGGGACTTAGGCTCAACGTGTACCCACAACCGTGTACCTGAAGTCTTCTCTTGCGCTATGTTTTTTTGTTTTTGTTTTTTGTTTTTTTTTTTACATGTAAATTTCCAAAAGAAACAGAAAACAAAACAACCTAACAGTCCCCTAAAGGGATTGATTCTTGACACCTCCCTGGCCCCCGCCCCCCGTTTTTTTTTCTCTGCGTCATTCGATCGTATTTGCGCTGTCGCGACGGGTTGGCCGGTTTTCTCCGTTCTCAAAAATATGCAGCATAGCCAAAGTTATGAATTATCTAAGCTACACCCCGGCTGGGCCTACTGCTCGGCTCCTGCCCCCTCCATGCATGTTACTCGTCCTCTGCGTCGCTTGCAGACGCGTCGTCGGACACTTGGGTGCCGTCAGACTGCCCCGCCGCGTGGCCAGGTGGAAAACCCTCCTCGGCCTCGCTGTCCGACACGTCGTCGCTGTCACTGTCACTTCCGGCACCCTCGGCGTCAGCGATGCGCTGGAGCAGGTGGTTGAGCTTCTCGAGCCTTTTCCACGAGTGGTCAATGCAGGCAGCCACGTCGTCATTGCTCAGGTCCCGGAATGACGCCTGTAACGCCGCCTTGACCTGAATAAAGGTTCGCTTTGTGTGGTACGTCCGGCCTACCCGGCCTTTCACCTGAGCCCAGATCAGCTCCATCGGCTGAAGGTCCGAGTAGTGTGGTGGAGAAAAGAGCACCTCATGTCCCGCTGCGACGGCCTTGGTCACGGCCACGGGCAGGATGTTGGCTCGGATCCAAGGCTCGACCTGCGCCCAAATGGCCTGCTTGGTCTGGCTACCATCCACGTCCAGGCCCAACTGACGGCAGGCAGCGACTAGATCGTCCTTCTTCTGCGACCGTCGCGGGGTGGATGCTGGCAAGGACTTGTGGTATTTGGCATTGTCCATAACGATGATGGCGTTCTGAACCCCCATGCGCGCCAGCTCTGCAAGCAGCACATCCATCCACGTCGCAAAATAATCAGCATTAAACGTGTCGTGATAGTCCTTGGTCTCCTCGCTCTGCTTCCCACCGGTGAAGATCTGGACTGTGTTGCTGAGCAGTTGAGCGTGGTGCTCCTCGCACCGCTCGGCCTCGGGCACGTTGGGGTCGGCGCCAATGATGGCGCCGATGAAGCAGTAGCGTTGGCCCTTGTGCAGCAAGGGTGTTGTTTCACGTGTCTCCTCGGGGTCGTGGAGTGTGTCGTGTTGGGGTCGGTAGTGGTGGTGGATATAGCTCTCATCCATGTACACAATGCGGCGGTGTTTCCTGTTGGCGAGCATGGTCTCAACGTATTTGTCGCGGAGGGCGATGTTCCGCTCTTTTTCCCTTTACTTGATGGTGCCTTGACGCCGACCGCGTAAGCCCAGATCGTTGATGAGGCGCTGCACGCAGCGCTGGACAGCGAGCCGCTGCTTGCCGCCCACTTCGCGCAGGTGCGGTGGCATGAAGCCGTTGTCGCAGAGGAAGCTGGTCAGGGTGTCTGCAACCACCCGTTCGCCCCGGCTTTCCTTCTCGAAAAGGAAGTTGCGGATCGCGACACGCAAGGCTTTGGTGCGCGGGATGCGTCGGGGCTGATACCCACGCGGTCCAGTGAGTGCGGATGGAAGATAGAGCTCCCGAGTCTCCACAAAGGCTTGCCAGGCGCGGCTGCAGAGGTTGCTTCGGCGCCCGAGGGCTTGTCCGACTTCGCGAGCCCAATCGTGCTTGGGCGGTCGGCCTGGCCGTTTCGAGGCCAGCCATGCCTGATGGCGCAAGAGGAGATGCGTGGACACGACGTCCAGGACTTCCACAGCCAAGGTTTGGCGCCCAAGTTCGCGCCGCTTCTGTCGTACCCACGCACGGCCCTCCTGCAGCAGCTCAGCGTCCACATCCACCTGCTTGACGCGCTTCTGGCGTTTAGCGGCGGTCTGCCCACTGGACGGCCGTGTGCGACGTGGTGATCCAGGGGGCGGTACACTGACGGCTGACAACGTGACACTGTCCATTTTGTCATATACTCCTCGGGATGCAACCTCGTTCGGCGGCGGCCGGCGTGAGGAGCGGCCGGTGCGCGGGGAGCCAAGCGAACCTGACCCAGACACCTGCGGAAGGCAAAAACTGATGAGCCTGAAGAAAAAGCACAGAGCGAAACAGTGAAGAGGGAGTTATGAATGAAACAATCACTAAAGTTGTCGGGGACTGAAACACACACACACACACACACACACACACACACACACACACAAATTGTCATCATATCTCCGAGTTTCCAGAAGGGGCACTTTTGCTCCTTCATCCTCCTCATCCTCGTCATCACCAGCATGGGTCGCCTTCATCGTGGCATCGGGGCCATGGCCGCTGGCGCTGCCTTGCTGATGCTCATCTCCCTTATGGGCCTTGGCAGCGTTCATGCACAGATGGTAGGGGGACGAACGAGGATCGAGCTTCAAGAAGGCTTCACTCACTGCTTCGCTTGCGTGGCCTGCCTGTCCATGTGAATGCACCATGGTCGGTGTGGATCTGGATGCTCATACATAGGAGGGCTTGACCCCTGAAATGATGCAGGGAGGTCAAATCTCACCCGAGGTAGGAAGCTTTACACACGGCCTGCGGCCCATGTTCTGGTGTGTCTCTTCTTCCCGTCGCGTCCACCACCTGATCCAAGCTTCGGATCGGAGGGGTGTGTAGATGCTCAACATGATGCAGAAGAAGAACCGTGAGGGCAAGCCTGCCATGTTCTTCCTCACTTTCGTAGCAGATGATCGAGAGACAAATGAGCGACTTTCTGGGTCCGTTTTTTTTTTTTTTTTACCTGGCGTGGGAAAGGGGGAGGGGGGTGAGAGAGAACCCACGCTCGGTCCCCCTCAAGTGTACAAGAATACAAGTGCTCACCGCTCGCTATTTGCTGCTCTGGCTCGTGCACAGTGATTATGTCACCGCTCTGCGCCAGGCTCATCACGAGATCCAAGTTTATTTCATTGAGGATGACAAGGCCCTCTATTCGATCCAAGACGGCAAGCACCTCGACGAGATCCTGGACTACCTGAAGGCACAAGACAACATTGCGCAGGTTCGACTCTTCCCCGAGCGCTTCTTTTTTCTTAGGTTTGGAGACTTTTGCGCAGTGGTGCAACTGACATGCTGTGATTGCCAACATGTAGATTGAGCTAGATAGTCAGAAGCTGATGAAACCTCACCCAAAGGACGAGTGCGTCTTGCTTGACGGGCGTCCGCGTCGATTCTGCTCGCAGCCGATACCTGTCACTCGTTCGTAGTTCTCACGTGTTGGCAATGATCCGCAACTTTCAGGGTATCAAAGACCAAGGTGGACCAAGCAGACTCGGAACGTCGTGCCAAAGAAGAGCGCTTGCGCAAAGCTCAGCGCCGCATCAACAAGGCCAAGGCCAAAAAAGCCAAAAAGGGCCAAGTAAAGGGCAAGACAGAGCTGTGAGAGCTGCGAGCGTGCAACTGATGTACCTTTAACCAACCAACTTGTCTTGGTGGCACAGCCACAGGGGTGTTCTCAATCCTCAAATGGCCCAAGCACCAATAATTTAGCATCTGAAACTTCTCATTCCTGCAGCGCTTGGCGTCACGAACGTTTTTTGTTTGTTTCCCTTCACGCTTTATTCAAGGAATCTTCAAAACGAAGCATCAATCCATCAAAATTTGATAGTCCATGGTCATGTGAAAGTCAGTGCATAGGTGGATAAATTAACATGCATGTGATCACATGAAGCAAGAAGATAACGTTCGTATAATTATTTATGGTAGCAGAGCTTGATAGAACCCTCGCCAATTACAAGCTATGGAGCGTGGCGTAGTGCTTGGGTGCGTCGTCGCGCGATTCGCCGCTCACGCGATGATAATATTTGACACCAAAATCATCTGAAATGACATGCACCCATTCCGGCCCGGGTGGCGCGTGACTCAGATAGACACGTGCACAAACTTGCTTCAAGAGCCAGGCAAACACGGTGTAGTCGAGGTAGCCGCTATCAGCGATACCACTTGCATCGTAATAGTATTGTTCCTGCATGGCAGATAAAATTATCATATTATGCCTTGTGAGCAAGGCAACCAAAAGGTCCTGCTTCAGTTTCGGGTCGACAGCACGCACCTCTTCGCGAGATAGACCGAGGCCCAGCTCAGGGGCTCGAAGGATACCAACAAACTCTTCAGGCAGGAGGTAACCACGGCCCAGGCGATCAGCAGCCAAGAAAGTAGTGAGGGCAAGCCGCTCAAAATCGTCGCGCGGCCGTTGGTAAATGGACGGGTAGTAAAGCGTGGCGCTGGGCGGCAACTGGACTTCCACCCGGCCCGTCGCCCGCTCCAAATAGATCACGTCCCCGCGCTCGCGTGAGTAGATTTCAACCCATGATTCCGAAGGCGCTGAAAGGCGGAGGTATTGGCAAGGCAAAGCGAAGCAAAGCAGGCAGCGCCAAAGAGGACCAAGTAAGAGTAGCAAGGGCCACGCAAGCGGGGCTGCTTTCGGGGCTGCTTTCGGGGCTGCTTTGAGCTGCATGGACGTCTTGAGTCAGACTGACCTTTATCGGCAAATATGCGCGTCAATAGAGGGCGCATCAAGGGCACAAACTCAGCCCATTCCAATCGGCCATTATCGTCCAGGTCAACGGCCTGCATAACCTGAGCAGCTTGCTCGTCGTCCAAGACCAAGTTGAGAGCTGGCGAAGCCATAAGTGAGGCAAACTCCATCGCGTCCAGCGACCTATACGGTCAGTCAATTTGCCCAGCGCAGATGAAAACAAGCTGCTCGCACCACCACTTGGAAACGAATCGGCATGCAGCACAGCATGTGGAAACATCGAGATCTCCTTACCCATCGCCATCCAGGTCGGCCTGTAAAAACGTTTCCTGGATCAAACGGTCAAAGATGGCATCGGCTGCATTGGCATGAGCGCCGGCTTGCCGCAGAACGTTATCCAGCTCCTCGGTTGAAGCAGCATCTGCCTTGGCGGGGCTGGCCAGCACCGAAGAGAGAGGTGCTGCATTTTCGTCGTAATTTCTGGAGAGATGTTTGCGTGCTCGATAGCCACGAAACGCCGCCTGAATCTTGGTGGCATTGGCCTCCAACAAAGACAGCGCAGGGTCATCTGGCCAAACTGGCTCAATCTGTGATGCGCGTCGCGCTGCACGTCGTCGAGAGGCTTCCTTGCGCGCTTGATGACCGCGATAGGCAGCCTGAATCTTTATGGCAGACGTTCGACGCTGGTTTTCGAGACTCGGCTCCTGCCCTGGCACCGCTGTGGACGAAGAGGCGTTTTCGTTGCCAACAGGGGAAGTTAGCGCACAAGGAAACCCACAATGAGGTGGTGAGTAAAGCGATGGCCCTGTCATACGCCCCTGTTTTTGTCAAGCAGGATGCAACTCACCAGCAATTGCTTGGTCCGGGACCGGAGCAGGCGGCTCCGCGCAGCGTGGCTCGCTGACGCCTGATGCTTCAAAAAAAGTGGCACCAGTATCGTCTGCTGCTGTGCTGTGCTGCCGTGAGGCCAGTGCCGAGGCGTGCGGCGTGTAATCGACAGGTGTTTGAACCAGGGCGCCGGGTATGTTGGCAGGACTTGGACCCGAGGATGGCTTCGACCTGGACCGTGAGTGAGCCGAGGACGGTTTTGACGCGAACTGTGAGTGGGCTGGGGTGTGAAGGGAAGGCTTTGCTGACGCCAGCGAGGAATTTGTCCACAACTCGTGAGGACGGCTGGTTGGGAGGCGCGTGAGAATTTCTGGATCTTCTGCCAAGAGTTCTTGGCCCCTTCGATAGGCATCAAGGAGCTTCTTGGTGGTTTGCAGGCGCTGTGCCGACGCTGCTGATGGAGGGTGGGAAGCGCGGATACTGCTTTTCTCCTCGGCAAATGCAAACAAGCTGGGAGGACGCGCGCCTCCTCGCGTAGAGCGTGACGCATTGACGCGGGCAGACGAAGACATGCGCTTGACAGATGCGCCGCTGAGCGCACGCGATGATGCAATACGAATGTGATCGGCATCTTCACCCGCCAGACTGAGCAGCGAGAGTGTGGAGGGGTGGCTCGGAAGAAGATGGCTTTCTTGTCGTTCTTTGCGCCGTGCTGAAGCTTGACGTGGAGGAGAAGCAAATGGGGAAATGTCCTTGGTGGGGGATGGGGATTCGCTCACGTGCAGCGTGCCGACTTGGGCTAGGCCTTCCCGATTGATGATTCTGAGCAAGAGACGGAGCATCAGAGTACAAAACGCAATAGCGGCCTCACAATCCCGCACATTGACGACTAAAGAGAAAAGGAATGGATCTCAAACCCCGTAAAGGTTGGTTGTTTCTGCCACATTCAGCCCCTTACCTGTAGTTGAAAGCAAATCGGTTCTTCGCTAGAAGGACGTCTTTGAGTTGTACAAACACGCCGTGGTTGTGGGGGCAGCGAAAGTAGCGCTTGCCCCTGATAATGCCGTCATGAGTGCCAATTGCCTCGTCGAGGTGCACGCCGACGTGCACGGGCGAGCCGGTATAATCACTTCGAAGACGCCCAATCCACTTCACCACGCCTGTGCGGTCCTCGGTTAGCAAAACGCGCTCGCCTACGCGGAACGGGGGCTCATCGATTGAGGCCTGGGCCGTGCAAGGTGAGGGTAAAATGCGCAGCGAAGGGTGGTGCAAATCAAATACGGGGGTAATTGGGACGAGCCCGAAGTGCTCACCAGGAGCTGATGCTGGTGCTCGCGGGCCTTATTCTGACGGGCGATCGCGATGCAGGAGGCACATCGACAGCCATTGCTGTTGACAATTGGCCCATTGGGTGAGGCACTATGCAAAGAGGTGGCTGGCTCCCAGGCAGGCAATTCGAGCGACTTTGAACGATGGTGCCGCCTGATGCGTGAGGTGTTGCCGCGGCGCAGACTGGGTAAGGTGCTGGAGGAATTGAATTTGCGCATTGTGCCCCGTGACGTGGGTAGTGATCTGAAGGAGGCCGGGAACATGGGCAGTGACACAATCGCATGGTGAGGTATAGCATCCAACTTGGAATGGCTGGCTGTGATGGCGTTTGGCAAGCAACTCGGAAGCATTGACCTTGACATGGCCCCCATGTCCAGGGTCGTGGGCGGCAAGGGATCCATCAGGCCTTGATGTTGACTGAAAAATTTCTCAACATCGACACCCAGTAGGAAAAAGGCCAAGTAGTCCGCCAGCAGAATAGGAGCGTACACTCAGCCCCAGCAGCGCCCTGAGGCTTGAAAGTCACTACAACAGCGGCAGCGGCGGCGGTGGCTGCCGTCAGCGTGCTCAGCTTCTTCTTGTTGTTGTTCTTGTTGTTGTTGTTGTTAGGGACTTAACGTCTCATAAAGTAAAGGAATTGTCAGCATTTTTGGGTTTTGGCAAAGGGAAAGCAAGCAAAGAAATTGGTTGAGTGATGGACACACACAAGGCCGCTGGCGCGCCACACGTCTGCTTGGACTTGAACGGGAGGTGAATGCAGCAAGTGATAATTTAATTAATACTGAGAGAGAAAAAGGAAAGGACGTCTTAATATGAGGCAAGGACAGGTATGCGGACAATACAAAAGCATGCCGTGGGGCCCGTTCGACAGGCGCAGAAACACAGGCGCATACGCACACGCACACAGGACAGTCTCTCAGAGCCGACGGGCCATGACAAGAAGGACAAGCACAACAAAAGAAGCCGTTTGCTACAATCAAGGGCAGGTGGGGCGGCTTGACCAACAACCCGAGCTCAAATCGATGAAACATATCAGCTAGAATCTCCTGTGGCGCGCGACACCAGTTGGTGCACGCCGTCCATAAGCGATGAGAACACATCTGACGTGGCACGGCCTTCGCTGCTTGGCATCTGCATTGATAAAGACAGGCAGAATAAGACCAGCAGAATTTGACCCGATTAGTGTGTGACGCAGCGCGCCCAGGAAGGAGACAGGGCAACGAATGAGACGACACCAAGACACATACGGCGCGTGCACTTTGAACCAGCTCGACGAGTTTGGCCTCGTCCCCAGAGTTGGCGAGCTTGACAGCTTCAGTTAAAAGGATAAGCTGCTTTTGCAGTGTCTTGACCTACAGCAGACGTGGTATTCAGTTTCTGCGAGATATGGTCAACACAAGTCCAAGGTCACACCACCACATGCTTGCTCGCGGCCCAAACCTGGTGAATCTGAAGCATTTCAAATTTGGCCAAGAAAGTAGCGCGCTTGTGCTGCATTTCAGCCGCACGCTCACTCAACCGCTAGGGTACACATTCGGATTTGAGATGGGATCGCGTGAAGGAGACAAAGGGGGTTAAGCAAGAGCCAGGGGAGATGTTAAAGCTCAAGTGATAAAGCACATTTTCATGCCGTTCACTTTCCGTGACCGCCTCGAAATAGCACAGTCCTCACCTGTTCTGTTGCACCATGCCGAGCACCGTTGTGGCGCTGTAGTTGACGGGCACAGGCGTGATGCACGACGCGTGCTCTGTCATATTCATAGTAGCTATCCATGGTATCCTGGATGACCGTCTCCACCAAGGTGTTCATGCCTTGCAGGAAATGACGCAGGCAGCCAGACAAGTAGGCGCTGCGATAATACTGGCGCTTGAAGGCGGTGGATGAATCCTCAAGTTCATCCAAGAGGGATACGGAACGCACTGCCATCTGACCTGTAAGATGTGATTCGAGATTGATCGAGTGGTCAGACTGTTATCAGCGCACAGTCCATTGCACGAGGAAGCAGACGGCCAGCGCACCGCGACCAACATGTCAACGGCAGCAACAACTTACCAAAGTGCAGGCTAAGTTGTTGCTCAAGTTTGCTCACTGATTGATACTGTTGCAAGAGAAGGGTACAGATGCGCACGACCTCGGTCAGTGACTGCTGCACCCCTTGAACCTCTTTCATCTTCTCATCCACCTCCTGGGAAAATGCAGGTGATTTGGTATGGGCATAAGGCCGTTAGACAAGGTATTGTGGTACAAACGGAACCTGAGGCTAAAAGCGGTGGGTGGTGATCACAAAAACAGCAGCAGCAGCAGCAGCAGCAGCAATAACAGCAATAGCAGCAATAGCAGCAATAGCAGCAATAGCAGCAATAGCAGCAATAGCAGCAATAGCAGCAAACCGGACAAACCTGATCCAGTTCTTCTGTGGGAATGCCAGAAATACGCTGTCGCACGCGTTGCTCGGCCATGAGAAACTGTTCACCCGTCCAGTTCAGAAATGTATTGAATTTGTCCACCAAAGGTTGAGGCGGCTTGCTTGGTAGATCAGCCACATCACTTGAGATGGGATTTGTGAGTGGTTGTCGTGACCCTGGTAGGGATGAAGCTGGTGCTGCCGGCTCGAGAGCCAAGCCAGCCTCGTCTGATGCAAAGGCGGTGGGCGGTAGGGGCGACGCCGGACCTGATGCCAGCACAGCAAGATTGAATGGAGCGTCAGGGTGTAGACATCGGCCATAGACGAAGAAAGAATTCATACAGTGGACTAGGAAATCATGGACCAACAGGCATCCGTCGTACGCACCAACGGGAGACAAGGCGCTGCCTGTGTGATGGTCAGCTTCGGCTTCAGCTTCAGCTTCATGAAGCTGGCGCAGGGGCGGCATCGGCTCTTCCAGAGCAATGCCAGCAGCTAGGTTGGGCTGGTCTTCTTTATCGCTGTCGAGCGGGGCGTCAGTCAGAGGCACATCCATGGTGGGGGCGGCAGCCTCGTCCTGTGAGATTTCTGACGGCACTGTTGCGTTGGGCAGTGGGGAATCATCCATCGCGAAAGATGATGCAGCCAAGACCGACAGGCAAAGACAAATAATGCCTTGGTCTCCTTTCCACCGCAATCGAGGGTCTTTGTCTGCCGAGTCAACGGGCGCTCTATCGTGGGACAGGGGACAGCGATGGATGAGAGACAGACTGGTACACGGAACCCTTGAGAAGAGCCGTGGTATGTCATCACAGATTAGCAAGTGCTGCAATTGTCATGCCGTACACCCTTGGCCAAGCTGACAAGAGCGAACGGTGCCTGAACCCAATTGCCCCGGACACCGGCGTGCGGCAAACGGAACGTTGGCAGTCCAAGAAGACCGCCAACGCTGCTATTTTCTTTGGGTTTGTCCCGTGTATGTGTGCTGACCAAGGCATGCGTGCGTACTTGCGAGCTTCACGGCGCCAAGATCTACACGACCAACCAGTGTTGCCTGTCTAAAAGCTGTACAGGCCACAGCCACCCTTGTAACATCCACGTCAAGGGCGAACGGCCACTTGAAGCGCGATACTCGTGCACGATCCTCAAAATTGGAAACTGTTCCAGCGCGCGCAAGACACACACACACACACACACACACACACACACACACACACACACACACACACACACACTCACTCAAGAGCGCGAAATTTTAAGGAGACAAATATTTGTATACTTAAAGTTAAATTGTTGAAAATGGAGGGGTATTCGGTGTTGTGTGAAGAAAAAGGGCAGCCACGGCGGGCTGGGGATGCCGGAGCAGTGATGGTAGGTAGGCAAGGGGGGGTAAACAAGCACAGCCGGGGCTGGCACAGGCACAAGGATTTCACAAGAATGGCAGCGGGATCTCGCATGTCAACCACTCAAAACGAATAGAGCAGCTTCTCGGCTCATCGCCATCGGATCAAGAAAACAGCAACAACAACTCCGTGAGCCAGTGGCACTTTCTTCCATTTTCATTTCAGTGGTCCATCGCATCGTTTCTGGTGTGTGAGGTAGCGCGTCGGGCAGTGGGGTTCAAGGGCTCGAAGTCAGGATTAGAACACACGCGGATCGGTGTGTCCTGTTGCTACCGAGGTCGTTTTTGTTCTCGTCATATCGACACGCGAGAGATCAGCGCATGATTGGACGGTGCATGAGCACCGATAGCCCTCATCCCACGTCCCTCGGCTACCCAAGGCACCTTGACGTAGGCCCATTCCCATTGAGCATCCCCACGGTCTGATCCCAGCAGAATGAGCGAGGTGGGCGCGCTTCTTGCCCTGTTTGATTCGTTGGCTGCCTGCAATCGTTGTTGAGCCCAAGCTCAGCTACACAAGGGCTTCCCAGGCTGACCTCACGAACAAATCTCGTTCTACCTTTTGAGGGTTCCAGCCCGAACAGAAGCAGGCAAAAATTGCCTTTGACCCCGATGATCATTCCCATCGTCGCTTCAACCCGCTCCTGGATGAATGGTCTGTTTTCTTTGTGCGCCTGAATCCGTCCTTGCTTTGATAAGAAAGTAGGGCATGTGGACTGATGTGCTTCTGCCGATTCCTCAATCCAACCCCTTGCCCAGGGTCCTGGTCTCTCCGCATCGCATGAAGCGACCGTGGAAAGGCGCGATTGAAGACCCTTTTGACTTTGCCAGCATCCCCAAGCATGATCCCACCAACCCCCTGGCTCCCGGTGGGCCTCGCCCGGGTGGATTGGTGCGTCCCCCTGCCCAAGCCATCAGAGAATGCCCTGGCCTCGCTGCAGCGAGAGATTAGTTTACATTTGAGCCACACCAGTTTTTTGCCCGCGCAAAGTGCCTTTCACCCCTTGCTCCTCCCGCTGCGATGCACCTCCGATAGCACAACCCCATGTATGAGTGCACTTACGTGTTTGACAACGACTTTCCTAGCCTGACCGACTCGCTTCCCCAACCAAGTATGCTCGTCATTTGACTGATGACCCCTGCGCCTTGGGCCTCGTTTCCCCTGTTGCAAGCACAAAATAACTGTCCCGTTCAAACTTTAAGACTTAACCCGGTGATAACTGCATCGCTTATCCACCCAATTATAGCCGAGGAGCAATGCAAGCGCAACGAGCTCATGCAGCTTGCTGGCGTGCGCGGCTGCTGGTATGCAGCTCTCCATTGCAAATTTCCATAATCTTCCCATGGTGGCTGCCCGCCCATTTCAACCGCACTTAGTACAACTAACCGCGACCATGGTTTGAATTGTCTCCTATAGCCGAGTCATGTGCTTTCATCCAGACAGCAACGTGACGCTGCCCCTCATGACCGTGGCGGAGATTCGCAAGGTCATCGACACTTGGGCAGAGCAGATGATCGATCTCGGTTCGCGCTTCAAGTGGGTTCAGGTTGGTAGCCTATCCGTGCACTCTTCCGAGTACTGCCTCTCGTACATGACTTCGAAGGCGTCATGACCGTCCCCCTCAATGCACCTTCCAACGCCGATCCACAGCTTTTTGAGAACAAGGGGCAAGCCATGGGTTGCTCCAACCCGCACCCACACTGCCAGGTTGGTTTTTATTGGCGTTGCCTACCATCAAGCCCACACAGGCACTCCACGTGTCTCTCTCGCTTCACTTATCATGCGGCCTGCAGATTTGGGCCACGGGACATCTGCCCAATACGGCTGCGCGCAAGGATCAAGCTCAGCTGGCTTGGTTCAAAAAGCACGGCTCACCCATGTTGATGGATTACATCAAGCTGGAGCTCGAGGCCAAGGTATGCTCCCTTGCACCTTTGCATCTCATCGCCCCTGTACTACTGTGACAAATTCTGAGCGTCATTCGACGTGCCTAACGGCATCCTGTTCACCAGGAGCGCATTGTGGTTGAAAACGAGCATTGGTGTGCCGTTGTGCCTTGGTGGTACGTTGTACACAACGTCGTGGATCCTAAAACATGCCGCCCTCATTCGATCCCATGTGGGGTGCTCTGACACTCTCTTTTGCGCGATCGATTGTCAGGGCGTTGTGGCCATATGAGACGCTTGTGCTGCCCAAGCGTCACGTTCTTCGGTATGGCGTTTCGGTTGAGACATGCTACCACGATGGAGCGGGGGTTTGCCAAATTTCATCTCTCATATTTTTTTTGACCTCATGCCTGTGCCAACACCATTGTGATGGTAACCAGACTGCAAGACCTCACGCCAGAGGAGCGCGACGGTATGCCCGCAGATTCGTGTGTGTGTGTCTGTCTGTCTGTCTGTCTGTCTGTCTGTCTGTCTGTCTGTCTGTCTGTCTGTCTGTCTGTCTGTCTGTCTGTGTCTGTGTGTCTGTGTGTCTGTGTGTCTGTGTCTGTGTGGCTGTCATGGCCGTGATTGCGTCATCGCTTGCGCTAACAGGCTTCTCGCACCCACTGCTTAGCCTGCGCCGATATCACAAAGCGCCTGACAATCAAGTACGACAACCTCTTCCAAACATCTTTCCCCTATTCCATGGGCTGGCACGGTGCACCAACTGGTGAGATCCCGACATCTTGTTGTGCAAACATCAATGTTTCCTAGCGCAACGTCAATCACCCTGCCCGGCCCCTTTACCTTGGTCACATGACACGTTCTGAGTCACATCTGTTCCTTGCTTTGACAACAGGCGACACCAAGGATGAAGATTGCCAGCACTGGCAGCTGCATGCCATCTACTATCCCCCTCTTTTGCGCTCGGCTTCGGTCAAGAAATTTATGGTGAGCATCATGGAAAAACACCCGGGTGAATGGGATGCGCTGTCAGTCTACATACGCACAGAGGATGCGCCCGGTTGGCTCTGGGATTGATACCTTGTATTCTCGATCGTAGGTGGGTTATGAGCTGCACGCTGAAGCACAACGTGATCTCACTGCCGAGCAGGTAAGTCTCGATTCGAACCGATTTGCTTACATGCTGCCGTGGCCGGCCTGTAACGCTCGACTGCTGGGGTTCAAATCAGGCGGCACGCAAGTTGCGGGATCTTCCTGCCGAACACTACTTTACCGCCCAGCAGAAAGCAGCTGAATAATAATTTTACCAACGCACCTAGCCATTCATACATGGCCGCTGCACATGGTATCATGCGTAGCATGCGAGCAGCTGCATCTTTCCCTTAGAGGAAGCTTAGGAGCTTCCGTTGTTGTTATTGCTGTAGCTGTTGTTGTTTTTGTTGTTGTCGTCGTCGTAGTTGTCGTTGTCGTTGTCGTTGTAATATTTTTTCGCCTTTTTGATATCTTCAACGACAAAGCAGTTGGGTGATTTGAACCGATGCCCTCAGCCAAACACGCGCCCTGGTTTCAACACACAAACAGTCATGGTTTTGTCTTGCCTGATTGGAAGATGTCAAGCAAAAACCTTCAAAAGATAAATTTGGAGCAGGGGCGTACGAACTGTGCCCTCAAAACAGAGGCACCCAGACGGACCAGGTGCCTGGGACGGACAACACAAAGAAAACACAAGTCGATCCTGCCTGCACTTCTGTCAACCCATTCACAAACATGGGTCATGGCACAAAAAAAAAGGGTTTTCATACCGACGATGACTGCCATCATCAGGGCGGGAGCAGAAGAAAAAACTTAGTTGCGCTTCTTGGTAGGACCAGTTTTCTTGCTCGGGCGGCCGCGCCCACCAGCTGGGGCAGTCGAAGGCCGAGCAGGGCCAGTCTTGGAGGCTTGTGCCTTGGCAGGTTTGGCCTTTGATTCGGAAGCGGGGGCCTTGGCTTGATTCTTGCGTGTTGACTTGGGCGTGGCTGCATTAGACGCAGTCGTCGAGGTCGCACCCTTGGAGGGAGTGGTGGCCTTGGCCTTGGCAGGAGAAGCCGTGGTTTCTGATCCATCGACCGACTTACTGCGCTTGGTAGGCTGCCATGATGGAGGCAATAAGGTTGAGGCACGGATGAGCACAAGTTGTCACTGAAAAGAAAAGGCGACTCAGGTACGACTAGAATCACGATAAGTGGACGCACGAGCTCAAAACTGTAGTCAAAACCAGCCTCGGCCAGCTCCTGGTTTCGCTTATGCATGGCTGCGCGCAAGCGACTCTGGCGGGCTTGGCGGCCTTCTTCCGTGCGCGTCTGATGAACAAATCAAATGGAATGAGCAAGGCTTGACGTTTATGAACAAAGGAGGTGTGCACTTCGAAGCGTACAGCATTGCGCTTTCGAGCATCCATGCGACGCGTGTTCATGCGACGTGTCTGCTTGAAAAGTTTGGGTGGCACCTTTTCCGGTGGAACGACGGTGCCTGAACAAGGATTGTTAAAAGTGGTCGTGAGTGCAGCCATTCCAAACAGCAAACGAATGGGCTCGAGCTTTGAGCAGAAGGAGGATGACGACGTACAAACAAGGAGACGGTCGAACAGCAGGTAGTTGTTCATCGTTTCAGCGACAATTTCAGCGACTTCAGGCTCGAGAAACTCCACAAAGGCATAGCCACGAGGGCGGCCGGTCTGGCGTCGGCATGGGGAAGCAGGGCAGGGTGGGTGTTGAGTGAATTGCGGACCTGGGCTGTGTGAGAAGGATCGTGGGCGGCCTGCTTGCTCATTGAAGCCAGAGAGACGAAGAAGCAGACCTTGGGTGAACGAGAAACGCGCACACGAGTTACAGAGCCAAACTGGGCAAAGTAGCTGCGCATCTGTTGCTCGTAAAAACCAAATGGAATGTGGCCGATGTACACGACGCCGCGCTTTTCAGCCTCGGGCTTGACGGAAGCCTTGACTCGCGTGTTCTGAGGCAAAGTCACAGACAATAACATGTGAATGAGAAAAGCACGGGCGTCAATGCCAAGCAGGTGAGCGATGTGATTTTCGCCTTGTCGAGACAGATCAACGCTCAAAAAAAAAAGTTTTGGGGGCCCATATGCAACGTTAAGCTGTTTGATCTCGAAGAAACTAACCCGCTTGGCGGACGAAATCTTGCGCAGCATAATCTGCTCAGTCTTGGTGTCAAGTGCCAAGTCCTTAGGTTCTTCGGCGACGGGCTTCTCGGTGGTGTTGGTCACGCCGGCGGCCTCTTGCAGCTTGGTCATGGCACGCTTGGCGCCGGTGCGCTTGCCAGCGCGTGCTTTGGGTGTCGTGGAAGGCTTGGGCATGCTGGCGGAGAAGAAGCAAGCTCTGGTTGGCAAGTTACTCAACGTGCAAGAACCTGTGTAATCAGGCTCTTTGGAAGGAAGCGAGAGCGTGCCTGTCGAGCGACGCGAACGGGCAAGAAAGGCAACCTGTTGGCACCTGTATCGCCAATCACTTTTCGCCGGGCCCTTGGCTCGCACTCGTGCAGCCGAGCTCGCGAAAGGAGAAGAAGAAGGAGGAGGAGGAGGAGGAGGAGGAGAAGAAGAACGGCAACCACCAAGATCACCGCAGATACTGATCGACCTGCGTGCGCAAAAAAAAGGCAGAGGGAGCGAATCAGAGAGAGAGACACACACACACGTGTGCGACCAACACACAAACACACACACTCCCAAATGTGCGTGATAAGCTGACAATTTCATCTGACAGTATTGTCAGCTTATTCGTTCATTCCACAGAAAAACACACACACACACACACACACACACACACACACACACACACACACACACACACACACACACACACACACACACACACACACACAGTTTGCTCGTGTGATTGACTCGAAAGGCAGCGCGGACGTCGTTGAGATCAATCGATTGGTGCCGAGGCAACAAGGAGGTGGGAGGTGGAGAGGAGTCAGAGCTGACGGCCAGGGCGACGCAAGGTTCCACGCTTCTGTCGAGTTTGGATCAATTGTGATTGACTTTGTTTTGGAAACAAAGCCCCTGCAGGGAGCTGGTACAAAACGGCGCCGGTTGGGCAGGGTGAGGGCTGTGCTCGTGCCGGCCTTCGTCACTGCCTTCAGCGCTGTACACCCCTTTGCTTCCTTCTGATTGAAGCCGCTCTTTTTTTGGTGCATGCTTCAACAACATCGTGCTGGCGATAGCGTGTGCTGGACTTCACTCCAAAGCAGGACCTGCCCACAAACCAGGGTATTCTGACCTTTGCTCTTCGCAATCACCGGCCCCGATCACCATGGATCGGCACTACAAGGGCAACATTTCACGACAGCAAGCTGAACAGCTGCTGGCCTCGCGTGGTACAGTCGTTGGTGATTTCGTGGTGCGCGATACCACCAAGCAGCAAGGCCGGTAAGTCAGTCATCCACCCGCTGAGCTGTTGCCCCGCCCCCCTCTGGACTTGTGTCACTTGCTGTTGAGCAACGACGAGTCGCGGTGAGCACTCACGGCGCCCAATCGACTTACCTTGCACCTTTTTTCTTTGACTGTGTTGGGATCAGATATGTCATCACCTTCGTGTATGGTCAGCCACAGGCGACGCAGATGGGGCACAACATGGTGTGGGCCACCAGCCGTGGCTTTTACATCATGGATGTTAAATCCTTCTTTCAGACCATGGATGAGCTCCTCGACTATCTAGCGCAACAAGTGGTACCAGGGTTCACCGTCAAACTTCAAGTGGCGCCACCCGCGCCTGCACCCGTGCTTGCTCCAGGCAAGCCCAAACGCAACGCATACGACGAAATGGAAATGCCTTGGTCCGGGCCCAAGCATGAATACGAGGAGATTGAATTCAAAGACCCCAAGGCTCAGACCACGCAAGCTGTTCTTCAGGCAGACGAATATGAGGTTATTGACGTGGTGAGCGCACGCAAGGCTTACGAAGCCACGCGATCTCTTCGGCATCAGCCCAATCCCACGGCAAGCCCGGCGCCGCGCCTCCCGGCAGCCACCGAGACGAAGCCGCCGCAAATTAACCGTACGCGCAAACCCACCATCACCACACATTCAGCGTCACCTACCACGGCGCCACAGCCTGCTCCCCTATCTCAGCCGAGCTCGGCCTCGAGCTCCCCCCAGCAGCCGTCGCGCCAGCCGGTACAACCGGCGACTCACCGCGCAACTCCAGCGGGTAGTACATCGGCGCCCGTCGCCATCATGGCCGAGTACGCCACGGTGGATGAGCTGCGGTCTGGGCAGTCATCGGCTGCCGTGGCACCAAAAACCGATGCATACTCACAACTCAAGACCATGGGTGTACCCAAATCCCTTCGAGATGCTTCGTGGCAGGTGGGCGGTTCACCCAGCGCTCATCAACAATCGTCCAATGGCGCAATGGATGATGATTTTGAGGACCTGGACCTGGATGCCCTGGCAGCCACCCTAGTTTTGGATGGCGACGACTTTTGACAAGGCGCCGCAGCTTTCCCTCACGTTTGTCGGAGGGCCGGCGTCACGACAACCAGCCTCTTTTCTGTCTCGTTTTGTGCAAGTTGATTCTCTGACATGTGTTTGTGTGTTGACGCTTGGACTGGTTTGTTTGTTTGCTTTTTCTTTCGTTTGATTTTTTATCTTCTTCTTCTTCTTCTTCTTCTTACTGCTGTTCATGCTCTTTCTCGACTAGTCCATCTCAGATCCCAAATGACCAGTACAGTGTCTCACGGATCCCTTGTCTTGTATGGTTTCCCGGTTCCAGGATAACCGACCTATTGTTCTCCATGTGTCGTTATGTGTCGTTGATAAATTCACCCGTGCTGCCCGATGACTTATATGGAGGTGTGCGAAAGATCAAAAGCAAAAGGAATCACTCACTCACACACACACACACACACACACACACACACACACACACACACACACACACACACACACACACACACACACACACACACACACACACACACACACACACACACACAGAGGTTGAATAAAATTGCGATGCGCTCAGGTCTAGCTACCAACGGCCGGCTGCGACTAGTTCCTCGCGCATACCAGCGCGAAAAGTGGCATAATCGGCATGGCCCGTGACGGGCGTAACGACTTTGGCCCACTTGTCGCGAATATCGGACAGAACATCCGAGGGGATGGCAGCCTTGGCAGCCCCTACTTGGCCCTGATTCACCTTACCGCCGCCGAGTCCTGCCTCAACAGGCAAACCGCAGGCTGGGTTTCGCTTACGTTTGGTAATGTGCTCATCAAACTGCGATTCGTGAGTCTTCATAAAAGCAAAGGAGGAATGCTCAACGGCGGTCTGAATGACGTCGTCGGGGGAGTGAAGGCCCAGAAATCGGTCCACCCGGCGCACGGTCTCCTCAAGATGCTCTTTCATGTCCTCGAAAAACACCCACAAAACATTGTCGTCCAGGCGGTGGTGGTACCAGCTGGTGAGATGGTGGTGGTAGCTGGCGTTTTGCATTCGAGACGCCGGCTCGCCGCGCTTCAGCCAGAATTCACGCAAGAAGGTGGTGATATCGATCTCGCCGGGCTCGAAATACCAGCCCTGGAAAAAGTTGAAAAAAGAGAGCGCCACGTCCTCGGGATGACGCACCACAACGATGTATTTACCACCCTTGGGACAGTGGTCGTACCAGCAATGTGTTTTGTAGACGCGCGGCGCCGCCACCTGGGGAGCGTCAAGGGGGTGATCCAGGTCGTGGGCCAGCTCGATCCAGGGCACCACCTCACTAATCTCATCAAAGTCCATCGAGCCGCCCGTGCGCAGTTGATGGCAGATCTGCTGCATCCATGTCGTTCCTATGCCACGGTGGGTTTCCAACCAAGGCGAAGGATCAGATTGAAATCGCGACGACAGCAATCCAGGTGGTCCTTGAGAGTGACTGAGGGAGGACGACCGCCTGCCATACCGGCTTTGGGGGTGGTCACCACGAAGCAATCCGTGGGCTGGGGCTTGAATTCGAGGCCCTGAAAGAACGCGCGTGAGCCTTTGCAACGAGGAAGAGGGGTAGAGAAGCTCACCCACCATGGTGATTGGTGAGGCGTTTCAGCAGGCAGGGCTCTGGCCTCACCTTGGTCCGGCCTTCCTCCGTCTCCAGCCCACCGAGCCGCTGCTTGAGAAGCTTCATGGCTTCGGAATCCTGGTGCTCAGCCTCGTGTGGCATGGTGGCGGAACGGGACCAAGTTCAAGATGGTATCAAAGGGGCTAGAGGAGATGAGGGTGCCCGCTATTGCTTGAGTCGAGCGTCGTGTGCGTTGTGTGGGTGCAGCGTTGTTCGCTGGTTCGCGATCTGACCTATGATTGGAATCAAGCACCCTTTTGCGTATCGCGCAGAAAAAAAAAAAAAAAAAAAAAAAAAAAGCTGACATCAAGGGGGGGCAGGGAATGGGCAGAAAAACAATCAAGTTTTCATAAATACGCTATTTATAGAATTGGCTTTGAAGCCGCACACAACACGAACAGCTGGGGCCTTGAAACGTCGGGTATACTGTAACGGTATAGCACACTTTGAATTAAATTCAGTGTAACAGCGTCATGCTTTTTGGGCGTCATATTGTCATCATCAGGCGGAAAAGCCTCCATGGCGTCCACATGGGCACAGCACGTTACGTGTGTACGTCTTCAGCCCCTTTTGTTTTATTGCACCTCCAAATTTGCTTCAACAGCAACAGCAACAGTGACGATCCCCTTCCTTCCTCCAATGGGGTTTTTTTCCAGACCCATAATTTTCCACTCGCCCAAGAGCTTAAGCCAGGCAGGCGTGACCTTGACCCCCAACACACCACCACCACCACCACCACACCTTTTGTAGTCCCCTCTCCAAAATCCTTCACACACACACACACTAACCACTACAGCGTACACCCGCGGTACCAGTGTATCACTATCACCCTCTCTCCTCTCTCTCCACCACCACGAGTTGAGAGCGATACGGTCCAAAGCGGCATTCCCTTCCTCCAGCCGGTACCGTCATCCCTCTCGCTCTCTCGCTCTCTCGCTCTCTCGCTCTCTCGCTCTCTCGCCGGCTCCCCTCGAGTGGTTGTTGTCCTTCGTGTCCTGTCTCTGTCGTTATGAGCCCGCCACGCCGCCATATTCTTTCCCTCCTCCTGGTTGGGGTGAAGGCGTGGTGGACTGCTGCTGGTTTTGTTATTTTTCCAAGTGTGGTTGTAGCTCGCGCCGCCAACTGATAAAGTCAACTTGCATTTTTTGTTCGACTCGCAGCTTCTATTGCCCTTTCTTCCGGTTCGACACTTTGTCAAACACACAGACCAGCACCATGTCGGCTACCTATTGCGATGCCTCGACCATGAACATCTTCGACACGACCCCTGAGGGTCTGATGTGCCCCATCTACTCGTCGTTCTTCGGCGTCATGGGTGCCTCCGCCGCCATGGTCTTCAGCGGTACGTACAGCTGCTCGTTTACCGCAATACAAGATAAAACTCGCTCGTCCCGAGCTTGCCTGTTCTGTTCTGTTCTGGTGGTGTATACCACTCTCGGGCATGTCTGGGGATGAATACCTTGGCACCAGGAAGTGGTGGTCCGAACAGGGTCGAGGAGATTTTGACGCTCCTCAGGGGATGTTAGACGCGAGCGAACTTGGCACTCGCCCTGGCTGGCTTTTGCCACTTTGTCGCTCTTGTGTCTGTCGTGTGTCACGCTTCCATGGGATCATGATTGTCGGCAGCCTGGAGTCGGGTCAAAGTTGTGTGACGGAACATCCTCATTGCTTATTATTCTGTACAACTTGTTACAGCTCTTGGTGCTGCTTACGGTACCGCCAAGTCGGGCACCGGTATCGCTGCCATGTCCGTCATGCGCCCCGAGCTTATCATGAAGAGCATCATTCCCGTCGTCATGGCTGGTATCATTGCCATTTACGGTCTCGTCGTGTCCGTCCTCATTGCCAACAACATTGGCACTGACTACCCTCTGTTCAAGTATGTGATCAACCACTTGTTAGGAAAAACGAATGGTCCCTTTTTTTTTTTTTTTTTTTTTTTTTTTTTTTTTCACAACTCACGTGGTCACTTGCTTTTGTTCTTGTGCTCCGTATCAACTTTCTCTAGCGGCTTCATCCACCTTGGTGCCGGTCTCGCCGTCGGTATCTCCGGTCTTGCCGCTGGTTTCGCCATTGGTATTGTTGGTGACTCTGGTGTCCGTGGTACCGCTCAGCAACCCAAGGTTTGTTTTTTTGCTCCCCTCGTTATACTTTGTTGGACTCTCGCTCTTTTGATGCTTTGGACGCTGCCTCCCTTCCTTGGCACGCGATGACGCTCATTCATTGCCTTCGTCGTCTTTCTTTGCCCCTTCTCGACCAACAGCTCTTCGTCGGCATGATTCTGATTCTCATTTTCGCTGAGGTCCTTGGTCTCTACGGTCTCATTGTTGCTCTCATCCTTAACACCAAGGCCAGCAAGGGTGACTGCCATGCCTCTTGCTACAACCCCTGCTGCCCCACTGGCCAGTGCTACGACACCGACAAAAACCAGTGCGCTTAAGCCTGTGCACTTTGTGCGTGCGCTGAACAGTCGCATCCCATCTTTTTTCGCCTGCATCGAAGATTGGGGTCGCTGCTGTCTCAGTCGTGGCTTGGTACACAAAAAATGAAGAGCGTAATATGGACACACATCAATGCGTTTTTTTCAACTTTGGCGAATGCTTGGGTGTTCTTTTGTTTATGTTTTTCTCGCTTTTTCATGGCGTCCGCTAGCGCTTGAAGCATATGGCTATCTTTGTCTTGTTTCTACGCCCGTGCGTGACGCTCTCAAAACGAGCTAGGTGACTTTGTATGGTCGGAATATTCTTTTCCCTTTTCTTTTCTCTTTCTTTTCTGCTTTGAAAGCACGAACCGATGACGTGTCAATGAGCATGGGCTTCCGGTTCAGCCGCTTGCGTTACGGCTTTGTCGTTCGGGCTCTCAATGTTGTGAAGCTCCCGTCATGCGGGCTGCGCGTTGGCGAAGCTTAACTTCTTTGTTCATTGTTTCTGTGCTTGGGCTTTTTACCAGCTGCTCCCGCAATTGACTCTTGTCTTCGACTAATGTCCCGTCTCGATTTGCTCATTTGGGTTTCTGGGTCGTCACGACACTGACACAAAGCTTTCAAAGTCTTTTCGTGCACACAATGCGTGAATGTCCAATCAAGAAGAGTCTTGCAGTAGTCGGCAGACCGCTTCATGGGCCGCTTGCACCCGACGCTTCTCAGAAATGGGCACGTGTAGTCCTTGGTGGTACAAGGCACCTGAACCCACGTCCAAGGTAGCCCACCACCTCATAATGTGCAACCAGCCGTCGGCGCCCGACGTGTGTGCCTGCAGCAAAGCCTCAATGGCCCCAGGATCCCTTTGATGCAAATGAGCGCCCCCGAGTCGACGGTGAGATGATCCCGTGCCTACAACGCCTCATCAACGCCACAATAGCAGCAAAGGTGCGAGTCATACCGGGAGAGCTGCACTAAGCGCGCGATGACTGGCACTTCCGAGCTGATGGTTGCAAGATGCTCGGCCCAGGCATGCCAGGCCGCTGCGTGGCGTCCCGTGATGCGCAGCTTGGCCGTCGTTGAAGCTATGAACGGAGGCAGCGCAACGTCAGCTCGCCGCGCGTGTGACAAGAACGACAACAAAAGAAACACTACAGCCAGGGCGTAACGAGCTCTGCTTGGCAGGCGTAGGAGGGACGAAACAGCACTCACCACCACTGAGGTGATTGCTGACGAAAGCGACCGAGTTTTGCTCGGGTAGCCATTGGATAAAGCAGCTGCCAGACCGGTGCAAATATTGGCGTGCCAAGACCGCAGGTCGCTGACGCGGCCCCACGTCCAGCTCCGCCAGTTGCTGCGCCAAGGAGAGGCATCATAGAACATGATGGCTTTATGTAAGCGACAATGCAGCACGAACGAGCCACAGGGAATAACGCATCCCACACCCACGCACCACCTCGTCATGTCGCACATCCAGGATCAGGTCAAAGGCATCCTCCAGGGCTTCGAGCACAACACGTTGCCTACAGAGCACAAACCAAAATCCTTCAGGCGCTGTTCACACAAGCTGTGCCCTCGGGCCAGCACACGGTTACCATTGTCGGCCGGGGCAGATCGTTTCTTGGGGCCACGAACCGCTCTGGCGTGTCCATGGACACGGCTAAAGGGAGGACGAGCGGGGCACGCAGTGGGTCTGACAAACTCCGGGAAGCTGCCAATTGGGCAATGGGCATTTGAACACAGAGCATACTCCGCGCCTCCTGAGATGTACCGATCGTGTATTGAACAACACGCCCAGGCAGACCAAGGTGATGAGTGCTGCAAAGCAAAACTGTTCGGAGCTAGAACGAGATCCGAGGGCACTCAATGTGTCCACATGTTGTGCCGAGAAGAAGTGGCAGTGAACGGGGAGCTAAAAAAAAGCCTTACAGCACGTTTGATGATGCGCGCAAAGATATCTTGAATCACGCAGGCCGTGGCGACAAGCCACTGGCATTCAAAGTGAAACACACGATGGGGGTGGAATGTGCTGAAGAGTTGCAATCTTTCGGTAAGCTGTGCCCACTAATTACACCAAATCATCAGGCATCCTCACCACAAGCACAAGAGCACTTACGTATCCGCGTAAAGACCAGCCCATTCATCACGACCGCTGATGCCCTTGGGATCCACGTTGAGCCAAGTTACTTGTGCGAGAACATGTCTGCACCCGCCAACCGCCGGTCAGCGCACGGGATGCCATGCACTCGGTCGTGACAACACCAAGGGCATGGCTTACTTATCAGAGGCAGCAGCAACTTGGCTTGGCTGCAGGTCGCTCAGGCAGCGCTCGTCTGTGGGCTCCACCATGGATGTTACTGCAAAAGCCCCTACTTGCACGGGCTCAGCCGAACTGTCCGACGTTAGGGGCCCAAATTGCAGCGGCACCGCCTCCAAGCTACCGGATTTGCCTGGCTGCGCAGGCAGGACAAAACCACTGCGTGAGGTTTGATGAAACAAAAGCACTACACACGTGTACTTCTTGCCGCATGCATGCACATACACACACACACACACACACACACACATACACACAGAGGGCAACGACAAAGCAGAGGTAGAGACCGACCCGATAGGGCTTGAGAACGCGATGCACATCCTCAAGAAAACGGCCAAAGTTGCTCACGGCCTCGGCCACTGTCATGAAACGATGGGCTGGCACAACGCCAAAGCGCACGCGCCAAAAGCGAAGCGAGTCAATTTCATTGGAAGACAATGGCTCCGTCGCCACCTCACGATTCGACACGAGATTATCCGCGGCATTCCTATGACACAGGCAGTAGGTCGAATGATTGTATCATGATACGGTACAACGCAAGGGGTGGATAAATAACCCCCAAGCTTTGGCAACAGCCACGCACCAGTTGTACCCATCCAATGCCGAGGGGCTAAACTTGGTTTCCATAGCAATGGCCTGTGGATTGGTTACACACAGAAGTAAGCTTGTTTCCCGCAGGCCAGTATCGCAGAGAAGTATAAGTAAAAAAAATAAAAAAATAAAAAAATAAAAAAATTAAAAAAATTAAAAAAAAAAAAAAGCAGAATGGGCAATAATGGTACACATACGTCGGAGCGTCGATACGGGATGAGACCGTAGGAATAGGACAACGGCCGTGGGTGTAAGTGATCCAAGGGACTATTTGCAAGGTTGCGCACACCACGAGGCAGTCAGGCAGCGGTGGTAGGCGAACCAGGCTTGCAGCCCCCAATGAGGTGAAAACACGCAGAGCTCGAACCGATAAATGTCCACAAACACGGCATTCTCGTGTTGCTTGTATTCGAGCTTGTGAAAGTGGCTCCCAAAAGACATCCAATGAGCAACGTCCAAGTCGGACTCAGGGCTGTCGACGCTGGCCACGGCATTCAGGGGCATGTACAAGACATCGGGTAGAACGTTGGAGTTGCTTGACTTGACACGATTGTTCGTCGGCGCAGACGCGCGAGCCATGGCTGCAGACCGCGAATCGGTTTGCGATCGATCAGATGATTCCTCCAACACACCCCCTCGTCCACCTCGTCGGCTCCGCGACACACAAAGCTGAAATCCTTGTGCCATACGCTGCGCTTGGAGGAGCACAAACAGCTGCCGCATCATGGTGGCATTGCCTGTCAATGAAAGCGTTGATGGGTGAGTCCAGCAACACTCGTATCAAGTCGAATGAATGCCCACTCTACGGAATCGCCTATCCAGACACCCCAGCAATCAGAGCAGAGGGGAGGTCGGGCTTACCGGCTGGTCCTGGCCGGCCATCCCAATGACTGACAGCGTTGAGTTTGTAGTGGCTCACAACGCGATGCGTTTCCGTCAGCTCGACTACCATCGCCACACATCGCACATGCCGACAGAGAAGCTTGGGGTGAGCAACATGCAGGTGCAAATTCAAATGCTTCGCTATTCCAATAGTGGTACAAAGATCGGAAGCGCGGCTTACCTTCACTTGGCAGTTGGTCCGTGGTGAGCGGCAGGCAGGCTGGTCGGCAAATGCTCTTCCATGGTGGGCCTGCACAATCACGCGGGGTTAGTATTCGCACTATGCATCAACCCCATCAGCGACTGCAACCCAGGAACAACGCAGGTGGGTGAAGGCTCATCACTGAAACCGAATAGCATGGAGGCTGCTGCCCTCACCAAAAGGCGTGCTCGAGTTCAAGTAGGCGGGGGGAAACACGTGTTTCCAGTTGTGATTGCCACCCACAAACTCGTTGTATGCATCACGCAAAAGGTATGGATTGACCAAGGGGTGTCCACTCAACCGATCGCAGGCCCGGCGCTCCTGTTCCGACAACTACGAATAAGTAATGGATTCACAAGAAACAGTAGGGGGTTGAGTCGAGAGTGTCATGAAACAACATGGCCGTATACTTGCACACACACACACACACGCACCAACAAGTTGTCCTTGACGGCATAGCGGCGCCATGCGCGTGCCATGCGACGCACGCCGGCGTTGTGAAGCAAGCTTGGGTCAATGGGCGATTCACTCAGCGATGCCCCTACTGTGTACGAGGGTGGAACTGCAGATCCGGCAATCAGTGAGGCCCGTGGCGGGTGACAATCTACTATAAGAAGACCACGAGTCCTGGCAATAGCTAGCCAAGGCAACAGCTGCCACTTGTGTGCTGATTTCATGTTGGCCTCACCCGTTGTGCCCCTCAAGTTCGGAGCGCGAGTCACCAACGCTTGCTCGGGCGGCGGGATTTCCAAGGCCATGGTCGCTGCGGGGTCGGTGATGAGATCACGCACAGACTTTTCGCTGGTAGGCGGTGAGGCTGCATCTTTGACTGTATCGCCTTTGTGCAAACGATCGACTGTGAGGATGACTAGCAACACTCGCGCAAAGATTCACGCAAAAGGCAGCGCCATATGGAGAAGAGGCTATGTACACAAGCTTACTCGATGTGGAAGCGAGTTTGTCCGCAGTGGCAGCACCCAATGCCGTGGTAGGTGCGTCACGGACTAGTGGGGAATTGGCAGCTTGAAGGGTTGCCTGAGAAGGAACAAAGGATCCTTTGCTTGCATGGCGAGAAGCCTGCCAGGTTGAAAGACACGAGTCAGGTATGATACTTAACACATGAGCCGAAGCAGGAAGACAAGGGTAGTAAACGTACGCGCTGTGCCATTTCCCGCACAAGACTGTTGTCCCGACCAATGCTCACACTACGCCCGTCGTTCAGTGCACGTAAGGCTTGAGTCCCATCGTTGACTTGGTTCTCACGGGTTGACGACATGGCATCCTCGGCAGTGAGCCAGATGAGGCGATCGTGCTCTTCCATTTCTGCAAGAGTTTCTGGAGTGGTTTCATGGCGCGGTGCGGGCGCAATACGCCAGCGTTGACCTTCTTCGGCGCTGAAGACGGCCGACGTCTCCATGAAGCGCGCCGGCACATGTGGTTCCTCTTGCCATTGTGGAGTGAGGGCCTCACGAAGAATAAAGTCTTGGTCGTACAAGAAGGTGTGGATCCAGGTTGGGCGCGCATAAAAGTAAGGGTGGTCACCTCCGTGGCGTCGACGATCGACAAGGGGTGAAAAGACGCTCTCGCCCGTATCACTGCCAGTCCAGCCGGGTAAGCTGCTACTGCTGACCATGGGGGTCAGGCGGGTGGAGGCGTGGGGTGACCGATGCTCTGCGGTATCGTCCCGGGCTTGCCAGCGGAAGATGACAGCATCGTGGGCGCGTCGCTCAGCCAGGCACACGAGGTCACAACCAATGCCGTTGTCGCAAATACGCTGCTGGGATAGCTTGAGCAGCTCGGGTGACGACTAAGGAGTGGCAAAGATGGGTGTGATGAAAAGCAGCGTCCGCCCATCATTGACATTGCAATGTCATGGGGGGTGGAGCACCGAGCCACACGGGGGAGGGGAGAAAAAGAAAAAAAAAGTCCACACACATCACGTCTAGGATATGGAGAAAGTGCCAAGACAAAGAACGTGTTGCACCTGCCATTGCAGCGATTTGCAAGTGGAGCGCACCTCGAACAGCCCGCCGCCTGGGGAGATGATGAGAACGCCGAGTCCAGTGCGTTGAAAGACGCGATCCAGGTGATGTCGATCAAACACGTTGAGAGAGAGATTGACAGCCTCAAGCACGTTACCATGCAAGGCGCGGCTCAAGTGGCCGCGTGGCATTGAAGTTCTGTGAAGGGTGACATGACCCGAGGATAGCGGCAGCAGAGGCAAGGATAGGCGCTGAGAATAAGTCGCGAGCCAAAGCTTTGCACAAGAACCGACAGGTGATAGCCACCGTGACTTTGTGAGATCGATGTACGCACTCGAGTAGTTCGATCTTGTCAAGAAAATTGTTGAGGTAACCTCGAATGGTCGTGAGTTGCAGAAGAAGATCGACGCCGACTTCGTTCTGCAGAATCACCTGGTATAAGTCTTGGCATAATCGCCCGGTGCATGTACGTTGCAAGCGCTCTGCAATCGCACACGATGAAGCTCGTGAGTGTAAGTCGCGAGGATAGGTAGACTACCAGAAAGCGCGCACGAGCTGCCGCCTGTTGGCCTGTGCTCGAGCCGGTGCAGGAGCGAGGGTCGCAGATAGAGAATGGAGTGTCCTGTGGAGCAGCTGACTGGCACGTACGTTGGATGTGCGGCGGGAAGGCATCCACATCCGTTTCGTCGTAGAGAATGCGCGCAAAGAGGGTCACTGAGAGTTGATGCGCAGTTTTATGGTCGCGCCATTGCCCAAAGAGGTCGGATAAAAAGCGAAAGGTGCGTTCAATGTACTGATCCCCACTCCAATCGAATTCTTGCATTTCTGCGTGTAACGATAGGCAAGGATATGGATAGGACGGAACAGTGGCAGGCGCAGTAGCAAAATCCACCCGTTCATTGTCGCAAAGCCATCCGATGTCAATCGCCCATGATTGTGTGCGAGAAGAACATGAGCGTGCAAGAACATGAGGAGCAACTGGGGCCGAGAAGCTCGAGGCAACTGACCGGCTGACATTTGAATGAGCATGTGAATTTGGCATGCACTGGATCGATACACCACTTTGGTGCTGGCCGTGGCGTAGCCGCTCGCGACCTGTAGGGAGGGTGCCGATCCCAATAGATATGTGATGAATGGGGGTGGCGGGGGTGGCGGAAGGAGACGATCATGAGGATCTCCAGCAGCGATGGATAAGTGCAGTGGCGTTGGCGAGACTACCTCCTTGCCGTTGCTCTTGAGCCACAGCTGGCTGATCTGGCAACGAATGCCGCCCACTTGCACAGATCGCCCAACGTAGAGGCACTGTTGTTTGAGGCTGGAGGTGAGACGAAACATGTCGTTTCGCCCGATGTATTGGCCTAGTGAGGTAACAGTCGTTGTGAGCAGATTGCTGCAAGCGTTCGAGGCAACAGATTGCCAGTCCGGGTGCAAGACCTAGACTAACCCCGAAAGGTAATTTCGACGACGTCAAGAGCCACGGCTTCGGGCGCGACCTTAACAACATGAACCTCACGCAAATTGTCCAGCTTGAAGAGCTAGCCAGAGAAACACGCGCACAAGGCAAGAGGACAGGCGGGTGATGGATACGGCGACAGTCGAGTACAGCTGCCCAACGCACACAGTGTCGATCCGTACAGAAGCGATGCTGCCATGCAGACTGATCTGTCCCCCCGATGCCAGGCTGAGCTGCTCCTTTTGCGTGGGAATCTATGTGCAGACACGGACAAGAGGCGGTCTCAAGCCATGAGGATAAGGTGAACATCACAAACACCGGGCGTGCTCGAGTTTGTTCACCTTAACAACGATATGGCAATCCAGTTGCGATGAGGGTTGGTGCAGATCCACCAAATCTCCCTAAGATTGTTTGCAGATGGGTGTCGGCGGCCAAGAGCATGTCAGCGGGCCAAGACCGACCAGTCGCACACCGCTGGCAGCTTTGCGTGGGGGCATGGAACGAACAGGATGTAAATCGTGGAGGGCTGAAAGGTGCACATGACATCAGGCGCGTGCTCGTTGCCATCCGTGTCATGCACCCAGAGACGGTAGGAGTGATAGTTGGACAAACTGCCACTGCCATGGCTCAAGCCGGTGGTGGCCATCCTGCTTGGTCTGAGATGGAGCGGCCAGATTCCGCACTCGAGCACAAGTCGGCACGCACACACTTGCACACACCCTCACACGCCTTTACACACACACATGAATACCCTCTTTGATGTGGCCGAAAGCCACGACGGTTTCCCCGATGATCCCTTTACTGCCGCGGCGGCTGGTCAATGTCGCTGAGGCACACGGAGAGAGAGAGAGAGAGAGAGAGAGAGAGAGAGAGAGAGAGAGAGAGAGAGAGAGAGAGAGAGAGAGAGAGAGAGAGAGAGAGAGAGCAAGTGTCCAAGAGAAAGTGTGTCAATTTTCACTGTATCTCTTACGAGGATTTTTTCGGTTTTTTTTTTACACGTTCAAAAAACTCAACTTGTGGGGTGTCTGTGGCACTGGGGTCAGCTGTACAACAGGGCCGAGGAGATCCGTCAGCCATATCTCGGGAGGAGTTGTCGGTGGTGGGGATGCAGCGCATACTTGACTATGCAATTGTGGCAGCTGCAGCTGCCATCGTGGCGGTGCACATTGATCGGTCTCTCCTGACCTCCCCACCCGCTACGGCGGATCGTGAGGTGGTTGATTTCAACTGGCAGGGGAAGCCTCTTGGCAATGGTCAGTTTTGTCAGGCTGGTCAGCTGCGGGGAGGGGAGCGATGGCGTTCTGGCGTGCGGCAATTGGCCTGCTTGTGACACTGGTGCGGCTGGGCCTCACGTTGGGTGTGTCATCGTGGCGTGGCTCAGATCGAGGAGATGGGGCGCAGCTGCCCCCCTTTGGTGTCATGCGAATGGAGTGGCAGACACCGATTTATCGGTGCGTGTGGCAAGACATGGCACATGCTGCGTACGCAACGAGATGAAGCGTGTCTTGCTGGCTGGTACACTCACTTGATTTACTCTACTGTGTTCTTTTGGGCAGCGTCAACTTTGCCAATTTTGAGCCAGGGGCGCATGACCTACTCCAGTCTGTTGCGGCTAGCATTGAAGAGAGTTTTGCTGCGTTTCGTGCGGCCAATCCAACGCTGCCCGAAGTATCATATACTCGGTGCGTGACCAACCAGCCAGCACCTGTTGAGCTTGTCTGAATCTGGGAAGAACGCGCGCCCTTGTCCCGGAAGACTAATGAACCAATCGTCACACCCAATGCGTAGGGAGGGCATCAATGAAGCTTTCTTCCAGTGGCAAAGCCAAGGTGGTTGGGCTGGCATGCGGCGAAGTAGCCATGGTATCCGCAAGTTGGAATCATGGTTCAATTTCATGACGGACGTCTTTCTGAATCAAGTCGGCATGCACGAGGTGTGTCGCGTCCCCTGTGATGAGACCGGGGTGCTTCCCCCCAAAGGGGGCGTGCGTTGTCTGGTGTTGCCCCTTAATAAAGTGTTCTCTGAATTTGCCGCGCTTTGCGTGCCCTTGTTCGACCTGTTCAGTTATTGACGTGTTGGTATGAATGCGTAGACTGAAATTGCGAGCCGGAACCGAACACTCCACGCTTGGGCAACATATTTGCGGGCTTGTAACAGCCATGCGCTGCATACCCATCCAAACCATCTTGTGTCCGGCGTGCTTTACTTGCAGGTGCCAGAGGGAGCGGGGCCTCTTCAGTTTCATGATCCCCGGTTGGTGCGGAGCACACTTGGAGCGAGGGTCGTTGGGTGCTGCGCCTGCCGTGTGCCGCGTGTGGTCTGAGACAAACAGTCATGACCGATGCTTTTGTCGTTGATGTAGGGGACCATTGCCCCCCTTTGATGGAGTGGTGACCATCCAGCCTGAGGTGGGCGACTTGATCCTTTTTCCTTCGTGGCTGCCGCATCAAGTCGTGGCCAGCAGCAATGTTGATCTTGCGCGCATCTCCATCGCCTTTAATACCGCCGGTGAGTTGAGCGCGCAGCCTGGCTGCACGGTGTTGGACGTTGACGGCCACCATGACCAGTTGTCTGTCACTCGGGCTGGGCTGGTCGTGCACACCCTCGTGCCCCCCTTGTTTTCCCCTCTCTACCCAACCAAAACAAAACCCCCCGACCTGCCCGCTCGTGCTGAGGTGCGGCCACCACTTCTTCTTGAGTTGGTGTGGGTCATCAGGGAGAAGGGGTAATGAAGGGGATGCTCGAGCTGGTGTCTTGACTAGACAAGTCAACTGTCGTGCCGCGTCGGGCGTTGTGGCATTCTTGTGTGCTCTGGTGCTTTCCGGGTCCTTACTATCTGTCGAGCCTCTTACCCCACACTTTTATTTTATTACGTGTTTGTATTGAAAGGCGACTGGGCAGCGACTGGCTCCATCTCCGTCTCGTTTCCGTTGGAGCAGACCTGAGGCCGAGCCAATAGGTTGTCTCAGCTTGGGGCCAGAGTAAGGCTCGGCAAGTCGACAAGGGGTCGGAGCCAGGTGCACGGACGGCCATCGAGCACGTTATTGGGTTTCTTCCGTTTCACCTGTCAAATTCATAGCGTTCTGACGATCAAGAAGAATGAATGGTCATCTTGTGGGTCTTGTGGGATATTTTGGGTTTCTCGTGGAATGTACGGTTGCTCACTTCCATCAGCTTGGGCAATGGTGCCGCTGGCACGGAACCTGCGCACAAGCCTGTGCGTCACAATGGCGGTGTGCCCTGCAGCGTGCCACCAGGCGCGCAACGGATGCAAGAGGCGTCAAACGCTAGTGGACGGCGTTTTAAGCCCTGGTTTTCGTTTTTACCTTCAAATACGCCGCCCAAGTTGCTTCAGGCTACGCTACGGCTCCAGCTGGAACGTTGGGGCGGGGAGGAGGAGCAAGTGATTGGTTGAGCTAGGTTCGGCTTATTGTTGCTCATGGCCTGGCAAAGCAAGAGCGGCTGGTGTGGGCACCAGGCACGTTGCCATTCCCAAGCATGATCTTTTTGGGGGGCCCCGAACCATCCTTTTGGTTACTAATGGCTCCTGATGGGCAGAAGGCAGGTGCAGGGGTCTTCTCAAGCTTTAAGGTCGTTCCCGAAGTCAATGCGTGGCGTCAATGCGCGTTTGGCGGTTGCGCCTCAGATTTCTTTTTTTTTTGGCTGCTGTTTCCATATGGGGCTTGCCTTGTCAAGTCCTGTGCAGCTTGATGTCCCACCACTTGGTGTTGGTGTTGGTGCCAATCGTGCAGGAGCAGCCAAAGTACGCTGACACGACAGACTGTCCGTACGAGTCGGGGATGGTCAAAGCCCCCAAACCGGGCACGCGCTTGCCGCTTCCGCAGTAAAGCATCGAAAACATGGGGTTTCTCTGCAATGCATGACGTGTCGACGGTACGTCGTCAATCAAAAGATACCTTCCACCCTGGGTAGAATCTTTGGCACCCAAGATCACGGAGCCACTTGGTATCCCACATCAACAGTACAACGGCAGGTGGGTAGTGGGGCAAGCTCATGAGAGATGGCTAGGCGTCCCAAACGCCACCCCCTTGAACGCGTGGTCGGCTCGAAAGTCATGTCAAACGCGCGAGCGCCAAGCGCTTGGAAGAGTCTCGCAGCACTAACACCACGTAAACTCACTTTGGTGTGGTTTGGTGCTGTTGCAAAACGAGGGAAAGAAAAGGCACCGATCGACGCACAGTCGGAAGTAATCGAAAGGATTTCATCTGAAAAGGTGGAGCCCCACCACGCCGTTTCAAAATAGGATACCCATGACGTCAGGAGCAATCGTACGGTGCATGGCTGTAATGTCAGAACGTCAAGTTGTGATGTTTTGTGAGAAATCATGGGTCTGTGGGATTTTTGACTCTGGCTAAATGTTGATGAAGTGCAGGCGATACGGTCAACGCCAACACCAGGCCGCCCTACGCTTGGCGGTGTGGGTCACCTTGCCGTTGACCAAAGCGTCGAGTGGGCGGAACCATTCATCATTACTTACGTACGTGGGGGTTTTTTTTTATGACGAGGCTCGACGGGCCGAGTCACACCCCTGATGAGGCAAGGTCAGGTCTCGAATTGAGGTGGCGCGGGACTGCACCTTACCCACCCACCCCTATTATTGATTGCTTCACATCATCATGTCCTGGATCTGGAGAAGGACAGGAAAGCAAGAACGCGAGCCTGTGTGGATGACGGAGATGTCAGAATCAGCAAACCCTCTTGCACGCCTCATCGTCATCATCAGCTATTCTCACCCGTCAAAAAGCACGCGGACCGGGCACACTCGGCGCAGCTCGGCGCAGCTCGGCGCCATCAAGATGAAGAAGACACATCGCCTGCGCCTGGCTCTCTTCGTCGCTTGCTGGGCACTGGGGCAACTCAGTCAACAGCTGTCAAAGCACCTCGTCGTGCCCTCCTTGCTCCATGAAGACAAGGACTTGAGAGTTTGTGACGACTCTCTTCACCCAAGACCCGGAGGCAGCCAGCCACCCAAACCACGACCTCCCCAACAAGACGTGCCGAAGGGGTATAAGCAAGCAAGGTGGGGGGGTGTTCGACACGCGCGTGCTTACAAACCCCTGCTTCCCCCACACCCCTCCACCCCTTCTTGCGGTCCTTGCATATCTTCCCCTTCTGTACCTTCTTCATCTTTCTTCTTCGTGTTGTTCATGTGCTTTTGTTCTTCATCCACCTCGAGTGACCTCACCAACCCCCCAATCCACACCCATCAACCCACATTCCACCCACAATATTTTGTGGATGCATGCACACCAGTCATCATCACTTGGTATATCCACACCACACCCTCAAAACTCATCCAACAACCACTCGCGGCAACCACCCACCACCACCTCCTCTCCATAGCATTACAGTTCCGGTTTCGTGTCGAGTGGTATTTTTTTTCCACCCTTTCTACGTTTTCACAAATACCGTTTACTTCCCTTGTTCGTGGTGTTGTGAGCATTTTTTTGCTTGCAGCTCCGACCACATCCACTTTGACACACACACACACCACGAGCATGGACCTGCAGCTGTTAGCAGACCGCTACCTCTTGCAAGAGGAGGTCGGCTTTGGTGCGACTGCGCGTGTGTTCCGGGCCTTTGATCTCTCCTCGGGTGAACCAGTGGCCATCAAGGCCATGACCGCTGACGCGGCCGACGCTGCCAACCACGAGTACACTGCCATGCAGCTCATGTTTGGTACACCCAATGTCGCCAACGTCCGCGATGCCTTTGTCGAGGGCAACAAATGCTATCTCGTCCTCAAGTACATGCCCAATGGCACCTTGTACCAGCGCATCAAGCCCTGTGCTGAATCTTCCGTGGCCAGCCTATACGACCTCCAGCGCTGGTTTCGCCAGCTGGTCGGTGCCGTCGAAGCCTTTCACCAGCGTTGCCTCATCCACGGTGACATCAAGCCTGAGAACTGCCTCATTGACGAACAAGAGAACCTTGTCCTTCACGACTTGGGCACGACAGCAGCCGTTGGTCACGTGCATAGTGGGCGTCTGATTCCCGGCACTGAGTACTACATGGCCCCCGAACTCTTGCAACGGGCTCCCTGTGCCCCGGAGCAAGATGTTTGGTCCCTCGGCATTGTGCTGCACGCCATTCTTCTCTCGGATCTGCCTTGGCGTCGTGCTGATCCTTCGGATCCAGCGTTTGCCGCCTATCTCAAATCGGGCCGCCTGGCCCTTGGACCCCGCGCTTCTTTGCTGAGCCATGAGCTCCGCGAGCTTCTTGGCCGCATGTTGGAACCGGAGCCTCGTCACCGTGCCTCTCTGCTGCAAGTGGCTCTCTTTCTGGATGCCGGTGTGCCTTGGTTTGAACACGAAACTTCTCGTGTTCTCGTCAACAAGCCCAGCCCGATTCCCATCCACCTCAACCCCGCTCACTGTGTTCGTGGCCTTGTTCTCTGAGACCAAGGCCCAGTGAGACGAGGCTATTATTATTATATGGGTCATGGTCTTCGCGGCATGACCTTTTTTCTTTCTTTTTCTTCAGGCTCGTTTTCTGTACATAGCCTACGCTAGCTGATTTTGCCCGGCGCCCCGTCTTCTGTTCAAAACAGATGGTGGAGCGTTGTAGCTGATTGACCAACAAGGCATACCTTGCCCTTGTAGTTTGCTCTAGTTTTTTTTATCACCTTCTATAAATGTTCCATTGCTTTCCAAACTGGAACGGACTCTCCGACCCTCAGTAATTCTGATCGATCTCATGCGCTCTTAGTGCGCATCTGCGACTGCGTCGCCCTACTCTCTCCTTTTTTTTTTTTTTCTTTTTTTTTCTTTTTTTTTCTTTGGTTTGACTAATCTAATCGAAAGCCAACACCAACATTTTCCTCTCTTCTTCTTTCTCTTTTTGTCATCCTCGAATCCGATGTCAGACAAATAGTCGGATTGGGCAGTGGGCGAGCGCAGTGAAGTTCGTACATTCAGCCAAGTCAAACAAGCAAACCGTTCGTGTTCGTGTTGTTGTTGTTGTTTGGGGACACACTCTGCTTCTGCCACATAATCTTGTGCGGGCCCGCTCTCTCGAACGCGCCCCTTATGCTCCTTCACTCCCTCTTGTCAATGAGGAAAACACAACACCATATCCTGCCAATTCATACTTCACCCCTCTCCTTCTCTTGAAATTTTACCCGCACACAGCATCCTTCTCAGATTCGGATCCCTTCTCTGCCCCATTGGATTGGCCCCGTCCCGTCTGTTTTTCGGACAGCGCCGACCGTTTGAAGGGCAGCTCGCATGACGGGGACACGCAACGACTTGCTTCCGACTCGCCGCGGGGCGGAGTGCGAGCCCCTTTCGGGACAAGGGAGAAAGACCTGCCAACTCTTTTTTCACCCCTCTCGCGCACGGCATCGAACCTGCATCCGCTCCCAGGGTCCGGCGTGAGCATCAGGGCGCCAAACCGCTTGACGCTCATGCCCCGACCCAGAGGATAATCACGCCCTTGGACGCATATCGCCGAGTACACATCTGCCCAGCGCCTGGCAAGGTTGTCTTATTTCCGCGCCGTGCGCGACCCTGAGCCATGGCTTCGCGACGCTCGTCCCGGTCTTCCATACGGGTATGTGCCCTATTTCAAAATCGCCCGCTCCCGAACCGACGCCCACCCCCTCGGTCGATCGACCGAGTCCGCCCTTCTACCCTGTCGTCCTCGCACGTCTGGCATGAATTGAATTCAGTCCTGCTCACACACGCACACTTTTTTCCTTCCTGTCGACTCTCCTTTGCAATCTCGCCCTTGCCTCAGCACCGAGCTTCCTTGCGCCTGTCCAAGGATGAGAAGAGAACAGGCCTTGCTTTAGACCGCATGCGCGACAATGCTCGCGCCTATGAGTATCTTTGCCACCTCGAAGAAACCCGACAATGGATGGGTGCCATCTTTGACGACGAACTGCCTCCAGCCGATGAGCTGAGCCACCGCTTCGCCAACGGTGTCGTCCTGGCCAAGGTACGCTCGTGCTCCCCCTCGCTCTCTCGCACCCACTCTCAATGACCACCAACCACTCCGTGCATCCCCTTCCTTACGCACTGCCATGGCACCACCCACTGCATGCACCCCTCCACCGCAACAGCTCGCAGCTGCCATCTGTGAAAAGGGCAACCTGACCCGGCGCATACGCATTTTCGACCGTTCCGAAGAAACATACCATGTTTGTCTCAAATCCGCGACATAGCCGTGCGCTGCACCACTGTCCCGCTCTTCTTCTACTCGTCGTTTGTGCACCTCGCCAAGAGTGCATTCCGTTGGCTCGGTGGTGCAGCGGAAAAAAAAGTCTTGGCTTAACAGGACCCCGCCCCGTTTTTTCTCTTGCTTTTCTCCTCCTTTTGGCTTCTGACAGGAACAAGGTCTCAACTTTCGACATGCTGATAACACGCTCCGCTTCCTGCAAACCCTGAAGGATCTCAAATTTCCAGAGGTTCGAGCTTCATTCTCCCCGCTCACACTTTGCTAGCTTCATGCGGTGTGTGCCCAGAAAGTATATCGATCCAACTCACGCCCACTACCGCCATAGACCTGGCAACCCGAAATTACCGATGTGTATGATCGGAAGAACATTCCCAAACTCGTTTACTGTCTTCATGCCCTCAGGTATGGTCAAAATTTCTTCTTCTTCACCCCGTCGACAGCCGGCGAACTGGCTCCCTCCCCCTCCCCCCCCCCCTTCTTCTCCCTTCTGGGCACGATACCGCTGTGGAAAAGTCGTTCATGCCCAAACCTGCCCTTCATTTTTGCCAATACTTGTGGCCTCTGCGGCCTGGCTGTTCCACGACTATTTAGCCTCTTTTTGTTTGAAATGGGCCTGGCCCCCGCGATGCCGGACCTGATGGGCGTGGCCGAGTTCTCTGACGAACAACTGCAAGCAGCGGATAAAGAAATCGAGCAGGCCGGCCCTCGCATGCCTTCTTTCGGCAAGCTGGGAAAAGCACCCTCAACGGCTTCCTCCGCATCTGCCCCAGCGCCACCGCTCACCATCATGGAAGAACCGGCCACGGCCCACACCAGCGACACAACCCCTCCCATTGGCTATCACATCACCTGGCCTTTTCTCGTCGACGATTGGACCCATGCCCCGGACACCGCCTCCCAAAACACCGCCTCCCAAGACTGGATTGAACAAACGGCGCAAATTCAAACCCACAAACCAGACTTTGGTGTACGTCAAACCGGACCGTGTGCCACTCAACAACGCTTTTGCGCGCTTGGCCTCATCGCCATGCTCCGTGCCACTTTTTTTTTAGCGTGTTGCTCAGGAAGCCCGTGAGCAAGCCCAGGAAGAGGCACTTGCCCAGTTTGATATGCTTTCCATTCTAGATGACCTTCCTGCGATACAAGCCAAGGTTTGAAAGCCCCCACTCACTCGCCGCTTTGCATCTGTACCTTGATGTGACGCACCGCGAGCCTAGCCCTACACACCGCGCGCCTGTCCTCATGCTTTGAGTGCCCGTCTTCATCGCACCAATCCTTTGACAGCTGAGAGAATGCTTGAACACCCCGAGCGCACAAGAACCAGAGCTTTCCATGGCAGATGAACAAACGTACCTGTACGTGCCACTCACTCCCCTCCGCCCCCAACCCTTTTTCTCGTCTACATTCGCGGCATTAAAGCAACCCTGCTCGAATGACCAGCAAAGCGTACATCGTGCCTGGAGACCCACACTCAGCTTGCTGAGCCACAGCTAGCCGCACACACAACCTCCCGACCTCCCGGCTTCTCTCACCGGTGCCCCTTGTCTGCGCAAAATACACTCGTGCGCGCGCGCGTAGCGAGGCCCGGGCTGCCTATGACCAATTTTCGAGAGACCACTTTTGGGACTCCTGCTATGCAGGAGTGCCTCGTCCGTACCGCGTTGAATGGCCCTTTTATCTTGAGGTAAGTTTTTTGTGAGACCTGTTCCCTTCTTTTCCGCCACGTCTGATGCCATTCCGATCTTGCTCGCCTTTCATTTCTCTGCCGTGGCTTCGTGGCTTCATTGGCACACAAACGCCAGGACGTGGTTCTGCCCAAAGATCAAAAGGAGGTAGCGTTTTATGATCAGTTGTACCAAGCCAGTCTGCAACGTCTTGCCGACCAGACCATGGCACTCTTACATGCTGTCAATGCTGAGCATACAGACGTGGTGCGTGCGTGCAACAGCCTGCAACCAACGTGCTGTCCTCGTTTCCTGGCTGGTTTTTTTTTTTTTTTTTCTTTTTTTTTTTTCCCTATTCGATCCGTCTACCTTTCTCTGCTTTTTCCATCTCACGAAGCTGCTATTGAAATTCGTGAATGAACTTTTATCGCTCATGCCCCTGTTTGTTCTCTCTCTCGCGCGCACGCGCGCTCTTATCTATCCCTTTTCTTTCCTCCTTTCTTTAGAAAGTGCTCGAGGCCACAACATTTGATGAGCTGGTCGCCGCAGCCTTTCCAGACCTATTTGAGCGCTTCACTGAACCTGGCGACACCGCTGATCCCGTGGAACCATGGGACATTGAAGTTGAGGTCGAGGCTGATCTTCTCGAGGAAGATGACTTTTTGAACGCTGATGAGTTTTTCAGCACCTTTGTGGAGAACCCAGGTGGGTCTGTCGTCAATCTGCGCATCGGATAGCCCAACAAGCACGACGGTTGATCCACCGCCTGAACACTCCACATTGATGCGACGTGAACACGCTCATCGCACCTTTCCTTCCTCTCCGCCCACAACCCCCCTTTTCCTCTCCCGAGAACAGAGTATGAGTGGTGTGACGATCTGTCAGCGCAGGACCTGAGTTCAAGTCGGCTCTTCGACTTTTCGCGACGCTTAGAGTTTGTCGTCCCTAAAAAGCGCCGCCAACTGCCCGCTGTCATTGAGCGCCATCGCACCGTCTGCGTCGCGCTGGCCGAGCGAGCGCGGGCCATGCGTGAAGCCATACGCCCTCGTGCAAACAGCACCGGTAGACTACTCGAGTCTCGTCGGCGCTCTGGAAGCTTCTCAGATGTGTTGCGCACGTTACGCTTGGAAGCCAATCCGCAACTGCTGAGCGTGCAGCAATCCTCGCCATGGTTGCGGCGCAAGAGCGAGCTCCAGCAAGAGCAACGACAACAAGCCCAAGACCTCTCTCGCGCCGCAGCCACCATAGTCAAGCAATCACCCCGCCAGTCCTTGGCTGATGAAACACGCACACCTGCGCATGCAGCCTCAGCATCTACCTCATCCCCCACAGCCCCATCCACTCCTCAGCCTCGCTCAGATGATAACACTACGACTCCGCGCCGTCGGCTCCCCAATGCTCCCTCGATTCCACCCAAACCCAACCCCCCGACTGGGTCTGCAACAGCCGAAGACCCCGATTCGAACACGCCGCATTCAGAGAAAGGCGTGTCTGTGACCAAGGCACCCATCGTGCCTCGTCGCCGCCTGCCCGACGCAAGACGGAAACAGCTGCCTCAGCCCAAGCAGCTGGCAAGCGCCTCAATCGTGACTCCACGTGCACCCAGCCCTGGCCAACTGATGGAGCAGAACACAATTCATGCCACGCCAGCTGAATCGACAACCCCGGTGGCCCCCGTGCGCAACGGACTTGTTATTCCTTCCAATAACGTCTGCCACGAGCCTTTGAGTTCACCATTGGTCCAAGGTCGCGGCGACCATGTCACTGTCGGCGACTCTTAGGCCCTGACCCGGGTTCAGATCTTGCAAGTCTGACAACTTTTTATCCTTGGCATCGCCTCTTGTTGAAGCGTAGGACCTGGCGTTTGCCCTTGCCTTTCTTCTTGAGTTTTTATTGTCGTTGCTGTTGCATCAAGCATATCCAGCAGGGCCCGTGCGTGACTAGACTGCAAACGGCAACGTCTCTTCCGTCTCTTTTCTGACCACGAGGAATTGATCAGAGGCAGACACAGTCAATTTTTCCTTCACATGGTGATACCAATCATGTTCTGTTTTCAAGTGTCTTGACTTTCCTGCCGCACAGCGGCGACACCTCTGTACTTTTCCAGCCAGCTTTAAGAACGCTGCACAGCAAGACCATCCACTAATTGTCGCAGCTCAATGGTTTCGGCATGGCTCTTGCCTACGTCGTGCAATTCATCCATGTGAGCAGCGCGCTGAAGGAACACACTTAACATGCCCGCCGCTGATATACCACGACGCCCAGTGAGCGCCACGTCTTTGCCCCACCTTGTGCGCGCAGAGAGTTTTGAAAAGCGGTTTCAAGCGCCTCGCGCGCTTCTTTGATTTGACCCTACACCACCAAGCAACCGCGCGCTTCATGAATACAGGAAAGTCATTCGCGCGCTTCGCCTGCTTGTGGCTTCCTGACGGTATCATTCTCTTTTGAGTCCAGAACGGCGATTCCTTGCCTTGGCCAAGAGAGCCAGGCCTCGAAGCTTGTAGAGACGGCCCACTATGACACTGGGTGTCCCCAAGGCATCTTCGGCCTTAACAACTAGGGCCTCTAGCTGCTGCAGAGCAGCATTGTGTTGCTTGCTTCGGAGAGCAAGCCGCACCTGCTCCTCCTGGGTCACATAGTGCGGATCCGCAAAAGACCATGAGGTGTGAGTGCCAGGGTCACATCCCGTCAACTAACTACCCTCGTCCCAAATGGTACCTCGATTTGAAGACTGGCGTCAATGTTGTTCACGGCCTCGAAATACTAACAATTACAGCAAGTAAGCACACTCAGCTCGGCAAAAGACGCACGGGGCTGGCATGACAGAAAAGGAGCTGAAAGCTGTCACGAGCATTACCTCCAAGGCTTGGTTCAAATGTGGGAGTGCCCGTGTGGATGATTCCGTCTTCATGAGGGCTTTGGCAAGCATCAGGTGACACTCGGCGGCGACGTGTGCGTTTTCCTCGTCTGTCAGCCCGGCCTAATCACAGTGTCACGGTTAGGAGGAGCAGCACAATAGCAATGCGAGATGAACAAGAGCCAAGGTCTGTGATCCGAGTCAATGAAACATATGAGTGCAAGCGACGCCTACCTCAGCCAATTCATCTAGAGCCTGCTGGTAAGTACGACAAGCTCGCTCAACCTGCCCCATTGCCACCAGAACGTCACCTGAAGTTCGAGTCAGCGGGGATCGAAGCACGTGTGAAATAAATGCACAAACGCGGGTGGCTGGAAACGAGACATTTCCACCTACCAAGCTGGCATTGCATCAAGACGGCGGCTTGACCCCAGCGAAAAGCCTCGGGCGAGCGCTCCAGATGCTCGTCCTGGTTCAAGGGTCGTGACGTACGAGCGGGAGTTGCAGATGTTGTCGACGTAGACTTTGCTCGAGCTGGCCTGACCACTGGCGCAGTGCCGGTCGAGGCTGTGGATCCATGCGCAACGTCGCCTTTTGCCTGGGTAGCGCTAACAACAGTGGCCCGATGCAACAACACGGCATTTGGTGATTGTCGCTCTGAACTTAGCCTCCGTTCCCCCGCGCCCCCCCCCTCGCCACCCCCACCTATATAGCAAATCACGCACCCGCCTTGTGCAATGGCCAACGCCCGCTCTGCCAGCTGCAGCGCTGCGTCATGCTGACCGTCGCGCAGGGATAGCTGGCTCAGTGCTTGCGCCACGTGGTAGTCCCAGAGGCGTGCCTGTGATGATGACGAATCAAGTTCATTCTGCGACCTGCGACGCTCCTCCATCATGAGAAAGCAGGCTTTGGCATCGGTATACTGCTTGGCGTTCAGGTGAGCCCGGCCCAGGGTACAGAGCACGCTGATTTCGAGTACCATGAGCTCGTGAGAAGAACTTTGTGATGACGGCTGGGTGGTGCTCGGGGTGGGCGCTTGCTCTTCGCGTGTCATGCTGTCGCGAATGCGCGCCACGTCCTGCCGTGCAAGTTCGGCATGGCGAATGGCAGACGCACCCTGGTTCAACAGATCGAGATAGCCCCGAGCAATGGATTCTGACGCACGCGCCAACTCGACACTTCCATCTCCCACCACCAATCGCAACATCGCTCGTCGTGCCACGAGCACGCGAACGGCATCTGCATAGCGTCGTTGTTGAAGAAGCCGCACGTATTCCTATGGCATGGCCAACAAAACGCGGGTCAGCCCACACCTGTCAGGCACTCAATCGTCCATACTACGGTGCGGACCCATTCAAGCAGTGCACACTATTGGTTGACTTTTCAAGAGTTGAGCGCACAATCCCATCCACATGTACGAACCTGTTCAGCTGCTGCCAAGCGCACATGGGGCGGGCGCATGTCAAGTTCACGGCCACTCTGGGGGTCCATCAGGTGGTCCTCGAGGTCATCGGGCATCCGATGACCATTCTCCAACAGCTGGGTCAAAATTTGAGCTACATGTACAAGCACATCGGCCCGTCAGCATCAAGCCAGGCCAGCATTGCAGTTCATACACACACCGTGAAACCGTCAGCTTCAGATGCGAGCTGTGACGTACAAGCCATTGTGTCGTTGCCTCCAGTTCAAACAGACAGCTGGTCAACAATGTGTCAGCCAGGCGGACCATCCAAGCCCAAGCAACAGCAACATGCACACCGATCCCTCTTGAAATCGTTGTCGACCACCCTTCATGTGCATGTCCATTCAAAAAAAATTAAATTTTTATTTTCACTTCTGTGTGCTGACCAAACAAACAAACAAATGATGACATTTTGATTGTCTGACAAATGTTCTCCAAACCCAATTCATCTCTCTCTCGCTCTCGCTCTCCCTCTCTCAATGTGTTTGACGCGCACGGCGGTGGCGGGACGAGCGACGTTTTCGCCGGTCCCACTGGATGTGCGAGCCGTAAAAGCCCCGTGTTGAGCACAGGCGGTCTTGGATCTGACTGGTAGCTGGTGTAATTCGTTGCATTTTAGCGCCTCGCATTTGGAACTGGTTCGATCCAATAAGCAAGCCCCAGCACGTGGTCAATCACCATCGACAATGAGCCAAGGTGACGATGACTTTAACGACTTGCTGTCCGGTGAGTAACGATCAACGCTGCCATATCCTGAACGATGCGTCCGTCCCAATTGGGCATGTGCGCTCCGGGCTTCATTTTCTTCGTTCGTTTTTTTGTCCTTTGAGTGTCGACTGGCTGCACTGGATGCTACGGTTCTCTCACCCGTCTTTGCGTCGCGTAGATGTCCTTGAGGACTATTCGCGACGTGAGGAGGCAGCACGATCTGAAAAGCAAGAGCAAGCGCACACTGCCGCCTCCGACTCGACAGGCGCCTCGTCTTCGGCTGGTAGCGCCGGTGCACCCAAGGGGGATCTTGATGCCTTGGCGGATCAGTTAGCCGATGACTTCCTTCGAGACCTGCAGGTCATGGGTGATGGCGAGGCTGATGTGGAGACAATGGTGCAGCGCCTCATGACCTCACTCGGCCAGATCAACCCCGACATCGATTCCTCAGCACCGGTACCCGAGAAGTCAGCCTCATCTCCGAACACACCCGCTACACGGTCGGCCCCGTCCAACGCACCGAGGGCAGCTTCAGAGCCAGCTGCGTCGGCAAGACCTGGTCCTGAAGCGCAAGAACCCGATTCGTTTGCCAGCTTGCTTCAGGATTTGAACGCAGCGAGCTCGGTCCGTATGTGCAGCGTTGTAATGCTGCACTTTTGGTGGGCAGGGCTGGTATCGCTCATGTGACGGCGTTTGCTATTGTATTTCTGTGCCAATGATAGGCCGATCAGCCAGACTTGGGGGAGTTGGATCACCTTGTGCAGTCCCTCCTGTCCCAGCTTGGTGGCGACGCGTCTGCTGATGCTGTTGATCCTGCCGCTGCCTCCACCTCCGCTGCTTCCGCCGCGGGTGGTGATTCCTCGAGTTCGGATGATGGTGCGTCGGCATTGTCAACCTCGTGTTTCGCGTGGGTTTTCTCTTCAGCTTTGCTTGAGACTAAGGCAGTGATGTCGCGCTTATCACTCTATCTGAATGCGGGGCTGTGTCGAATAGATGGTGTTGCTGGCATGTTTAATGCTCTAGTGTCCAAGGACGTACTGTATCCTAGCATCCAAGAACTGTGTGACAAGGTGCGAATGTAACCAAGCTCCGTTACACGCGCCTGCGCTCGCGCTCGTTGCCTTGCGTTCTTCTCACTTGCCTGCTCCGGCTGATTCTGCGTGCTGTACACATATGCTCCTTGTGTCTAGTACCCCGAGTGGCTGGCTACCCGTGGAAAGGACTTGGAGGCCAAGGACCGTGGTCGTTATGAGCACCAGCATTCGTTGCTTTGCCGCGCCCGTGTGATCTTCGACGATCCCAAGCAGACCGGCAATGACGAGGCACAGCAGGTCTTCGTTGTCCTTACCCAGGTGTGGCTTCTCGTTGGTTTACCACCTGCTCCTGTTGCGTGGCTGCCTGCGTGCTTGTTCGTATTGGTGGTATCCGCCTCTTGATCACGTCTTACCGCTCGCGTGGCCTCTGTCTACTTTCAGATGGCGGAGACTGGCCCACCACCACGGGACCTTGTCGAGGAACTTGGGTTGGAACTTGGGGAAGATGATCAGCCAAAATTACCGGGTGACTTGGCCAATCTTTTGAACGCCAGCGGCTCGTGTAGCGTCATGTGATGATTTGTCGTGTTTTCTTGTCCGTGTTCGGTCATGCCAGAGTGACACGTTCCGTTGGTGCCGGCTGCGCCGTCATATGTATGGTATGCTTCAAAAATTGATATGATCGTATTATCGCATGCCTCGTGCGTCAATGGCTTCCTGAGCGACAACCTCGTCTGAGGCTTCTCGCGTTCTCTCGTGTCGAGCCTTGAAGTGTATGTGTGAGCGTGCGTCGCCGCACAAGTGCTCTAATTCAGTTTCTGACAGAGCTCACACATTTCGCTCATTTTGTCGGCGCTATGAACTCATGTCATCGGTTTTGAGCATCAAACATGCTACGTTGGCGGAACGCGTCGAATAACTGGTGTTCATCGAATCGAGTTGGACCATTTGTGCTACTCACCCGAGGCAGTGAGATGCAAATCCACTATCAAGCCCACCACCGGCGCACATGAAGGCAACAACGACAACCACAACGAACGCAAAAGGCACTCTTCTCGAATCGCTTTTTTTCTTCAAAAATTCAATTAAAAATAACGAGAAAAGGAGACAAAATTCAGTCGAAATTCAGATTAATTGATGTCGTCCCACAAGTCAGTTACTGTACAACCTTTCTAAGTCATTGTGTCACGGCACTGCATCATGCACAAAAAGTTCAAACTGCTCTAACCTGTCCAAGAAGACAGTGCGGCCACAACAAACGCCACGGGCAGCACGAGATTGTCAATCTGAGTGGTCGAGAGCTCAAGTCCAGCCACTGTCACGCAGGCAACCAGAGCCCGATGCCAAGGCACACCGTCTATTAGGCCACCCCAGTTCTACACCACAAAAAGCAAGGCGAGCACACAGGTCGTGACGGAACAATGCAGTGCATGCAGCAACGCAGTAGCCCGCGCTCAGGGCCAGGCACATACCAAGAGCCACAAGGCAACCAGCTGCGAAACAACGCAAGCCAAAAAACCTTCAAGGCTTTTCTCTACCACTGGGAGGCGCCAGCGACCATATCTATCCAGAGAAGTTCAACAATGTGGGTTTTGCGGCACTCCAAAGCACACACAAATTTTGAAAGTTGCGCGTTGCAGAACAAGTCCGCAGCCAAGCAGGGGCACAGCAGGGTAGGCGAGCTGTACCGACCAACAACGTACCGTCGCCCAACGAGCGATGCAAAGGTATCACCGATGCCCACGGCCAGCACACCACCATAGGCCGCCCAAAAACGAGCGCGCGGAAGGCACCAGAATGGAGCCAGAGTGCCAAGCAGTAGATACAGTGGCGTGACGGTCAGGAATCCCTGATCGCGCGCATCGCGCAGCTGGGCCTGCACCAATTCAACTAAGCAGCCCGAGAATAAGGGGGTGGTGGTGAGTTACCAGAGCCAGACTAGAACACCCGAAGGCCAAAGACGGGCGCAGGAGACCACTCAAAGGCATACCCCATGTCGCAACTGGCTCGATACCGCAAGCTCGCACAAGTTCCAGGGAGACATAAAGCGCAACCGCACCAGCTCCCGTCACGATGAAGACATCAGAGTGCCACGCCATCAACTAAAGGCAATCACATCAAGAGTTAACCAAAGTCACACAGCATGAGCGCCGGACACCAGGTCCGAGTGGAGGCACGAGCCAGAGTCAAAGCGTACAGGAGCTAGTAGAAGAGCTGCGGCCACGTGATAAACTTTGCGAAGCTCAATCTGCCGGAGCCCACTGCTGGCGTGAAAGCTCAAGAACGTGGCCAAGCCTACTGCAACTCCAGTGAAGAGCAGGGCCATGGCAAATATCGGCCACTCACGCAGGACCAACCGGAGCAGGTACAACAGTAGATCCTGCACACATGACACACGCGCTATGAGAGGGCGAGCCAATGATCGACGACGGTGAGAATCAAGAGCATGCAGATGAGCTGAGAGCAAACCTGCTGCATCAGACTCGTGGCCACCACATAGCCAAGAGCGGCATGACCAGCAACCAGACCCGAGAGGACAGTCGGCAGCGTCACCGGGGGCAGCCAACGGCGTGCAGCCCCCGCACAAAAGAGCAAGGCCATGATAACCCCAAGGACAGCCTGTTAGAACCAGCGAATCACTCGGCCACCGTGAGCAGAGGCATTGCATAGGAAGAGCAAGCATGCCCCGTCCATGGATCAGCACCATCTCACCAGTAGCACTGCCCAGGGAGCGGCCACAGGCTCAGTCGACTGGGCGGCCTGAGCCAAAGCCAAGAGGGCAGCCTGCCAGCCTAACCACGACAACAAGCACCGATCCGTAAGACATGGCGTGCTCTGGACTGAAGCGCGAATAAACAACCGTGGGCTGCTGGTGCGCTCGGCGCACCTGTTGTCAGAAGGAAACTTTCACCGCGCGTGAATGATGCTGGGGCACACCATCGCAGCAGGGCAGCAAGGACCACGGCTATAGCACTGTTTACAAGCGAGCTCGCACTGGGAACATGGTACGCATAGACTGGTAGTAAAAGGAGCCAGGCGCAGGCGATCTGCGGCTCCCAGACACGCCATGGAAGTCCGAGAAGCAGAAGCGTGACAACGCTGTCTGGAGCGAGCGAGCGCCACGCTGGCGGTGCCACGTGGCTCCAAAGCGGCTCTACAAGCAGAGTCGAGAGAAGGCCAGCCCCTGCCAACGGTCGTTCCCAGGATGACCTCTGTGCCGGCTCCCAGAAAGCACCTCGTTCCAAGAGGATGGCGGCACTTACTACAACCCCCATCAAAGTGAGGACAGGCCGTTTCAGTGAGGCCTGTGACGTTGATATAAAGCGCGAGAAATCTACCAGATGTTGCATACCTAAAGTGCCAGATAGCACCACGCCGATCCAGTTGGCTGGACCTTGCACAGTGCTCAGGATGGCCCAGGTGGCCAAACCTTCCAGGCTCGCCCTCAACCCGAACACGGGTCGAGGTGACATCATGTCGTCTCGTGTGCAAACAGCAGTCAAACGTCTGACAACAACAAGAACCCCGATTTGCCTTTGAAATTTTGGTCGTGTTGACGATGAGTGGTGGCTCTGTGTGCGTTTGACGCCTTTTTGTTTTCTTTGGAAGGGTCATGCGCATTCGGTTGATGGTGGAATGAATGATCGACAAAAGGAATCAAATACATGCGGATGTATCAAAAAGCCAACGCTCTGGGCACCTGTCCCGAAGAGCGCACAAGCACGACAAAAAAAACAAAACAAACAACGACAAACCAAAAAGAGGACAGCCAAGGTGCCATGGTCAAGATGGTGGTCGAACATTCAATAGTTCGTCGGTGCTCCCTAAGGGCGACACCTCTATTTACTCATAAGCAATAAAAGTGGCCGAGGCCATATCAGAGGCTTGTTGAGCCTGTTCCATGCCCTCCCCCAATGAAGCCAAATCCCGCTCTACAATGCTCAAAAAGGCGTGACACTCGGCACAGGCGCGGACCGGCCGCTTGGAAGAGCCCGTGGTCACCCGATCGGCACAGCAGTTGCCGCAAAAGGCCTGTCCGCAGATTCGACAATGATGGCGCCGGTTAGTCAGCGTGGTGAAGGTGGCGCTACACGCTTGACAGGTTGCTGACGCTGCATCCCATTTGGTCAAAAATTTGCTGCGGAAAAATTCGAGCTCTTGGCGCCACTTGGCCATGAGCTCCTCCAGCTCCTTATCCTTCTCTGCCATGGCCTTTTTCAATGCTAGAATTTGCTCATCGCGTTCATCCAGTTCTTGCTTGCGGCGCGCGAGTGTGGCTTCGTAGGTATGTCGCGCTTGAGCAAGCGTGTTTTGCTGATTTTCCAGACTAGTTCGCAGACGAAGCGCATCGGCTTCAGCTTGGGCTTGGGTTTCTGCCAAGCGGGCCTCCAGGCGAGCCACCTGCTCCTCAAGATGCTTCACCTGAACCTCCATGGTGCGCTGGAGCGTGGACATGTCACCCTCCCGAGCCGCTAGCTCCGTGTCGTGCTGAAACTCGAGCTGTTGAATGCGCGCGCGTTGCTGCAATGTTGTTTCCTCGAGAACGGTGGCCCGTGCTGTTGCTCGGGCCAGCTCTGTTTCAACCTCCTGCAAACGAGAAACGAGGTGTGCTTGTTCATCTGCGCTTTTACCAGCTGAAGCTGTGAGCTGCTCCTGCAAAAGTCCAAGTTGTCGCTCCAAGTCAGCGGCGTTCTTGCGCTGTTGCTCCAGATGAGCATCGCGATCAGCAATCTGCTTGCGCAGATCATCAAGCTGAGACGTAAAAGCGGTGCCATCATCCGTGGCCTGGGCTCGGGCCTGCTCCAGCGCGCCACGCAGTTCAGTTATTTCCTTCTCCAGCTCCGCAGCATTTGCAAGCGCCGCCTCACGCTCTGCCTGAGCAAATTTTAAATCCGCCAGTACGTCGCTTTCAGACGGGATGGAAATGCCTTCCATGGTCACCGTCACCAACTTCGGGCGCTCCGTCTGCGTGCCAAAGTGAGTCTGATCCACCACGGGACTGAGTTGCAGAGTTCAAGCGACAGCGTGAGTCCCACAGACGGGCAAGGATCAATACAGATAAAGTTTGGGCTGCACCATCAATGTCTCGCATAATCACAGCAAGACGAACAACGCTATATTATATTTCAACAGAAAACGGCAAAGACTGCACGCAACAGTTGTCCGTACCGCTGTCCACGACTGCGTTTGAGAGCCGCCTCCAGCCTGTGGCGTGGTCGGAACCCGACCAACAATGCCAAGGTGAATTGTGTGGGGAGAAAGATACGAAAAAAGGCAGATGAGGTGAGAGTCATGCATCATCTGACGACTCGCAGCCCACATCGGCTACGAACGACATGATACTGACCTTGCCACCTCAGCTCGAAGAGAGTTCATTTCTTCAGATGAGCGGACCACGTTCACGACAGGGCGGGTGACAATGCGCTTGGCCCGGTCAGCTGTCGTTCAGTTGAGCAGTGACGCGGTGCATAGTCCAAGGAAGTAATAGAAAGAGCGGAGACACGGAGAGGGAGACGGAGGTGTTGGAAGTGAGGGCTCTGAAGCAGGTGGAGATGATCATCTCTTGGAAGCACGAGTTTGAACAGACATACCATATTGCAAAGTGCTGAAGGTTTCGCGAAGGGATGAAGCGGTTGGGCTTACGGTGCCAATCATGTAAGTTTTTGCGTTGCCTCCCAAGGAGTCCTTGAGCAACCACGTCAGCTGAGAGTCACGGTATGGCACGTGCTCCTGAATTGGTGGGTCAACAAGAGGAAGAGCGGGAAGGCATGAGGAGTTGGCGATACGAATGGTGGCCACAGTGCAGAAGTAAAATATTGTGATGCCAAGACTGGCTCAACTCATGATGACTTTGTGGGCCAACATCGGAAGAGCGCACTGACCTTGTTCGATTTTTTTGTGGAGGCCGAAGAGGACGAGGCAGAGGAAGTCGGCTTTGCATTCTCAGCCAAAGAGCTGAGGCAACGACCAAAGAAGACGAGGGACTTGTTGGTGATGCCGCCTTCCTGGATGCGAGCCTCGTTGAGGGAGTCTGTTGCGCTGATGCGCTCAAAGCCAGCCAAGTCGACGAGATTGATGCGGCTAGTAGTTTGAACTTCCAAGCCGTTTTTGACGGTAAACTGGCGTAAGACGAGAGTGAAGATGGCATGACCGCGGTTGGAACTGTCGTTCAGATCCACGCTAGCTGTTCGACGGTGTTGCTGGCCCCGAAACACGAGATGCCGTATATTCTCTGCAGTACTAGCGTCATGCTGTGATAGATTCTCCACAAAAGGCCCCTCTGTCGGATGCTCGCGGATTCGCAGCTGTGGCCGCTCCTCGGCGGGGGAGTGCAGGAGATCGCGCACTTTCTCATTGTAAAGCTCGAGGTAGGAGGCGGTCAGAGAAATCTCTCGGCCTTCCAATCGTGCACGCTCAATCAAGGCTTCGCAAACCGTGATAATCAGCCCTGGCTCCTGCTCTGTGCCGACCATGGTGAAGGTCTTGCCCGAGCCAATCTGACCAAAAGCAAAAAGGCAAACGTCTAGAAGCGAGCATAACAGCAATGCCATGGCAAGGGGAGGCAAGCCTTAAGAACTGCAGCCCCAAGGAAGTTACTCAAAGAGGCCAGAGGGGGAAAGAGGAACATACTGAAGCCATGAAGGGCATCTTCAACGATGCTGGGGCCTACGGCATCAAAGCACCGGGTTTGATTACCCGGATCAGCCTCTTCATCAACAAAGGCATTATTATAGCGGTACGTCTTCACGTCCTGAACCCCCGACGTGTTCTGTTTGCATCAGAGGCCGGCAGGTGACCACAGCGAAAGGTGAGTGCAAGGCGGCTTGTGCCGGGTCGTGTGACTTGTTGTGCCAACCATGTGGGTACTTGGGTGTTTGCATGGCCATGCAGGACGCCGCACCGTGTATGCGACACAGAGTCGGTCCTCGAGGGCCTGAATGGCAACATCCTCGTCGTCATTGTCATGGGCATTGGGAGGACGCACACGTACAGCCACGTGAACATTGCCTCGCAAGTCACTCATGGCCCGATGGTGATGGCTGGCTAGGAGCACCGCTGCACCTCAGGATAATTGCTCCTGTTAATTGAATAGGACTGATTTCTTGCCTCAGTGAGCTAAGTGAGGAGCAGCCACCCGCCAAAGGGTGAGAGCCATGAAAGAATATTGCACGTTGGAGCTCACCCAGCTCGGACCAAGCCCCATGTTCGGCCAAATGCGAGCTGGCGGATTATCGATGCTGCCAGCCTCAAGCACGTGCTCGCCAGCTTCAGCTGTAGGCTCAGACAGCAAACAACCGCCCGCTCCACCGCGCTTTGAACAACACCACAACCCCTCTCTCACCTGAATTGGAATTGAAGCGCTGCCGCCCCAAAAATCAAAGACAATGATCAACCCAAAGCAAAATAAGCAGGAAGGGTGGGGGAAAAGTGAGTCCAAGTCACAACAACTGCCTCACAACACAACACAACACATCACAACACAAGAGAGATATGTATAAGTAAAATACTTACGTTTAAACCGCGTTGGTCGCTTGTCAGATGAAAATTTAAAATGTTGGTGGTGGTGAGTCACAGTTTCACCACCGACACCTGCTCACCATGGGGCGACGAAAGCAGGGACGGCACATCCAGAACAGGTTGGTGGTGGTGGTGGGGGGAAGGGGGGAAGGGGGTGCCTGCATGCCTCGGTGGCCATCTGGGGTGGGATTAAGGCAGAGTCGTTCAACATGCTGGGATTTTGGCTGATGATTCATCTTTGATTTGCCACTACCCTTAGCGGTAATGCTGGGAACAGCAAGAAAGCGTCCAAGGATGAGGTGAAACAGCTCCAGGCGACACTGAAGAAGCAAGGTGAGGCCAGCCTTGGTAGCTATTGCCGTGCCCTGGCCGCTCGCCATCACACGCTCACTTGCTATCCCAAATTCTGGCATGCTTGCTTCAGCCGATGAGCGCCGCGAGGCAGTTGAGGCTGCCAAAGCCGAAAAAGCAGGTACCCGTTCCTGCCTGCCGCCATGGTTTTCTTGGCCCCTGCTCTTCTCATCCTATCTTCTGCCTCATCTCCCCAGCTCGTTATGGCGGGGCATCCAGTGCCCCTAAACAGGGCGCCGCTTCTTCGGCCACCGGCTCTGGTTCAGGTCATCCAGGGTTAGTGCCGTGGCCCGTCGCTCCTCCGTCCCATCTGTTCTCTCACTGAAGCGATCAACTGTCAATCTGGTGTTCGTGTGTGCCTCCAACTTTTGACCACACCAACCTTCCTTCAATCGTGACAACCAATGCAGACGAGGACGTCAACCAGATGCTTACGCTGCTGCCCATGTTGCTGCAGCCAGCCGCTCTGCCGGTAAGCCCTATGGAGAACCCATATGCTGGCGGAAGCTTTCGAGGATACATCTCTAACACCTGCTGCCCGCCGTTGCCGCCGAAACCCACCGCTACCTATTAAATAGCGTCTGCACCAAAGAACGCAAGTGCCAGTGACCACGCATCTGCTGTGCCAGACAATGTTGCCGGTAGCCCTTTGCAAACGCACCTCGTTTCGGTACGTACCGGCCCAACCAAAGTCCGCATGTTTGTCTGCTGCTTGCCTTGTTATGCTCACTTCCTCCCTCTGCTCCGCTTGCTGATGATTCAGTCGGACTGTGACTTGACCAAATGGACAGGCAAAACGCCATCACAGTTGCTGTACGACCACTGCCGCAAGAAAAAATGGCTCAAACCTGGATTTTCGGTGAGCCTCATCCTCCCGGTGGTATGCGGCCAGATCGAGCCGAGACCCGAACCTGATGCCGAGGCGATAACGGCTCATCACACATCTGCCATGTTTCACTCTTTTCTCATGACCTGTCTGGTCTTGAATAGATCAAGAGCGCAAAGGGTGGTAGTGTTGTCACCGTACGTGGCCATCAACTGCATGTGAATGGCGCATCAAGACAATTGCTTGAAAGTTGTGCAGTCATCTCACCCTTCGCCTTGCATAACTCAACCAGGTCTTTTTGAATCGCGAAGATGAAAAAACCAAGGAGCGCAAGACCATCGTTTGCAAAGATCCTCGAATTTACGTCGACAGTACCGAGGCCAAGAATTTTGGTGCCGTATACGCTTTGCATCGCGTTGCTTATGATCTGGTAGGCCTCATTTCCATGCTTATTTCAGCGTCCACTGGCCTCGGTGTCCTCTTTGTCTTCTTGCCCTTCTGCTGACATCGCCCTGCCTTTGTGCATCCCAATCGGTCGCTGCGCCTTCTCAGCAAATCAATCTTGTGCTGCCACCGGGCTATCGCGATTACTGGAAACAACTCGAGGCTGAGCGAAAAGAGCATCCAACCCGAGGCAAGACATCCTGCCCGACAGATCCCTTCACGGTTCAAGAAGATCATGTGAGTGCTTCCTTGCCAGCCAAAAAGCGGTTTCCCCAGCTTCTGTTGGCTTGCAGCGTCATGCTCAGCTTGCCTTTTTCTTATGACACGTAGGAGCGTGAGCGTCAAGCGCGGGATGCTGAGCGTAAACGCCGACAGCGTGCCAAAGAAGTGCGTACTGAGGTCCATCGACCCGACAACCCCCCCCCCCTTTTTTTTTTTTTTTTTTGCCTTGCTCGTACTTAATCTTACTATCTCAACTCTATGTCAGCTCAACCCCAAGTACCAGCACGAAACCGTGATTATGGAGGACGCTCATCGCCAAGACGCTGAGGTGCGATGCGACCATGGTTTTCTCATGTGTCCAAGCCCTCTTGAGCTTGGCTTCTCTTGTTCTCTTTTTTTGCTCGTCCAGGCTCGTTTGCATTAATATGAACGTTATGCTTCCGCGAGGTGCAGGAGGCCATCAAGTCTTGCATGGTTTACGCCTCCACCTTTGGCATAGGGGGCACCCGAACCAGTGGCAAAGATCAAACCATTTTGCCGAGCTTGTGTCGCAAAGGCTTTTTAAAAGCACATGTCAAGGAGGCCATGCAGTATACTCACACCGAGTGCGTATCACAAATCGCTGTTTGCGCGTGCTTATTCGCAGAGTTGGTCTGCCCTCTAACTTCTCTTTGCTCATCTCTCACAGGAAAGAGGCGCAGTCGTGGTTGCTCTTGCACTTGCCGGAGCGCGATCTTCCAAAGCAATTTCAACACGTTCACTCTGGTGTATCCGTCGGCAGCTCCACACAGGTTGGTTGGCCGAGTATGTGGGCCGTCCCTTTCTGCGCAATGGCAACCACATGCTGGGTCACCACACGTAGGACTGCCATGGGTTGAAGGACTTGTCTCACACATGTTCAATGCCGTCTTAGGCTGAGCTTAGCCGAATTTACAAGGCTGACAAGCTGGCCGAGTATGGGTTTGCCCATCATGTCATTGTGCAGTACGTTGTTGCGGCGTGGTGATCGCGAGCTCGCGTGCCCTTGATGCTCTTGTTTTCTGCTGTGGCAAGCTCAAAACTTTTGTTCCCTCTTCACATCACAGGGAACTCGAGCGCAACGGTGACAATGTGTTTGCAGCGCTCGTCACGTTGGTCATGGACCTGCTCGATCAGAAGGATGCCAGCTCATATTTGTACGTGTGTGTGCGCCCACAACGCAGGGTGAACTGCGGTGCGCAGTCGTAGGTTGCGACTGACTTTGAACATATTTCCTGTTTGATTGCTAGAACGCCGGCCGAGGATGAAGCAAGACACCGTGATTGCTTGGAAATTCGCAAAAGCGAGCGCGAGGTGCTCTCAAGCGTAAATCCTGATGCTTTTCAAAGCAACGTGGAGGAAGGCTGCTGCTGGTTGCAGATTGCGGTCGACATTGAGGTGAGCCTTCACATCCCAACTAACGCTAGGTATCTCTAGCTGCTTCATCCTGGGAGTCACATGGCGTTCTTTATGTTGCACCGGTGTAGGGTCTGGCCGAGCCCATTACCATGGTGGTGCTTTATGATCAGCGCAGTGCCTATCCTCATTCACCGCCGTTGGTACTGGTGAGTCTGCGTCGTCAGTCATGATGCGCTCAGTGACTTGCTGCACGTCTCACATCTAGGCGCCCCCTCCGACATTTCCACTTGACAGACCAAACATGACAGCTTGCCAGGTGTTATACTTCTTGGTATCACGAAGCACCTCAACAAGTTTGCGCTGCAGCACACGTTTGAAGACGGCGTATGTTATTGTTCGAGCCCTCCTTCACCTGGGTCGTGGTTGCCTCGACCGACTGGACCTTTGACCTTTCGAATCATGCATCATTGTGTTGGATAGGCCATCTTTGAGCTGCAAATGGAAATTCAAGATGCGCTTCCAAAATTGTTGGCCAATCCACCGCCTTTGGCTTCACTGCACCTGCAGGTTTGTCGTCACTTGCATTGCTGTGCGCAACCTTGGAGGTGGCTGAGCCCTTGCAGCACACACTTTGTCACGTGCGTTTACGTGAGAAATCATCCGCTCTTGCATGTGGTATTGGACACATAGAAAGATAAGGATGCAGCGGCCGGCCCTGTATCAGTCCGTTTGGGACAAAAACTAGGTGAAGAAGACTTGCTCGCTGCCTCCGCAGCAGACCGTCAAGGAAAAAAAGGGCGTAGCAAAGGCAGCGCTATGCCTGCTCTCCGCGACAACACCGGGGTCAACGCCAAGCTGCAGGCCTCAGAGACGGCACTCGTCGCTAAAAATGCCTACCAAAAGGTGGGTTGTTCAACCTGCTTCAGTACAAAATGGGTCACATCTAACACTCATCAGATATTGGGACGCTTGTCAATGGTAATCGGGGCTGCTCAATCGTGATAGATGTTGGGCAAGCGTCAGAAATTACCCAGCTACAAGGAGCGTGCCGAAATCCTGCGCTTGGTGCAGAGCAATCAGGCAGGTCTCAGGTCTCAGCGCTTTTACACCTTTGGACGCAGCACTTGTTTGTCACCAAACCACAGCTGACCATCTTGCTGGGTCGTCCAGACCGTCATTATTGCTGGAGAGACGGGTTGTGGCAAGACAACTCAAGTTCCTCAGTTTATCTTGGAGGATCTACTCGCCAGTGGCAATGGGAGCGCGTGCCACATTTATTGCACTCAGGTGAGGCATCCCGGGGCAAGCTGTTTGATGGTCAAGTGTCTGAATGACTAGACTGACATTACCGCATACTTCTGAGCGGCTTGGCAAACCTCACCGCATCACGCCCTCTTTCTCAACTTGCGTAGCCACGTCGGTTGTCAGCCATCGCCATCGCGCAGCGTGTGTCCGACGAGCGCACCGAGTCTGTCGGCAGCACCGTGGGGTACTCTGTGCGGCTCGAGCGCAAGTCAGTGGCAGCGGCATGATTGCATCCTTCCATGTGATCTAACAATCCGAAAAAGTCTCCAACTCACATTCCGGCGTGGGCGGACGGCGTTGCACCGTTGTAGAGCGTCTGCAGCCACTCGCCTGACATTTTGCACCACAGGCATCCTCTTGCGGCAGCTTCAGAGTGATAAGAGCCTGGCTCACATTTCGCACGTAGTGGTGGATGAGGTTTGTGGATTGCAATGGTTGCCAAGCGCTGAACGGATTTGATAACAGGGGCGCCGAGTATCATTGAATTCACTTATCGCTCTGTTCTCCCAACCTCTTCACCCAAGGTGCACGAGCGAAGCTTGGACAGCGACGTGCTCCTGGCTCTTCTGAAGGACGTCCTACGCTCACGTCGCGACCTCAAGGTATCGACATGAGTGCAATACGCTTCGCTTTTGGTGCACAGTTGGGCGTCTGCTTCTGCGCATGAAGGCCCCATGAAGACTTAAACTTGTTCTTTGCTGGCGGGTGGCTTAGGTGATTCTCATGTCGGCCACGCTTGATGCTGACAAATTTTCACGCTACTTTGGAGGTGGGTGGTAGCTAAATGCTTTGGATGGCATCGTAATGTCCGAAAGCTCGGCTATTTCTCTCGTAAAAAGCTCATGTCTCAGAGTCCTGATACTCGTGTCACTGTAGGTGCACCAGTGTTGAACATCCCAGGATTTACGCATCCCGTCAGTGAGCTCTATTTGGAGGATTTGATTGAGCTGACGGGCTATCAGCCCAATCTGAGCTCGCTCAAAAAAGTGCCAGCAGATGACCCAACACTCAAGGCGACGTTGGAAGAGCGAGCACAATATCGCCGCAGTACCATCAGTGCAGATCCGTATCAGTCTCTGGACAATTGGGAGTCAATCGATGAAGAATCAAAGACCTCAGCTCACGTGAGTTGGCAGCCGCCAGAGCTGATACCACTCTACCCACTCCAACTCGACCAACGACGTCTCTATGAACACTTCTGCATTTTCTTGGCTGTGCCTTACTTTTCTGCACTTGGTCTCTTGCGGGGTTTTCCGTGTGCCCGTGTAGCTGGTAGATGACGAGCGCTTTCAAGTGTACCAGCAGTTATCCATCAGCGACGAGATCTCTTATCGCATGGTCGCTGCTGTGGTGGATCACATTTGTGCCAGTGACAGTGATGATGGCGCCATCCTAGTATTCATGCCAGGTATCAACTTGAAGTCTCATGCCTGCACCCCAGCCGCCAGTTTCTGAAGGCACTGTTCTCAAATGCTGGTGGCTTGGTGATGATACACTCGGCAGGCATGTATGAGATTAGGCGTACCATGCGTGCCCTCAGCGAATGCAGCGCATCAGCATCGCTCCATGTGTTGCCCTTACACAGCTCGCTTACGCCGCAAGAGCAAAACCGCATTTTTCAGCGCGTGTGTATTTTGGCTCTACCATCGGCTCGTCTCAAGGCCTTTGCGGCTGTTTCACGTCTTGGAGGCATCGCGCTCATACATAGGCGCCCAAGGGGTCACGCAAGGTTGTTGTCTCGACGAACGTGGCTGAAACATCCATCACCATCGATGACGTTACCCACGTGATTGACGCCGGCAAACTCAAGGAGAATCAGGTGTGCCATCGCTGTAGCCTTGGGCTGCTTTCATAGCTCAGCAAGGTGATAGAGCTGTCTGGGGCGAAGAGGTTTGAGGCACATACCTTATGCGTTCACATCATGGGGGAGCGCAGTTTGATCCAGCAGCCCGCATGTCCATGTTGGTCACCACTTGGACGAGCAAAGCCGCGGCAAAGCAGCGGCGCGGTCGCGCCGGTCGTGTCAAGCCCGGCACGTGTTATCGGTGCGTGTTCGCTACGGGCTTGCTGCCAGATGCTCTTGAGAATCATCGCAGCATCTCAGGCATTGTCAAGACTTGTTGTGTGCCCTCTCTGATATTTCTGTCGTTGTTTCGTGCTGTGATTGGCCGCGATTGGCACGCGTGGGGTTGTTTCCGACTGGTGCAGCTTGTATACGCGAGCTCGATTTGCTTCCATGCTGGACCATCAAACACCTGAGATACAGCGAGTGCCGTTGGAGCAGCTTTGTCTGCAGATCAAAGATGCGGGCCATGATGATGTCGCTCAAGTTTGTTCTTCTCATGTTATTGGCCTCGTTCTTCTCGTTTATTTATTTGCAATGAGATGCAGGCAAAACTGATAGAGCGGGCATCGGCACTCAATGGCTGCTTGTCATCCTCTGACACATTTGTTTATGGCACAGTTTCTGGGCACCTTTCTGGATGCACCTCAAGGACAAAGCGTCGAAGCTTCGCTTGATGCACTGCGGGACATTAGCGCGTTATCTGCCAACGGCAAGCTCACAGGTGAGGTCGATTGAAGCCCTTTCAGTAATCTTTGTGACACCAAAAGTTTTGACTGCCCTCACGTTCATCACTTCTCCTCTCTAGCGCTGGGTGCGCATCTGGCTCAGCTACCCATTGGTATGTGGCAACTGCCATCATCAATCCGATCCACCACTGTCTTGTCCTTGCTGCATGGCTTACAGTCTGTCAACTCCGTAGATGTGCGGTTGGGCAAAATGCTCATTTTTGGGGCCATGCTCCGTTGCGTCGATCCCGTGCTGACCGTCGCTGCGGCAATGGTACGGGTGCATACATCGTAGCCCTCCTCTTCTACCAATCCAAGCCTTCGTCCTGTTTTGCGCTGAACCAGTTCGGCTAGCAAGCCGGCGTGGTTGAGTTCTCGGAGAACCTTTAGCCCTGCTTATCTTTTGAGGCTTGGCTTAGTCATGCGTGGATCGTGTCACTGTTTTAGGGGTACAAGAGCTTCTTCGTGGCACCCATGGCTGAGCGCGATGCTGCACGAGCTGCTCACCAAAAGTTTTACAAAGAGCGCAGTGACCATCTCATGTTTGCCGAGTACGCAGACTTGTCATTTGCTTGTCTCGATCACATTTTTGGTACCTCTTGAGAAACTTACGGCTTGCGTTTCGTGGGTCATGCGCGCCTTGCATGCCTTTGCATGATCAGAGCTTTCAATGAATACCAAAAGATGGCTCAAGTGGGACGGGGCGCGGCGCATGCCTTTTGCGAGACAAACTTTCTGTCCCGCAACGTGTTGAGCGAGGTCAAGGATCTTCGACTTCAGGTTTGTTTGTGCTGGCGTGTGCTGAATTCGAGGCTCGTCCATCATGCCTGATGCTGCGAGTGCATCTGTATTCTGGACCGCAGTACTACGGTGTTTTGCAAGAAATGGGCTTTGTTCCTGCACTGGAACGCAATCATCGTGGGCCACTTGGGTGAGAGAGAATTTCATGTTGCTTTCACTTGTTCTTTGATTCATCCGACGCTTCATCCATCAAAACCCACTCTTCGAAGCTGCTTGTGCGGATGCTGATGGATGAATTTTACTGGTGTTCCCGCAGCGGCGATCAACTCAATGCCAACGCCGAGCAGTATAATGTGGTCAAGGCCGTCTTGGCTGCCGGCCTGTACCCCAACGTGATCCGCATTGTGTTGCCTCAAGCAACCTTTACTAAGGTAAGCGGGGCTTGATCCCAGATCTGCATGGTCACGGGGCGGGCGGTCACACCTTACTTGGTCGCGATGATTGGTCACGTAGGTGGAGGGTGGCGCAGTTCAAAATGCCCACAACTCAAAGGACATTCGCTTCTTTCCCAAAGAACCCGGGCGTGTATTTCTTCATCCCAGCTCGGCGCTCTTTTTGGAGAATAGGTCCGTCATTTGCCTGGACCTCAACTCAGGGATGCACGCCCTACGTTGCGTCAAGAGTTGCTATCTGTTTTGTTGATGGCTCTTACCTACCTCGCCCTTTGTGTAGCTATGATCACGAGTATGCGGTATACTTTGATAAGGGTAGCTCGCACGCTGGCAAGACATTTGTGCGGGAGGTAACCGTCATCAGCCCTTATGCTCTGATGCTCTTTGGTACGATCATGTTGCCACACTTGCTGACTGAGGGACATGCAAGTCTGTGCTCATGTCTTTTCTTGTCTTCTGACATGTCTTTTTGGGACTTGCTCTGCCTGCCTGTTATGATCGGCAACAGGGGGTAAGCTCGCGTCGCACGCCGAGAGCAACATGATCACGGTCGATGATTGGTGAGTACCTCTTGCAACGCCGTTCTGAGGGAGTGGTTTGGCACCAGGGCGTCCATCATCCGCAAAGTCAGCCTTCGATTTATTGACGCATTTCTTTGCTGCGCCGGCGAGAGCAGGATCAAATTCAAGAGCAGCCCACGTGTGGCGGTGCTGATTGACAACTTGCGTGATGGGCTCGACCAGCTCTTGCGAGTCAAGCTGCAGAATCCCGGCGAGCCCATCGATGATCACGCCCTGCTTCGCTGCATCGATCGCCTGCTCCAGACCGACGGGCGCCGGTTCTGATTTTTGACGATCAAACAAACGAGCTTGGGCTTCAGCGTGTCTTCGGGCCCGTTGACCAACCACGCTCCAGAGTAGGATGGGGCATAATATAAACATGTCGTCGAAACACGCACAAAAAGTTTTGTCTGACAATCGAAGAAACAACAACAACAGCAAGAACTCACAATTCATCCTTTCCCTTCGCACTCCTCTCATCGGCTCAACTCTTCCCCGTCGACCTTGTCACCGTGCCCTTGTGGTTCTTCGCCTCGTTGATGTCGTCCTGATAGCACCCGCCTGTCTGCTAGTGGGACGGCAGGGGGAGGGGAGGTTGTGGTTTGCTGGTGATCACCCGTGGTCCAGGCATGGGCCGCGCGCCTCTGATCATGGCGGTTTCTCCACATGTCGGGCTGGCAAAGCACTTGGTTGTCCTGGCTGTGCTTCTGCAAATAGCACTGGGAAGCCAAAACTTCAACGTCTGGACCGGGGCAGTACCAACCATTCATGCTCCCTCGGCGCGTGTGGGCGCCGTCTTGGTTGAACTAGACGGGTCGGTGGTTCTCCTGGGCGGTATGGCAGGTCCATTGGCCGACAACGACCTGGCTCTTATGAGACCGGAGGGTGATCAATGGTCCCTCGCCTCGTCTTTACAGGGCTCTTGGCGGTTTGTCCAGGCCCATGCCGGTTTGAATAGAGCCTTCCACGCGTGCACACAGTGGCACCCAGGTCGTGAGAGCATTGCCTGTTTTGGTGGTCTATCCCTTGACCCACTCACCCAGACCATCCGCGCACTCGACTCAACCGTTGTGGTCGGCCTGACTGCGGATATCGCTGTGGTGGAAATCAATGCTAGCCGAGTTAACGCACCTCTTGCTCGCTTTGGGCACGGTCTAACACGTCTCAACGCACCAAACACGGACGCCAGCAATGCTGCAGATGGTTCAGAGGACAGTGGAAGCTGCTTGGTTGTATCCGGCGGTCTCGACCTGCAGAGTAACGGCCAACAAGTGTTGCCCAGCCGCTCCTTCGAACTTCAATGTGGCTCCATCTTTGCCCCATGGCATCCCCTGATCGCCTCTGGGGGAACTGAGCCCGCACCACGCTTTGCACACGTCGCGCAAGCACTGAACGGCACGCACATGGTTGTCATGGGCGGGTGCGACCAGACTAGCTATCATTGTCAAGCCGCCAACTTTCGTGCGGACGTCTGGGTCTTACGTCTACAAGCTTCCACTGCTGGAAGCCCTCCTCTAGGGCTCTGGCATCGGCTCAGTCTGACCATTCCAGCAGCAGGCGGGCAGCTTTTTTCCCATTTCTGGGCTTTTGATGCTGAATTGGAGCAGCTTTACTTGCTGGACAATTCGGATGAGGATTTGATTGATTTCCGTGTCCTCACCTTCCATGGCTCAGACGCCAGCGCCCAGACCATGACAGCGGCCCCTTCCAGCATGCGGCCTGCTGCTCGTCAAGGGTTTGCGTCGGTCTTTTTTCAAGACAACTTCCTGGTACGAATGGCGCCATATTTAGCAGCCGCCGTGACAGCCCATTCCTGCTCACACTTGCGCGTGCTGGGTCGGATCGCCGGCATCTGCAGTTGTTTGGCGGCTATAGCGGCCTCAGCTACTTGAAAGATGCTCTTGCCTTTGCGCCTCAGGGGCGATTTTGGGTAACGGCCATCGATGAAAGCGTTCCAGGCGTGCAGGTGTGTTCTTTGTTCTCAGAGCGCCTTTATGTACCAAAACGTAGCATGATAGCATGATAGCATGATAGCATGATAGCATGATAGCAGGATAGCAGGATAGCAGGATAATGTGCTATTGCCAGGCTCGCCCTCGCTCGCTCTGTTCTGTCCTCATGTGAGTGTCATTGTCCATGCTCTTGCTATGCCTTAGGCCATCGGTGCCGCCGTTACGCTGCATCCGGATCGAAGGACCATGACGCTGATTGGGGGGCGACAAGACGATGGGCGGGCCGTGAATGGGCTCTGGGAACTTGCCGTTAACGATATGGTGTGGACATTGGCTGCACCTTCTTTGCAAAGCAGTATGGGCGAGGATCTGTCCTCCACTTCGACCTCTTTGGTGGACAGCGACCACTTTCTTCTGTTTGGAGGCATGAATACGTCCTGGGACGTAGTCAAGCCTCACTCATCCCTGCTTCTGGTTCATTTCAGCGGTGCTAATGTGACTGAGGTGCATTTCGACGAAGGGCCTTCCGGACGCGCTGGTCATCAGATGGCCCTTTTGGGTCCTCAAGGACAACGGCAGTTGGTCATTGCCGGCGGGTGGCAGTATCTCGACCAGCTCAACCTCAACGCCAGCCTAGTTCATGACGACGCCTGGGTGGCTTCCTGGCCGCCCACAGACCAGGCCGTCACTTTTGAGCGCCTACCCGACTGTTCATGGGGAGGGCTTGCGAGTGGTGCTGGTCAGTGACCGTGTTGTGCGCGTGACCGGCGCCCGTAAATCCGGTTCCCATCCTAGCCGACTCTGGCTCTGTGTGTATCCACTCATGGTATCCCTTTGTCACTCAGCGCTGGAGTTGAACATCAACGTTACAGGTCTATTGCTCTTTGGAGGCTATTCGCGAAGATTGGGCCGTATCGACACGGAAGGACGCCTGCTGTTGTCAACCAATGGTGCTTGGACTTGCGAGACCATCAGCACAAGTGTGGCACGGTACGTTTCTGGCTGCCAACTATTCAAGGGCTTGCCATACCTCTTGCCTTGTTTTTAAGGTAGGCATTTGTTCATCTGACTTTCATCGTTTCGCACCGGGGTGGCCCAATAGCCCGCAAGTGTTCTTCTCTGCGTCGGCTCAGACGGCCAGTGAGAAGCTGATGGTGTATGGCGGTCTTCGGCTGGCTGAAGACGGAGCGTGGGAGACGGTGAGGCTGCAAAAAACACTTTGCTCGAAGCAAACCACAGTTTGCTGTTGCTCTGCCTCACGTGGGCACGAATGTTCTCATCCCATGACTCGGCTTTTGTTGGGCCTTGGACCCTAGAGTTCTGAATTGTGGTTGGGCGAGTATGATCATGGCACCAAATTTCTTCGTTGGCTCCTCATCTCTGAGTCGGCCCTTGCCGGTCACTTTGGTTCGACCGCGACTGTTGCAAGGTCAGCTGCTTTGGCCATCATTGTAATTGCATGTGTGGCATTGATTGGGTCGCGTTCTCACGGGCATGGGCCGATGCATCACTTGCTGAACGGCCAGTCTCGGATCTTACGATGTATTCCTGCTCTTCGGCGGCGGAACCGTTGCCAAGGACCGCGTTTCCATGGATATGGTTGGTGCACTCTGGCACACCTTCTCTGTCAGCCCATCATCCAATATGACCAACTGCGACGTTTTGACGAGGTTGTTTTTTTTTTTTTGAAAAATTCCCCCCCCCCCAGGTGCAAGCCCGGTTGACATTGGGTTGCCCTTCTGGCTATTTTGCCGAGGACTTCCAAAAAGACAGATGTCTTCCCTGTCCAGAGGGAACCTATGCTTCAGAAGCTGGTATGTCTCTTTCAGGCAGTATGCGCTCGTGTGGACCTTGTCCCGTCAGCTCAACAACATTTGTGGCTGGGTTAGGGTCGATGGCTTGTAGGCGATGTCCCCGTGACAGTTGGACCGATGGCACGGCTGCCACCAATCAGACGGTGTGCAGCGTGTGCCGGCCAGGCTTTTGCAAGCATGGAGATTGTGTTCTGAATGCCGAGTTTCATGGAGCCTGCACCTGTCACAAAGGCTTTTCTGGCAAGCATTGCCAGTTGAGCGTGACTGCGGTGATTGTCGGGACTCTTCTTGGTCTTGCAGTCCTCGCCACGATCGGGGCCTGGCTGTATTTCCGTGTGCACCATCGCTTTTCGAGCTTGATCTCCGTCCAGGAATTGCAAGAGCGACTCATTGAAGAATCTAACCTCCAACTCGACGAGTTGAAGCGCGCCTGGGAAATCAAGTAGGTTCCAAGCGCGATGGTCGTCTTGCTGAACCCCCTCCCCGAGCCACCTTGTTTTTTTTTTTTCTTTTTGCGAACTTGAGACTCATCTGCGAATCATTTGGGGCTGCATGGATAGGGCGGAGGATATTCACTTTCTCGACAGTCTTGATCAGGGCTCCTACGGTGAAGTTTGGCGAGCACAGTGGCAGGTTCGTGGCACTCAGCTTTTTGTGCGATAAATCACACTTTGGCGGGGGGGGGGGTATGCGTGCCTTGCCCATTCTGTTCAATCGTGCAATTGCGAGTAGGATCGTATTGTGGCTGTCAAAAAGCTGAAGCATTCCGTCATGATGATGGATTCGGCGGCCGTCAAAATGTTCAACGAAGAGGTGCATCTGATGCGGTCTATTCGCAATGTCAACGGTGCGTTGCGTGATGGCATGCCTGGGCTGTTGTCTGCCCAAGTAGCATGCTGCAATTCTCAAAAATTTTCCTGCACATGTAGTGGTGTTTTTCTACGGCGCTGGCTTGTTGGGAGATTCACCCTTCTTGGTTACCGAGTACTTGGCACGTGGCTCACTGCAAAGCGTTTTGGCGGTATGTCTTCGCTTACACCTTCACATCAAAGCGTTCTTCACGTCTCACTTTTCATTCATGGTTGGATACGTAGAGTGATATGCCCATTACCTGGCAACGGCGCTTGAAATTGCTGCACGACACCGCATCGGGCATGGTGTACTTACATGCCCTCAAGCCACGACGCATTCATCGAGATCTCAAGGTGCACAAGCATTTCATCATTGTTTGCCTGGTTGCCTGATTCCCCGCCTGATTCCCGCGGATGTAATGTATTCATAAGATATGGCCGGGAAAGCAAAAGAGCTCGCTCTCGGCAACAAAGTCGTGTTCATTTGCTCAGCTCACGATCCTCCATGACTGACTAGAGTGCTAATTTACTGATTTCCGATACTTGGCGGTGCAAAGTAGCCGGTAGGTGCTGCCCCTTTGTTGATCACCTTGGACAACACGCCAGTGTGTTTGCCAGTGGGTGCTCATGAAGCGCACGAACGGGCTCAGATTTTGGAACAGCACGCTTAATGAGCAGCACTTCCGACCGCCCCAGATCAAACTCAGCATCAAGCCTGTCTGCCTTTTCCTTGATAACCATGGACGACGCGCAGTCTGAGCGCGTGGGCACACTTGCTTGGTGTGCCCCTGAAATTCTTGAGAATCTGCCATATGGCGCCCCATGTGACGTGTACAGGTAAAAACCATCCCATTTGCCCATTTGGATCAACCCTTTGTGCCCAGCCACACGGGTCTTGAACAGCCCTACTGATATTAGCTTGGATCGCACGTCTTTGATTTGCAATTTGACTGGTATTTTTCTTCGCCTGGTGTGGTGCTGCCTTGTAGTTTTGCTATCGTCCTGTACGAGGTTTTGACAAGAAAACTACCATACTATGATAACAACATGCGCATGCACACGTTGCAAAAGGCCATTTGCGAGGGGCTGCGTCCCACCATTCCGCCGGAAGACAGCGAGACCTCTTTCACGGCACTCATGATTTCATGCTGGAATGCCAATGCCCAGCTTCGGCCCACTTTTGAGCAGATCAAGTCCGTCATTGAGACATTAATGATGGAGCAGAGCGCTAGTGACCGCCAAGAGCAACGAGTAGCCTCGATGTATGAAGCTGACGCTTGATGAGCTGAGGCTGTGAGCCGCACCGACCAGACACATTCATTTTACTTGACTTTGAAAATGCACACATTCCTTTGCATAAGTCAACCTTTCTTTACGCAAATGGTGGGGCGGGGGAAGAAAATGTCAACAATTCATTGCGATGGCGTGGAATACACGTTAGTGATCAGCGCAAAATGCACTGGGGGAAAAAGGAGCAGTCAGCTCAGAAGTCCATAGCTTTGAGCTCAATTGTACATGGGTGTTATTTCACATATGATCAAACAGAATGCCAACGCATACTCGATGGAAACGTCAGTTGACGGGCTGAAGTTGCATAGGTAAGAAGGTAGGGTTCAGGCTTCCGACGACGATTCAACGCTTTGTGAAGTCACTCGCGAGCTGCCGCCAGAAACTGCAGCCACGCGCGCAGCCACATCATCAAGGTCATCGGATGGAGCTGACTTGATGGCCTCGGCAAAGACGGCAAATGAGTCTCGAACTGCTGGAGCTTGACGTCGAGTCATGGGCACCCGCCGCTGTGCTGCCGTGGGATGTGGTCCATTCGTGGGAGTCAGGTCAGGCAAACGCCGCGCTCCAGCACCAATACCTGTGCTTGAGGTCGTCGCACGCCGAACTGTCGACACATCGCGCCCTGGGCTGGCAGTCATGGTTGATTGGATTGGCGTGCGCGGGCTTTCCATGCTCGCGTCAACTGCCCGCGCTCGGCGGGTGGCTGAGATGGTATGTGAACGTATCGGGCCTGTAGGACTTGGCGTGAGCTGCGACGCGGCCGGCACCGACAAGCGCTTTTGCGGTGAGGGCACGGCCGAGCTCTGCTGCGAACTCGCTGCCGAGGTGCTGGCTGATGACACCTGTGAAAACGAGGCCGCAGCGCGTGCCATTTGCTCGGCGGTCATGTTGGCATCGTGTGTTCCCACGTGGACAAAGTTGGAGGGGTTGGATATGAGCGAAGTAGAGAGGCGGTCGTTTGATGCACGGCTACCCCGGCGTGCCAGCGTCAGGCGGCGTGAGCCAAGGCTGCGGAGCGATCCGCCCCGTCGCAATCCCTCTTGCGGTTGCCGGGTATCAAATACAAGCGGGGAGTCTTCTTTGGGTGAGTAGCCCTGCATGATGTGGCCTTGCGTCGTGACAAGGAGGAGCAGATGCTGCGAGCTCAGTAGCTGGCAGTCTGGGAGCCAGTGAACCTCGACTAAAGCACCTGTCGCAAGAGAAAGTACCTCCAAGCCTGCTGCCGAGACGACGGTGAGACAGTTGCCAATGACGTCAAATGCCTGGGGCTCGCTTCGCCATTTGAGCGTAGGTCGTGCATGCACGGGGATGCCCAGCTGGTTAACAAACACGGCGCATCGGTTGAAGCACAGCAGGTACTCCACGACTTCTTCGTCTCCCGTGCCTGTAGCAGAGATGCAGAAGGCTGCCATGGGGCGCAGCTCCACGAGCGTGGAGAGGGGCGGAAACGCAAAGCTCAGTTCAGAAAAACCTGTGGAGAGCAAAGCCTGTCGGGTTCGGGACGAGTTGGCGCTCCGCAAGTCAAATGACACAAATGTCTGGCCGAAACCGACGATGAGCTGGTCGCGCATAAACCGCAGAAAGTTCACAGCCCGCTCGATGTCCAGAGAGTTTTGCAAATTGTATTCGCCGTGCTCCGTAAAAGTGAATACCAAGATCTTGTTCTGCTTGGCTACGGCCAGAATCGGCAATCCGGCAAAAGTTGCGAGGGTAGCCAATGAGCAGCCTCGAGTTTCGGGCAACTTGGTGCCGTAGTCGCGCTTGCGGATTGATTGAACAATGTTATGGAAATAGCGCACTTGAGGCGTCTTCCCATAGACAATGGCTGTTGCAAAGGCAGGCTTCTCCAAGCATAGAATCTGTGTGGCATGCTGAAATCGCTTATCCGTGAAGATGCGTTCGACACCATTTTCCTTTGCCACCACCAGACCATCGTTGGAAACAGCCAGCAGTGAGCGGTCATCAAGGCGGGCAGCACACGTCACTGATTTTAGATTGGCAACCACGCAATGAATCGCCACGGCCTCAGGGACATCGCAATTGACGGCCTTGATGTACTGCGTCAGCTGCAGGATGCGCGTGGCCTGTTGCTCGGCCGAACCGGCCATGAAGAAAAACCGAAGCGGGGTTGTGGGGTCTCCACCGGGAGCTTCCAGCAGAAAAATGCGCGGCAGATCCTTGGCGTTGGCGTGAATTACGTCATCCTCTTCAGCAGGTCTAATCCGCAGCTGCTGCCGAATCAAATCCACCATGCATCGGGGATGGGACTGAAGGGTTGGCAGTCCAGGGTTGACGGGCTTCAGCGGCTCTGGCAAGTCAGGTACCTCTCGAGTAGGGTTGCTGTCATACTCATACACGTACAGTGTACCCTGACGGGCATACACATACGCTCGTGTCCAACCCTTCTTGATTCCCCCTGGTTTAGGAATTTTCAAGTCACATTGGAACGGAGCCACCTACAAGCATCACGAAAGCGCAGGGCGAGAAGACGTAAGAGGATGCACCGGGCGTGCGAGCAAGATGCGGTAGATTTCATCCAGCATCGACCCCCCTTTTGGGGGGGGGGCGGAGGGGTGGGGAGAGCGGACCAACGCACAACAAGCACAACAAGCACAACAAGCACAACAAGCACAACAAGCACAACAACAACAACAACAACAACAACAACAACAACAACAACAACAACAACAACAACAACAACAACAACAACAACAACAAAGCAGAGTCCCTATCACCAAATATCAAGATTCAAAATCAAAGCCGCCCGAAGGAGCCAAGCGGATTGCATCGACCGCACCTCCACTTCATCGTCGTCAAGACCAGCCAAACTGGTGCCCGAGGGGTTTTTGCCTGCATCAAGGATCCCCGTGAAAGTAAGTCCCGGGCGCAGGCTATTGGCTGACTCGCGCGACACAGTTGAGCCTGTTTCCAAGGAATGGCCAGACATCTTGCGCGGTGAAAATCGTTCCTTCTCCCCGGAAGCGCTTTGCAACAATTGGGCCAATTGTCCCTGACAAGTAGGAGGATGGAATGTATGCCTAGTGAGTGGAATACATTGGAGGCAACTGGTCACTTGCCAGCGCGGGCGGTCGTCTCATGTGCCGTGCCAAACCTTGAGTCGGTGATTGTCCGCAGTCAGTTCCTTCATTTGTGCTTCGAAGCGCGCAGCGTGCTAAGAGCCAGGGCGCTCGTGTTAGACGGTTCAACTGCGAACCCATTTCTTTGCGATGGACATTGGAATGTTCCTTGATGTTGACATACCTCGCGGTCTCTTTCAGTCATGTCGGCCTGTAGCGCAGCTACTTGGGCACTGAGAACCTGCACACGCTGCTCCGCGTCAACCTTGGCTTGGTTCTGGGCTGCCAAATCTTGCTGGAGTGTTCGAATCTCTTGACGATCAACCTTTTGTGTACGACGCAATTGCCACTGCATGCGCTCAAAGGCGGCCTCGGGCGAGCTATGCAGTTGTTTGAGTTCTTCAACCTGAAGCTGTAGCTCATGGATTTTAGCCAAAAGCGACTGCTGCTCCACACGATGCTCATCGAGCTGTGCCTCCAGTTGCTCAATCAAAGCTTCCGCTTCTGATGACAGCTGAGTTCCCGCAGCAAGCTGGGCGATCTCATCAGCACGTGCAGCATTAGTGGCGTCTAGCTCCTCCAGGCGCGTGCGCAGTTCCTCGCACTCCGTCGTGAGGGCAGCGATGAGATCTTGCTGAGCTTCTGAGCCAGCGTCACGACTCTGCAGCTCATCAATTCGCTGCAAGGCATGCTCATGCTGCTCGCTCATGTCATGTAAGCTTGACTGCAAAGCCTCAGTTTCGCGCTGCAGGGCATCCACAGCCTCAGCTGCTGCGCGTTCGGCTTGGTCCAGACGTTCTTGAAGTGCTGTACGTGCCTCGAGAAGTGTGCTGGTACTGGACTGCAGCCGTTCCACCTCACGGCGCTGTTGTTCAAGGTCATGTTGCACTGCAACTTTGTCTTCACCTGCCAAGCGAACATCACGCTGGCTTCGGCGAAGCTCCTCCTCTAATGCAGCGACGCGCTCCTGCAGCGAAGCAACCTGTAGATCCGATTTGTGCTGGAGCTCCTCGTATGCGGCTGTCAGGTCCGTGCTAGACCCACTGTTGGACTGTGCGCGGAGTCCGTGAAGCTCAGACTCAAGGCTAGCCTTTTCTGAGCGTAAGGTTTGTATGAGTCCAAGTTGAGCCTGGAGTTGCGCCTCTAATTCTGAGACTTCATCCTCCTTGACGCTGACCCGCCGACGAAGCTGTGCTTCATCAGCACGCAGCGCTGTTTCGCGCGTCGTGGCCAAGTCCAGCTCATTCTCCAGCTCAGCGACGTTGCGGCGCAGCGTACCAAGCTGTGCTGTAAGTGTAGTCCCGTGCTTGTTGACCTCCTCCAATTCAGCTTCGAGCTCTGCCTGTTGCCGCTGACTGACGCGATTTTTGCGCTCCAGCTCGGATACAGTCGCTTCCAAGCTCTCATTCTCAGCGCTTCGACGCTGAACATCGGCCTCTAGCTTCGAGATGCGGGTTTTAAGTGCCTCTAGATCCACGGCGGCTGCCGATCCATTAAGGTTGTTTGTGGTATCACTATGTTGAGCACTGTGCAGCTTGTCTTGCAGTTCCCGAACCTGTGCCTCTAGCTTGCTGGCGCGATTGACCAGCACGCTATTGCGACGCTGCAGGTTGCGAGAAGGGGAAAGATCAAGATGATCGGCACTGCCTGGTCGTGATAGTGGGTGAATCTGCGCCAGCAAAATGCCAAAGATGGCGTCGACATGAGCAGCAGTTGTGGGAAATGAAGAAATTGCACTCAAGGCGTGCTGGAATGCATGGGCAAGTACTACCGTACATTGCGAAGGGCTACAGTTGGCGTTTCTCGACTAAAAGTATAACCAACAAAGGGTAAATGTTGGCCACTGAATTGTTTGGGCTGACTGGGACGTGCCACCTGACATGGTTCATCATCCAAGCATTGAAAGGATAAGTCGCAGTAGTGTGAGCACCAACACGAGCATAGTACGTGTAAATGTGAGTGAGCGTGGATGCGGAGGTGCGGATGTGTGGGGTGGAGCACATTGTAGAGAACAAGGTGGAAATGGCAGAGTTATGAACGTACAATATCAGACTTGACGTCAACCTCATCAAAGTTGCTGGTGTCAGTGGCACCGACGAGTTGGGGCATGTAGGGCGCGGGGCCTAGCACAGCCATTTCAGTTGATTGATTTTAATTTCGAGTGAGTTGTAAGAGCAGCCGAATGAAGCTGACATCCCCCCCCCTTTTTTTTTTTTTTGTTTTGTCGACAACAAAGAGTGGCATCAGGCATGAAGGTGCATGCTGGTCATACCAGTTTGCAGCGCCTCCCAGTCGACTCCTTTGAAGAAGGGATGGCCTTTGAAATCTTCCAAGCCCTTTTGGCCAAGTCGTTTGCCCGTTTCACAAAGGAGGCTTCGAATGAGGTCCTAATGGGTGTATGAACATGATGAGGGAAAACGAGACAAGAATGTTGACATGAGTCCTGCTTGGTTCAAGAGTGGCAGGCGTGGGGGCATTGAAGAGGAGCCAATGACTTGCCTCTGCTTCTGCCGAAAGAGGCTCTGGGAATGCCAAACTCTCCTGGTGGCTCATAATATTGGAATAAGTGCCTGTGAGGGTTTCGGCGTAAAAAGGGGTGTCTCCCAGAAGCATCTAGGTGGAGGAGACGAGGTGGTACGTGTAAGAGTGACAAGGCAGGCCTAACATGCAGCGCTTGACTGCAACCTCAGCCCATAGAGGCTTATGGAGCATGCGACTCGAGAGTCATGATCCCGTACTTCGTAGATGACGACGCCAAATGACCACCAATCGCACTCAGTGCCGTATTTGCCTCGTCCCTCCATTGAGGTCAAGATTTCAGGTGAGATGTAGTCTGGGGTTCCAACGGCCGTTCGGCTATCCACCTGGAGCAGACAGAAGGCGGCAGAAAGGTGGCAGTATACATGAGCAATACGCAAATCGTGGTGAGGGCGAGTCGACGTGAGTAGAGTCAAGCGCACGGAAGTGTTGGGCATTCATATTGATCGTTGGTAGCAGTAAGCCTCACCTTGCCATCAGGCCCAAGTCGCATACAACTGCCAAAGTCAGCAAGGCGCAAGTGGCCATCCTGCACCAAAGTGATAGCGACATGAGCGCGCTGTCAACTGCATGGGCAGGGCGAGAGAATTGGCGCATGGTACCTTGCCCAGCAAGAGATTATCTGGCTTGATGTCACTGTGATTATGGGGTTGCAGGCGCGTCGTGAAAAAGTGGCGTAACCTCTGCTTCATGGTCTTGTCCGCAATGGGCCACGCGGTTGTTTTCTTCGGGGCAGAATGTGTGGCAAAAGCAAAGTTGCACGGATGGGTTCCGAGTGCATCAGAGCGTCTTACCGATGCACGTAACCCATGCGGTGCAGTGAATCGATGGCCAGCACCATTTCGGCTGCGTAGAAGCGAGTCATGTCCTCGTTCAGACGGTCATCAAACTTGCTCAGCAAGGTCAAGAGGTCGCCGCCTCCATAATATTCCATGACCAGGTACAGGTTTTCATCGTCCTATCCATGTTGCCCACCGAACCAGGCCATCAGTGCTCTAGCATTAAGCAGTGCCCGAATACAAAACAAAAAGAGGGCAAAAACAAAGCAAAGCCTTGAGCAGCTTAATTAATGGGGGGGATCGTTACCTGAAAAGCATAGTGCAACTTTGTGATCCAGCGTGAATCTCCGTTGACCAAAATGTCACGTTCTTCCAAAAAGCAGGCAGCCTGTCGCAAAGGTGGCGTGAGCGCGGGGCGAGTTGGTGCACGTGATGCCGCTTTGTGGCAAAACCCAACGTGAAGAACCACATTGAAAGAAGAAGAAAAAAAAAAGAACCAATCGAAAAGAAAGTCAAGAAACAGAAACCCAACGACGAAGGGCCGTTGGGGTGATCAGTCGCCCACCTCCTTGCGTTTGAGTAGGTGCCATTTGTTGAGAATTTTAAGCGCGTAGATTTCTCCGGTCTTCTTGTAGCGTACCACTTGCACTTCACCAAAGGCCCCACGACCAATAATCTTCACCGTCTCAAAGGAGGAGCGCTTGATTTGAGTGGCGCGTGCCTCAGTGGCTGCGGTGGCATCTGTGGCAAAGATGAAGTAGACCATTTGGATGAGTTCACGTGTGGGCATGTGTGTGTATGTGTGTGTGTGTGTGTGTCACTGGCGATTGGACAGCGATTGAGCTTGATGGGGAGGGAAGGCGATATGAGAGGATAGGCTCAAGCCGTCATGCTCACATTGTTTGACAAAGGCATCAATGCTCTGTTCGCGACGAAGATGGGGCGAAGCAAGTTCATCGTGGACTGCCAAGAAGCAATCGAGTAGAAGTTCATAGGGTAGGAGGCGATGCAGCTCTGTCATGGATCTTTGGTGAACATCAGCCAAGCTGGCTTGTCGTGAGCTGGCAGGCGATGTCATGATGCAGGGTCTGTTCAATGGTGGTCAGGGGAAGTATGATCGAGTGGCTGGCCGACCGGCCCTTGGCGCTGGTTGTGTATGGAGCGGAATGATCCCCACCAACAGAAGCGCCCAGATGTGCACGGCCAAAGGGTGCCGCAGAGGGGTCAGCGTTCTGCAGACGGACCACTACCGAACGACATGGTTTAGTCGTGTCCCCCTTTTCCAGCCGATGAAAAAAAACGACAACGCCGGTGGACCCGGAAGGCATAGGAGGGCGGGGTTGGGCGCAAGCGAGAACTCGACGCGAAGTCACACAAGGTAGCAGCAACAGTAAGGTTGTCTTGAGGTGCTAAACGGTTTGCCAGAGAGGTACCCAGAGGTATGGATTGCATGAGGCTCGAGTGCAAATCGGTCACAAGGCGGTGGGTCAAGGGCAAAACACGCGTCGCTCTCGCCCGCACCTAACTGCTGGAAGGCAGGTTCACAATCAACCTGTCATCACGATTAGCAAAGCGGTCGTTTGTTGACAGTAAGTTTGCACGCAACCGACTCGAGTTGCACTCGTGTACGAGGGGGTCGCCCCACCCCCAAAAACAAAACAAAATAAAACACGGCGGATGGGACTGTCTTACTTCAGAGCCACCGCCACTTCAAATCCGCCTTGAAAAGCAAAGGCAAGAGCAAGTGAGCAAGTGAGAGAGAGAGAGAGAGAGAGAGAGAGGGAGCATCCGAAAAAAAAAAGCAAAAAAAAAAAAAAGCGGACGGAACGGACACGGGATCACAATGATTGGCATCCACCCGAGCAGTGCCACCCCACAACATGCATTTGGATGATGTACAAAAATGTCAGAGCGACGAAATAAAGTAAAATACTTTATGGTGGACAAAAGTCAGACGAATCGCTTTTCCAGAGAGGAAGAGAACGTGGGCAGGTCAGTGGTGAGTGATCCGCGGAGCTTGATAGCCACCGGCTCGGAGGCATAAGTACGTGTGGTGGTGGTGGTGGTGGCGCACGTTGCCCTTGCCGGCTTCTCTTGGGTTTTGGTGGCCGATCCAACCAAGACTTTTGGGGGGGTTATTTTCCATTATCTATGCATGCCCAAGGCTCTTCTTTCGTTTATTTTTACCTTATCCCACACTTTCTTGTGTTGTACGCCACAGTCCGGGACTTGTGGCGGGTTGAATTTCAGGTCCGGCCAGACTGTCACACGTGCAGCTCTGGCAAATTGCAAGCACCACGGACTACGGCTTTCACATCGCGACTTGAGAGCATTCAACGCGGTCATCATGGCGTTGGAGCTGGTGCGCGACAGTTTTGCCGGGGTTCGACCCCTGGACCCCACCTTGCCATGGGAGTCGGAAAACAGCTTTTGGACCTCCTTTGAGCTCCTCGCCTGTCTTTTGAACCTTCAAACGCGGTCGGCGGGGAGTGCCTTTTCCACCCACCTACGCGGCACAGATTTGGCCTCCCAGCAAGTTCGCCGCGCAAACACCATCGATCAGGAGCTACAGCAACACAGCTCGTTCCATGCCAGCAAGACCCAGTTGTCAAGCGAACGAACTGATGGAGGATTTGTGCCGGCTCTTATCAAGGTGGCGGCTGCCTACCGCCTTTCTGCAGATGAGACCCATCTGCTCAGCCTCATGACCATCAACCTGTGTCACATCAAACCTGTCTCGCGAGCCCTGCTGTACGAGACCAACTCAGACCTGCCCTCTTCTCTCACGTTGTACAACATACCGCAGCTGGTGGTCGAGGAGTTTTTGGACGACAAGCGAGCCCACGTCAAGGTGCGACGAGGAAACCACCCTCACCCCTGAAGCTCAATCTCTGCCGATGCTACTCCTCACGTCTTGTCCTTGCATTTTGGTGCCATGTTAGGACGGCCTCATTCTTTTGGACAACCGTTATGACGCCACGTCCGACCCTCAATTCAAGCTGACGGTCGCGGCTGCGCGCGCTATCCGTGGTCTCCCACTCCAGTCAACCGACAGGCTCAAACTGGCTGGCACCAAACTAGCCGATGTATTGGATTTGACCATGAACGGATCCTCCGGCCGCGCAATGAGTAATTCAGCAGACGGGCTTGCCGACCAACACATTGGTGACGATGACGACGAGCCACATCAAGGCAGCGACGCCGAGGACTGTGATGCCATGTCTGGCAGTGGTGATGCTGATGATGGCGAGCTACGCACGCTGCTACAGTCTGTGGCAGCTACCCAAGCAAAGGTTGCCGCTGCGCACCAGGAGCTGAGTAACTCGGCACCCAAGAGTCCTGCCTCAGGAGAAGACGCTGCGGACGCCGCTTTGCAACCCTACGAAGACTCGCTCGCATATATGGAGGACCAGTTTGAGCGCATCATGCAATTCATCAAACTGAGCAAAGCCTCAATCTCTCAAGATTTGCAGGAACTCAATGAGGCCTCTTACTGGGATCGCGGCAATGCACCCAAGCACGTGAACACCCACGAATTCCACGCTACGCTCAAGGCCATTGACGCCAAGATTGCCTTGCGGTGAGCCCCATCCAAACGCCGTGTTGTTGATTTGCATGTTGTATCTGCGCCACCAATCAATTTGTCATGCTGTCCTCAGCCCTCCAACCAAGCCAGCGCACACTTGGGTGCCTCTGTTTCGCTTCATACCTGACAATTTCCTTTCACTTCCGATTGCCCAACACGTAGCTTAAAAATGACAAGCGATGCAGGCCACCAACTGCCCCGCTTGGAGCTCCTGCGCACCACTTTGAAGCTGCAACCCTTTGAATGTGATGTTTTGGCACTCTTGACTGGCCACTTGTTGTCGCCGGTCATTGGCAAGGCCCTTGCATCTGATGATGGCATGCGGTCACTCAAGGTTAGTGCCTACGATGATGAACAAGCTTGGCAAGCTTTGAAGGAAAATGGCCCATCGCGACGACTTGATTGTCTTTGTCGTCAATACACCGCATCGATCATTCTCATGATGGATCGTCGCGCGCTGTAGGTGGATGCTATCATTCACACGTTCTCAGTTCGTTTCCAAGATCAAATCTTCTACCGAAAATACTTTCACAAAAGCAGCAGCCTCGTTCGTCGCGGTACGAACCGCCCGATGCGGCCAGCCACTCGCTCCCAAGTCATGCTGCAGCTCCAAAGCATAACTCACGGCAAATTTGTGACAATGCGGGCTAGGCATGATCAACGTTCTTAGCCTCCATTGGGATCGGTCAAACACGCCCTACGTCCTCATCGACCGACGCCTCTGTGACTGGCTTGTTGGGTTGGACACGGATATTAGCGAAATCAACGAAGGATTGAATTTGTACACACCAACGGTGCGTTATGCCCAAGTGCTTCTCGCGCCTCTTTCTTTCCTTCACATGGCTCCGGTCGCACCGGTTCAACACTTGCTATGCCGCCAGTATGACCAATCTCATTCATCTTCCACGCCAGGCCGACCTCGATGCTGTTATTCTGCCTGAGGGTACCAAGGAGAGCATTTTGGAGCAAGTATCCCAACATGCTAAATTTCAACGATACTTGCGTCGCCACAAGCTTGATGCGTCGCCAACTACGACTAGCGGCCTTGTGCTTTTGTTTTATGGGCCTTCAGGTGCTTGCTTACTTTGAGCTTTGAGGCGGCGACGACCTTTTGTTCTGTTTCGCAGCCTCATTTAAGTCCGATTAATGGCCTGGCGAATGCTCATTTCATGACTCATTGCTTCGTCACCTCCTCACTAACCAGGCACGGGCAAGACTCTAATGGTGAATGCAGTCGCAAAGTCCATGAAGAAAAAGTAAGGGGGCTCTACCTAGCACATGCTAGAGCAGGATCACAGTATATACTCAAACTACACATTCTGCGCTTGCTGGGCTAATGTTTCGTCACCTAACGAGCGTGCCGGCGCGGGTTTGCAGGGTTTTGCTGATCAACTTTGCGGATATGCTAGCGCACTCAGCGGAAAAGAAAGGCAGTTTATCGCAAGCCTTGTTTCGCGAGGCCGACATGAGCAATGCTGTTGTGTTTTTTGATGAATGCGAAAGGTCTGAGAACTTGTGGGCCTTTGCTGCGATCATCTCTGGCACACCAACTGACCGTTTGCTTGTTGATTCTCTTATCTCGCTAAAAGCATGTTCGCCAAGCGCGAGAGCGGCGGAAGCAACATCTTGACCGAATTGTTGACCGAAGTAAATCTTCTTCACTCTTCTTTTTTCGGGGGCGGGGAAGAGAGGCAACGATGGCGAGCAAGTCCTCACGCAAATTGTCTTGCTTGGCTTTGGATGGAGTCAGATTGAGCGTTATCCGGGCGTTGTATTTCTGGCCACAAACCGGGCCCAGGACCTGGACGAGGCCATGTATGGCACACCCTTGGCATGACATTATTATGCAAGCTGTGTGGTCATTTGCCTGTCTGGCGCGATTGTGCCTCACCACCGACTCTGGCTTGAACACTCATCGGACCTCGTAGGTATCGGCGGATTCATGCCGTGTACAACTTTTCTCGGCCTTCACACTTGCAACGCCGCTTGATCTGGAACATTCATACAGAGCCGGAAGGTAAGCGCAAAGGACCGAACAAGCAGCGTTATTATGGAAAACGAAGATATGGCTAGCTCATGCTATGTTGGAATCAACAGGCATCCAGGTTGCAGCGGATGTTGATTGGGCAGAGATCTCTTTCAAATATGACCTTTCTGGTGGGTTCATCAAGAACGCCGTTGGCTCCGCGTTGGGCATGGCTATCGCCCGAGATGGCGAGGAGGCGCCTGTGATCCAGGCCGAGGACATCCACCGTGGTGAGTTTTTGCCTGCTTCTGTTGTACTTTTGGTGCACTCACGCTGGCAATCCTAACACAAATGTCATGTCTGCTTTGCCATGCCAATCCAGCTTGTCGCCTTCAAATGCGTGGTCATATGGCCATGGATAGCTTCGTCGAGCTCAGAGTTCCCAAGGTGCGAGGCACACATGACCTCAAGCAGAGCGCACGCATTAGTCACGGGCCTGTTCACGCAGCTTTTCTCAATCTCGCTGTCCTTTTTTCCTTACTTTTACCATCCCATGCGTCTCCAGTCTGGTCTTTCAAATGTGGTTCTGACGCCGCAGCAAGAACGTGAAGTGGAAGAACTTATCCTACTAGAGAAAGCGCGGAGCGTGCTGTTTGCCGATTGGGGCTTTGGTGAAGCTCAGCGGCACTTGCAGAGTACCACCGCTCTCTTTTGGGGTCGAATCGGCACGGGCAAGGTTTGTCCGGAGGCTTGGTTTAAATGTCGGCATATCGGCGCGGCCAACCCCTTTGCCTCTCTCTGATGAACCCGAGCTTGCATTCTCACAAACCTTCTGTTTGGGTGCGCATGAATGGTTGGATATGCGTGCACACACGCGGGGTGCTGTTCATTTGGCGTCAGTCGGTGCTGGCTGAAGCAGTCGGCTTTGAGCTGGGCCGCCCCATCAAGCTGATCAACGTTGCTGAATTGTTGCGTAACGCGTCGGGGTTTCAGATCTCCAGTTCCAAATCCAAGGCTAAAAAGAGCGTTTTAGCTCAGGCGTTTGCTGACGCTGCCATGGCCAACGCCGTCATTGTGCTGGACAACTTTGGCGCGCTGCTGAGCGTTGTTGGCGAACGGCATTTGGAAGCAGATGCCTTGATGCAGGACGTTCTGTTCCAGGTGCAATCCTATGAGGGCATGGTCTTTGTCCTGGTGACGTCGAGCTCAGCATTCTCTTCGGTTGCCCATCGCTTTGAAAGTGACCTTTTTGCGACCTTTAAAGTACGGCCCTTTGCCGCGCCAGACTGCAAGCCTCGTTTGCCCAGCTCCCCGGGCTGGTGTGCCTGGCTTCTTCCTGTCCTTCGTCTAGCCAGTGGTCGTTTATTGTCGTTTACACGGGTCCGAATCGTGTGAAACTAGGCAATTGTCGAGTTTGACATTCCACCAGCTGACATTCGAGAGCGTCTCTGGCAAAAGCTCATCCCAGATCCAGTTCCTGGCAAGCAGACCCTTGATTGGAGTCAATTAGCACGGGCGCACGACCTCTCAGGCGGTAGGATTATACCCTTATCATTGTCGGGTATCTTCTGCGCTTCGTCGTTGACGTGATCTGCATGGCTCGCAGGTCAAATTTCAGGCATCGTCTACCGAACCTGTGCCAAGGTGGCATTAAAACCCGATGGCCAGGTGAGCGTTTCTTATTCGATCTTTTGACGCCTTTGCAAAGGATCATGTTAATGTGTTCTGGCCCGTTTTTGCGTGTCTTGAGAAAGTCGATTTCCATGTGCAGGGCTCCAGTCTCACCTTGACACCACATTGTGTGATTGCCTGATAGCTTACCACTTCCACCCTGATTGAGGAGTGCACGCGAGAGAAAGAGCGTGGTGCTGGCGCTCTGGGCCTGGTTATGAAGCATTTGTTTCTGTGATATGTGGGTTCGTTGGGTTGCTCTGACTTCACAAAACAAACAAATGAATTGATTGGCCAATAACGACCGCATCTTTCTGGCTTCTTTCTATCGGTTTCTTTTCGCCACGTTTATAACAGAAGCCGGTCGGCTTGGCTGCTGACACATTGTCGAGCTGGGAATCTTCTGCATGCATATGCATGCGCATCGGCACATGACACGCCGACACAAAGACATGCACAAGCACACAAAGGTATACACAAGAGCATGACACACCCAACACTGTGCATTGCACAGTCCTCTTTGAATGGAGCCATTTACAATCTTGACACAAAAAGCAGACGAATAGCCACTAACATGCACATGGACACAACACACATGGACCAAGCAAATGCTCACACGCACGGGTTTCGATCGTTCAGCGCACGGGAGCCGGGCAATTTCATTGCGCACACATGGCACGTAGGTCACCATCAAAGTTTTCAATCTAGCAATTGGTGAGCAAGGCCAATACACTTGAGATGGCGGCAACGCAGACTGGCATGTTGTTTGTGAAAAGGAAACGTTTGGGTCTCAAGAAGGGGATCCGGTGGACTCCAGCTTTTGCACGCACCACAGAAACAATTTCATTGAAGTTGGCCTTTTGCTCGAGGGTCACCTGCTCGTGTTCTTTTTGCAGCTCACTGAGCAAGAGCTCCAGATCCTCGCACTCTTCAACGAGGCGCTCAATCTGGGTCTGTTGGGGCACCAACATTGAGGCAGGTGAGGAGTATCGAGGGCCGAGAAGAGTTTGTCATTTGCAAGTCAACGCCCTCAATCCGCTACTGCTTCTATTGTTTACCTGATTTTCTTTCTCTTCCATTTCCAATGCCTCACGCTCAGCGCGCACTTGCGAGAGTGAGTGATCATTCTGGTTCCGTTTTTGACTCTGCAAAAGCTCAAGTTCATGTGAGCAACACCTTGGCGTTGCGGCGGGTGGTTGCAAGCTGCCGAGCGCGTGGTGTGAGCGCACCTGTTGCTTTGATAGGCGACTGAAGCGTTCCTTGGCCATTTGCACTTGACGTTGCAGCTGTTGCTCGTTGTTGTGCAGGCTCTGTAGCAAGCCCTTCTGCGCTAGCGCCTGAGATTCAAGCTGCGCCACGGCGCTGAGATCAAGCAAAGCAAGATGTTAGACGGCAAGATTAATAAGCAGAGTTCATGACCCAATTCTTCGAGCAAAAAACCAAAAAACAAACAAACAAAAACAAAAATAAAAAAGAAACCCCGCGTTTGATTGACTTTGTCCAATCTGTGGGGGTGCACGTACTCAGCACTCATGGTCGAAGCCCGCTTGTATTTGAGTCCTTCATTGAGCTGGCGTGTAACATTCTCCAAGGCCTTAAATGCAGATTCAACAGGTTCAAGTGTCATTCGTGAGCATCACAGAACAGTGAACAGTTGCGGGTGGCCAGGATCACCGACTCGGCTTTAGACATGACTTGTGCGCGGTTACCTGCTTGCAGTCCTGAAATGATTCTGTTTTGTTGCGCAGCAGCTTAAGCTTGTTTTGATGTGCAGTGACACGTTCTGCGATTCACAAGAGCACAGATGAGTTGATCCAAAAGTTTCAAGCCAAATTACACTCTGCGCCGCCTGGCTCGAGCTACTGTCAAACGTACGCTTCATGTCCTGCAGCATTTTTTCCTTGTCCACGATTTGGCGCTTGATGCGATCGGGGGACCCGACAATCTGTGACTGCACAACATTGCGCTCTTGAAATTGGGTTTCAGCTTCAAAGGAAAGCTTTGAAAGCTTATCCGTGGCTTCGGCAGCCTCGCGCTTTTGCTCCTTGATCCGGGCTTGAATTTGGTTTTGCTCGTCGTTGAGCGACATGATCTCTTCGAGAAGCCGCTTGACTTCAGCCTCTACCTCACGAAACTGAGTTGCCTCTCGGTCACGGCGAGCTGCCACCTGCGTGATCTTCTGTTCAATCCCCTCAATCTCATCTCGTAGTTTTTCGATATCCTCCACTGTTGTTTCTTGCTCTTGTTGCAAGCTCTGAAGTGACAATTTGGGCAAACGCACGTGATGTCAACCATAGCAGCAATCTTATCAGCAGCCGTTCTCGTTGAGCGAGGGTACGCGTGTTGATGAGGTACGCACGTCAGCTTCATCGCGGATGGTCAAGAAATACTTGAAGAAGTTGAGCAGGGCCGAAAGATGGGTTTTGACGCGTTTGAAGGTCGGGTGTTGAATGTCACTGAGGGAAAAATCTTCCGCACCAATCTTGTGCATCACCTTGATCCTGTGCAAGCGCGGCTCGGAAGGTCAGCCGAGAGCGGCCAAACCGCCATTTCACTTTCCTGCTCATCACTGACTTGAGAACGATTTGGGAAAAAGGCACCAAGACTTACAGTGCGCTGTCCCACAGAAAGCCATGGATGGCACCGTCGTAGAGTTCAGGGTGCTCAAACGCCTCGGTGGCTGTAAAGGGAAGCTAAACCGCATCGTTCACGTGAGATCGCACCGATATTTGGGTTTTACTCGGCGCGCATGATGAGGCAGAGGCGAGGTCATGAGCAACGGTGGCTTGGCTAACCTGATTGCCGAGGCCGTCGGTGGGTTGAAGACGCCACATGTCCTCAAGGATGGCCTTGTAGATATTGCGAATTTGCATGGGCTGGGGCGGGGGGGATAGGGCGCAGAGGGGCCAATTTGGCCGTGGGCAATGCGGCACGAATCAGAATCGTGAGATGGGCGATTTTTACACTATAAGGAGTAGACTAAGAAGTCGTATCATCGAGGCGTGGCGTCAACCATCGCCGCGGCTCGTTGCAACGAAACGATCTGCTGTCACCCCGAGCGGTGGGTTTGGTGCTGCTGCCTTCACTTTCTTCCTGCAGTGTTTCACTTTCTTGGCTGGCATTCGATGGTTCGTGCTGTCGCCGACAAACGCTGTTGCCTGGATGCTGCCACTTACATTCGGCTCCTTGATCTCCGATGCCTTGACATGGATGTTCATCTGCGCCAGGAGCTGGACGATGTCCTGCACCTTGAGCTGCGGGAAGGTCAAGCCGTCTGAAGCCATTTTCAAGTTTTGGCGCGAAAAAATGCCAAAAACCAACCGGGTAAAACAACGCACGAAACAATACACAATTCGCTCCCAACCATCATCATCAAGGAAAAGAACAAAAGGATGTTTTAAGGGCGAAATGAAGAATAAAATTATTTGTCAGATGAAATTTGGGCGAGAACACTAAGAAGCACGAAGGGAACAAAAGACAAGAAGAAGAAGGAGATAACGGATGAGAGACATGTGCTTGAAACAAGCATTTTCACTGACAAGTTGCGTCGTCGTGACGGCGACGGTGACGACGACGGCAGACGACACCGTTTCGGTTCGAGCATTCAACCCGCCCCCAGTCGGGTCGAGGGGTTGGAAACTCGGGGCAACGGCGAGTGTGGAATCGAGGTAGGGAAGCTGGTCTGGTTCCTTCGCTTGTCAGAACAGGTTACACGCAACGAAGAACAAGGGTTGTCACGAGCTGGCTGGTCCGCGTGGTGTGCTGCTCACACTCACTCGTTGCGATTGCCATGCTTCAATCATGCATGAACCCTTCCCATCTGTCCTGGTCTGCAGTTTGCGACCGGACCAGAAAGGCTGTGGTATTTGGCTCGAAACCCCTACCAGCCATGGCAAGGTTCGACTTGCTGCTCGAGCAGAGGCTGCGCGAGGCCTGTGCCTTGCGCGACTTCGAGTTGCACCGGGCCCTTGAAGAGATTGCCAAGTAAGCAGCAGGTTTTGACTGGTTGTGTCAACCCAGTCGCCCGGCTTGAATTCTACAAGCGTAGCTGCACGCCAATCGCAGCTAACCGTCGGGATTTCATCACTATCCATCCCTGTTCAGAGTACATTATGCAGCTACTGGTCGCTTGAAACTGCTCGCAGAGGCAGAGCTGCGATACACCAATGTACGCGCTCTTACTCGCGAGCCCGAATTACTCGGTGAAAACCGAAATAAAAATAAAAAAAAAACACTGAGCATTGACAATGTGGCTCTTTCACGCTCACCGACTCTCGACGCCTTATTGCGCTCGCTCACTTGTGCTGTTGGGCTGGCCTTCGTAGATCCTCTCGCATCTGGAGAACGAAGATGTTTCAGCCGCTGAGGTTAGTTGTGACTCGGCTCGAGAGACAGGTGACACACAAGTGCAATATGCACATGGATTGACAGGTGGCTTTTATCGTTTCAACAGAGTGAGCTTCAGCTATTAGCTCAGCTGGAAGACCTACCAGTAGTTCATCTGCGCCGTTCAGAACGTGCGATCCTAAGCTTTGTGTCAGAGGCCAGCCCTCTTGACCAACTCCGCCTATTTCAACTGGATGCCGTACGTACTCAGGCCCGTCAATTTTTTTCTCGAATTCATTCCGCTCAGTTTACAAATTGCGCTTGTTCACGCCTTTCCGCTCCGGCGTGCTGTCTCGCATTCTTTGATCGCGATGTGGCGTGCGTCGCGGACTCTTCGGGATAGGCCGATAGTCCTCTGGACATGAGCGCACTTGAAGACATGATACAGGCTTCATGTGACTATTGTGCACAGCAACCCGTTGAGCAGCAACCGGCCATCGTTTCTGAAACCCTCGATATCTGCATGGATCATCTTGTACAAGTGACGAGCTTCGTGCGTTCTCCATGGCGCGATTGTGCATGTTTTGCGCGGGTTGTCAATTTCATGCTCTCGGACAAGGCCTAATGCCTTTCATTTATCGTGCATGCTTTCCTACCACAGCTTGATGCCACTGTCTTTGATGGGATTGATCAAGCCTTGACCAAGTTACAGACGTTGTGCCGATCCAACACCGACGAAGCCGTGGAACTCGCGCAATTTCAGCGTCAGACACAGCATTGCGCCGCTGTCTGGGCTTCGGCCCTTGGCACTCTACCATTGATCAGGTGCGAGCGGACCTCTCGCCAAATTGTGCGACGTTGTGCGTAGACTCAACTCATCCAGTGTCGTGTTTCTTATCCTGGCGCTCAGGGCTCTGGAGACTCTGCAGGGTGCTCCCGTGGGCGATGTGGCATTCGTAGTTGGTAAGTTCAGGCCGTATAAAGTTTTGTAATGACTCGACTGCTCTGTGCGACACGTGTGACACATTTATCCGTTTCTTCTCATTGAGGCTTGCTCTTTTGTGCTGTTTCATTTTTCTCCTTTTAGCGCTACAGGCATTGGCGATGAGCGAGGAAGGCAGCAAACCGGCTTGGATTCGATCTCTGCTTTCCATTGCAGCCGGTGCGTTTGCTGAAACTCGCATTCTGTGATACAAAGGCACAATCTCTGATTTACCACAATCTCCCCTGAGCTCATTTGGTTGCTGCTCGACCTCGTAGACATTGACGCTTTGCCCGCATTTCGACGCTTTGCCGCTGCTGCTCAGGTTTGAGCGAGTTGATATCACCATCCTCTCATGTTCAGCTTTCAAAAAAATACCAAAAACAAACACAAAGAAACATTGCATTTACTTGCCTTGCTTGGTTGATCAAATCGGGACTCATTTCTGCTTGTGCTGGGATGTTCTTGCGTATGCTTTATGTGGCTGCAGCTGCAAATGCAAATGCGTGATTTGCGACGCTCTGAAGCCTCGCGTTTGTTGCGGGCGTTCACCTTTGCTGACACAGTTGCCACTTCCAACGCGAACATCATCAACGCTGATATCGTGAGCAGCTTTCTGGGCGTCGACTCAAACTTAGTCTCACTCGTTCACGGTCTCGGTCAGCGTCGAGTGACTTGGAGAAGCACCGACACCGAAAGTGTGCTTTCGTTTGCAAAGTGGTGCCCGCAGCTCTTTGTTACTCTGGCCAGCAATGATTCACCGCCGAATGCGGGGTAAGCAGAGGCGGCGCAAGAGCATTTCATACCCCTCGCTCAATAATTGCCTAATGAGGCAAGCCCCGATTCTTGTCTCACAATGTATACCCTGCTCTGTATATCTTAGGCACTTTTTCGATGTGCTTTCCAGCTGCCTTCTGCGGCCAGCTACATCTTCAGAAGCCTTTGCTCTGGTCTGTCGCGTGTAGGCATCTTGGCTCGCTTATCCATGGCTGCTGCTCACGCAGTTGCACCCTGTTCCTTGCCATTTGTTGAATTGTCGCCCGATGCATAAATCTGGGGCCGGATCAGGCATCTTTGAGCCTGAGTGCAAGCTTGATGCAGGCAGCACAGGCAGCACGCGAAGAGTCGCCGGTAAATTTTGCAGCTGCTCGCTCAACAAGGATGTATCAGACCGGTTGGCTCAACGATCCTCTTGTTGCTGTTTGCTCGATTTCAGCTTTTATCCAGTAAAGACCCTCTTACTTCCATCGACAGAAGCTTGTGGCACAGCCTCCTTCTCAACTTTTTGTCGTATGACGCCTCGGTGTGTTGCATTGCTTTGCAAACCTGACGCGCAAGAGGAATATACCCTGGCTCTGTTAGGAAACTCATTCTGCTGGAAATCAACTGCCCATGGGTGCTCATACAGGTCTTCAATCCAGCGCGCACCAATATCTTGACATCCCGCTGCATCAGGGCGCTGGTGAATATGGTGCAGCAACTTCAAGCAGTCAAACCAATCTTGCGCTTTTACGAACTGCTTTCATCTTCGAATTTGGTAAGCGGGGGCGGTTGTTTTTGCTTTCGGCTTGAAAGCAAAAAAAAAAAAAAACCATATCACTGGATGGCATCTAACCTTGTCTTCCTTCTCAGCTGCAAGTGCCAGATATCTTGAGGCTTTTCCAGGAATGTGTGCTTCAGCTCACGCACACATGTCCTGAGGTATGTTTGGCCGTCTGGATCACTGTACCCGACTTGAAGAAGCGAACACGGCATTTGAAACGGCCTTTTTCCATTTCGTAGGCAAAGGCCGACCTGCTGCAAGCCTTGGCTTCGGCGTTTTCTCAACTTGGCCAGGACCAAGAGATTATGGCCTTGGATTTGCAGTCCAACAACGCCAACCACCTGCTTTTGCGTGGATATGCCAGCTTCAATCTCCTGCAGAAGTTGCACGCGAATCGCCAGGTCAGATTTCTTTTTGAAAGTCTGCTGCGCCTATCTCAAGTTGGGTACTTACCGCCAATGTTCGTTAACTTAGGCTTCGAAGCGAGCCAAGGGCAAGCTGATTGAGCAAGTGCGTGAATCAACGTTGCAATTGTCACAGCTACGCCTGAGTCTGAAGCAACAGCAGAGCTACGAGGTCTTGCGAGCACGCCTCAAAGAGGCCGAGGTGATTGACATGAACACGTCAATTTCTTCACCCGCGCCAAGAAGTCCAGCGGTTTCAATGGCAAATTCTCCTCGACTTCAGAGTTTACAAAGGCGTCAAAACGAATTGCGCAAAAGGCTGCCAACAGGTGACTTAGTCACAACAACCCCATCGCCTGGCAGAGCTGCTGTTCCTCATGGTGCCCTCAGTCCGTTGAGCCTGTCGTTTGCTGTGGATCAGAGTGACATGGAAGGTCAAGGGTCAAGTGGCAGCTTTCCGACCCAAAAAAGCTTTGACAAGTCCTTGTCAGGCGCCGCTGAAGGTGGTTCTGGACAACCCACCGCCTCAACGACGGTGGCTTCCACGATGCTGTCTCCAGCAGGCAGTCCGGTTGCCACTCGTGGCCAAATTTCGGCACCTGATGCCGCAACTGGCTTTGGTGGCCCTGTGAGCAAGCCTGTGACCACGCCTCAAGCTTCTTCAGCGTTGGCGTTCGGTGAACCTACAGCTACGTCTATAAAGGAGTCAACTGCAGCCTCAGGGCTCAGTTTTGGCAAGCCTGCCACGCCTGCAGCAACTCCGGCCACTAGTTTTGGCAAGCCTGCCACGCCTGCAGCAACTCCGGCCACTAGTTTTGGCAAGCCTGCCACGCCTGCAGCAACTCCGGCGGCCGGTTTTGGCAAGCCTACAGCAGCCAGCCCCGGAACAACAACTGCAGGAGCGTCAACTGCAGCCTTAGGGTTCAGTTTTGGCAAGCCTGCCACGCCTGCAGCAACTCCAGCTGCCAGTTTTGGCAAGCCTGCCACGCCTGCAGCAACTCCAGCTGCCAGTTTTGGCAAGCCTGCCAC